TTTAGTTTTCCGTTAATCCCTTTTTGCGCCCATCTGTTGCCCATAGAACTCTAACTAAATGGCGCGTTCCTGTCCTCACAAACGTGTAGCTTAAGAAAACACTCGCAGACACACATGTGTAGGTATGTATGCATCTATGGCTGTATTTCTATCTAAAAGCACATTTAAATGCCAAGTTTGTTAGGGAAAAAAGCATCCTCACGGTTCTACTAAATGTATACCTACCTTGCATTCGTGGAATATTCACAGAGCCCTACGTTGTTGATGATTGGGTTTAGGCCAAACTGGTTACGGACATTCTGCTTGAACTGATTTGTATTATTGTTGCTTGTTGTGGCCGTTTTAATGTTGCAAAATACCTTGACAGTGTTGCCAACAAGTTGAAGTTAAGTTGATAAACTCTACAAAAAAATCTGCATAATCCAAGCACAACTGTGAACAGCCATAGCTGTAGAAGGTACAGACAAAAAGTTTGAAAGTAATGCTACTTCAGTCCACTGTGGCATTAGCAGAGAGAGAAAGAGAGAGTGGGAAATGAAATACCCTTAAGAATATGATAATGATTAATTCAAATAGCGTTATTAATGAGTTCATTTGAGTGTTATTGCTGTCACTAAAGAACTTACATCACATCGATATCCTACAATATATTTCTAAAAGGTGAACCGTTGTTTAGTTATGACTGCCTCACAGCTGCTTTAAAGTTGATTAGCAGTACTGCTGAGCGCTAATGAGATTTGTATCTTCTCGAAATGGTATAGAATGATGAAAGGGGCTAATTATGAAAGAGGTATGGATATACTATGGTTATGTTCAAAGGCTAAAGCCATAAAGAATTTTCTTGTGCACATAGACTTAACGATCGGTTTCGCATCCATCTTGATTTATATGCTTATAGCTACATCGTACTTAATCTAAAAAAATATGCCTTATCTCTCTTAACTTCAGCTGTATCCCACTCTGACATCAAATATCGCCCATATAATATTCCACTTGGAAGAGTTTTTCACAATAACGTCTCATTTTAAGTTCGAGTTAGAAACAGATCTATTTATTGAAAATCGCACTTATCTATTGCGGTTATTTATAGTGACGACCCAGCTGAATTTCCGGAGAGATTTCAGTTAGACTGTTGATTTTTTCAGTGGTCTAACAACAAAGGGAGAAATTTCCCAAATCATTTTTACCGCTTTTCCTAGCATTGCTTAGGTGGTCTAACTCGTATTCTTAACGAAGTTCAGTTTTAAGCGTGACCTCGAAAGCTTCAAATTCTAATTCTCTTATTTTCTCTCTTTTACTTTTTCCCTCTCACGTATTAAAGTATTTTTAGACATTGAAACAAAGACAGCGAGACCTCAACGTTTATTTATTTGCCAATTAATGAACTATATAGATGGAAAAAAGGACAAAATCATCTGATATTTTGCTGGATCTCAAACCGCTGGGGTATTACGGCTACATTTTGTAGCATACTTCTTATTCAATTCCAATCAAGTTGGCAACCCTTTGCACTGCGCTGCATTCTGTTTTCGCATTAATAGGTATCAGGGATTCACGGCAATTTGGCTCGCAGCGGACAGTTGAAGAATAGAAAGAATTTCTTTGCATGATTTTTGTTTTTGCAAATGTTTTGCATTTTGTTGCCTTTTTGTCTTCCTCCTTCTGTTGGTATTTGTTGTCTCATTTGAACTGTAGACCCGGCTGTGTGGAGCATTTGTAAAACCAATTGAATGCCAAAAAAGCAGAAGAGACTTCAAGAAGCTGCTACACTTTGAACTTTGGGATCGCCAAAGGTGCATTTATGCATATATACATATATAAAGATGGAAAAAAATACATAAGTGTATTTGCTATAAATGCAAAATATTTCTTATAAATTCCACACATGTTCGTACCTTGGTCCACACATCCAACCGTTCGCACACACATAGATACAAACATACGTAGAAATCGCTGCATGAAATAATAATTATGTTACTCCACTAAGTCAGCAGTCCCCACACTAATGCAGCGAGTGTGACCAATAATAATCGTTTTAGTATATTCTCTCTATAATTCAATGGAAACGCTTTCGCAATGCTTCTGTTTTATTATTTTCGAGTTATCTGCGCGTTTGTGTTGCCTGTGTCGCATGGATGTGAAATTGTTCATTGACAAGGAATTCAAAAGTTAATACCTATATTCTGGATGTCATGCTTATCAAATATTACTGTGGAGATTTCTTTGTATTTTCTGCTTTTTTTTATCGACAAGAATCGTGCAAGCAGCAGCACAAATCGATGTGAATGCCCTTTTGAGTTTGTTATGCGGAAAATTTGTTATTATCCATGCCGTTGAAGGACAGTTAAGCGAAAGGGATGTGTTCTTAAGAAAAAGCTTGAAATGTTAAGTTAGCTTAGAAGCTATAGTCGGCGAACACGTTGGAAGTTTGAAATGGTTAAATGTTGACGAAAATTGAGATTAGAAACAACTTTTTTCCCCGAAATCTTGCCGTCTTTCGCGATCGTTGAGTCGTGCCACGTAATCACAGTTATCGGTATAATGTGTTAGGCTTTTATTATATTATAGAACAAAAATCCGTCGACAAAAACTCGTGTGGGAACGGTTCGGTTTTGGCAGAGGTTTCGTCACAAAGTTCCAATGTTAGCTCTAAATCCCCCGACATATTTTTGGTACTTGAAAAACTAAATGTCTTTGGTATTTATAAGTAAGATCCACGTCCTAATGAGTCCTTTGAGAGTTTTAAGCTCTAGCTATAAAAGATTTTCTTACGTAAGCAATGATTTAGAGGTAGAGGTTAGTAGGGAAATGTACTTCCGAACCTCGATGTTTAGGAAAGAGACTCAAAACGTCTTAACGACCTTGATCATGTCTTTGGAAGCGGCTTTGCTATTTCTGTTCGAAGATTTTCAATTTGAATATGTATCGGATGATTGGCATTATGCAAGCGGACGATATCTGTTGAGATTGTAAATTGATATGGAACGAGATTTGTTTTTACCCAGTGTAATAAAAAGTAATCTATAAAATTTAATATTTTTTATTACGTAATACATATTTTTATACAAACGATGTCATAAAATGGTTGGCAAGAGTTCTAATTTCATCATTTCCTTACACGAGTATGCGCTTTTAAGAGCGAAATCTGCAACACAGAGTCGCACGGGCCAGCGTCGGGGTCAAGCAACTATACGCCGTTTGGTGACAAATGATGCGCACCGAATGGATGCTGGCCATTTGCACGAGTCTCAATCGCGATTCAAGTGACAAACAAGCATTTCTTTCCGCTATACATATCTATAGGTGATTATTATGTAAGCATTACGTGATGTATTGCATGTATGTGTGTATGTTTGCATATACATATGTGGGTATTTTTCTATGTGGCTTTGTGCTATTTGTATTGACGATTTGACATGTGATAATTGATTTTATGCCACAGTTCATTTTAAGTTGGTAAATTTCGAAAAATTGACTACGTTTGTTTTTATGGGATCTCAGCAGCCGCTGCGGGCTCTGCGGGGCGGTGGAGACAGCCTAAGTGCTTAGACTGTCAGCTGCTGATGAGCTGATGAGTTATTGACATGCAATATATCTGAAGCAAACAAAGCTAATTATAGGGTATCTATGTAATTTCACATAAACAAAAACAAAAGCAGACGGTAAGCAACAACAAAAGCAATCAGCAAATGCCAAAAGTTAATGAAATGGTTTTTCATTTAGTTTTTCTGCCACATTTTATAACATTTCACAATTCTTTTTATTTTGCAAATTTTTTTGTGTTTCTATTCAACCAAAAGGAGTAAAAATAAATTGTAAATACATGTCGTTGGCCTTAACCGCTGTAAACACACTTACACACACACACACCCAAACTCTTTTGGTCAAAAGCATGCTGGTTGAAGCGTTAATAGCTTAGGATGAGCGAGCGAAAAAAATATGCCGAGTACACTAGCTTTATACGGGTTGCCCCTTAATTACAATGTGTCCAAAAGCAAAATGAAAACAACAACAACATCAAAAACAAAATAGAAGGCAGAAATAGTGGAAAAAGAACAGTTAAAACTTCACATAACTTTTTCGCTCCCCAATCATCTAATTCGTCAAAAAGGTGCTTGAACTCATCGACGTCTTTTCGGGCTTGAGAAATGCGGTATGATTGAGGGAAGTATGTGAATATAGTTTATTTCAGTAAATATGTAGTAGAGTTATGTGTATACGAGTCACTCGCGCTGCCATCGTGGTTAGTGCTTGGGCTACTTACTTACTTACTTATTGACTATAACTGCTATTATTATTGTTATTATAACTAAGTACGAGCATTTGCTGTGGCATTGTGGGAGCATATTTATAAATATATTTCTTTGTAAGCTGGAAAACATTCTTTAGGTACCCAGTGTTGCTTAAATGTCCACTAGGAAATATTTGAGCTGAAGTGAACCAAGGTTTCTTCTTATTTTCTTTTTATATACTAAATAATTGTAAGGGTAACTAGTATTACTATGAATTTTTCAATTACAGCTTAATTACATTTATACTCTCTACAGTGTACATTAAGTTTAGCCATATTCGTCTGTCCGTATGCGCGCGAACTAGTCCTTCAGTTTTTGAGGTATTGTTCTGAAATTTTGCAGATGTTCTTTTCTCCCCAACATGGTGGTCAATTGAAGGAACGGATCACTATAGCATGTAGCTGTCATACGAACTGGCCGATTAAAATCAAGTTCTTGTATGGAACAATTTTTTATTGGACAAGATATCTTTGCGAAGTTCGGCATTGATTATTGTCGAAGGAAGTGCTACTATCTTTGAACAAAATCTTCACGAACTTTGGCATATTATTGTGTCCAAGATAATGTCACAATCTCCAACGTGTTATTCGGATCGGACCACTGTAGCATACATCTGTCATATATTATATATTTTCCAAGTAATTTTAAATTATTATTTTTTATTTAAAATATTGTTTAGTTATTATTAGTAATTCCTATAAATATATATATTTTTTCATTTTTGCTAATTTTTATTTTCTTCATTTGTTTTTATAGTTGTTAAAATATTTTGTTTTGTTTTGTATTAATTTAAATTCATAAGCTTCGTTTCCGTTCAATATCTTTATAATGTAATCGCATTTCCTACAGGGTGTAATTGTAGGCACTTATTTTTCATTCTCGCTCGTTGGTGCTGGAAAGAAAGCCAGCGTCATTCCCTCTATTCTGCAATTTGCTGCCATCGGGTTTTCTCAGCAGCTTCCTGTGATGGCCCCATTGTTTGCAGCCTGTTGGTGGTAATTGGAGGCGCTGAAAACTGAACAGAAATAATGTTGAAACTTTCTGTTATTCACTGACATTAATTATCATAGCAGTTAATTTAATGATTATTATGCACATTATTTAGTCTTCTTTTTGTTTTTTTTTATGCTAAGCAGCAAAGCCTTATTGGTCTACAGATATACAGTTATTTACCCATATTAGAGCACTTTAATACTTTTATACGCTTGCGTGTGTGTGTGTGCCTAGGAGTTGTTTATTTGTTGACCCCAAACATGGTGGCTCTGACCTAAAAGTAATTTATGTGGTGCGCATGCGCATACCCCTTGGCGCTAGCAGTTAGAAGCTTGTTAATTAAACTCAACAGAATTAACTGAAATTTTCACCGCTGCGAGTTATCGATTTTCCAAATGCTTTTTCGGCGTTGGCTTTTTGCTTTTTCTCTTCTTTGTTTTGAATTTTGTTTTGTTCAATTTTTGTGTGATCTTTTTTTATGCCCTGAACAGGGGCTCTATTAAGTTTGCCGCAAATTTTTCCCAAACGGATACGCCGGAGAGCTTATAAATTATTATATATATATATATATATATATAGGCAGCTTGAGGAGTTGAGTCGATTTAGCCGTCTGTCTGTATATATGTGAACTAGTCCCTCAGTCAGTTTTTGAGTTATCAATCTGAAATTTTGCAAACCTCTTTTTCTTACCAAGAAGCCACACATTTGTCGGAATCGCTAATATCGGACTACTGTAGGATATAGCTGTCATATAAACTGAACGATTCAAATCAAATTCTTTTTTATTTGAAAAGATATCTTCACAAAATTTAATGTAGATTATTATCTTAGGGACCACTATAACCTCCGAAGAAATTGTTAAGATTCGGCAACTATAGCATATAGCTAACAAACTGACCGTTCAAAATCATTAAAAAGATCTTTTTATACCCTTTTATGCTATAAAAATGCACTTGTAAAGGGTATTACAGCTTCGGTGCTGCAGAAGTTAACGTTTCTTGTTGTTTTGTATATTATTTGTTAATTTGATGCGCCGTTCAGCAGATCAGCAACAACAAAATGCACGATTAACTTGGAAATTAAAGTAATGTTTTTTCGTACAATTGTTATTGTTTTGATGTTGTTGTTGTTAATGTTTGTTAGCAAAAGCACCATTAGGCAACTAGCTACAAGGCACCAACTGTCTCGTTGTACGTCCGTTCGTCCGTCAATGATATTGACTTTGGTTTGCGGCGATCGCTTTGGCTTTTGGCTTTTGACTCCGCGGCGCTGTGGTTGCAGCGGCAGTGTCAGCGGTCGAGGGGCGGGTATGTTACGATTTCATGGAAGTCATTTAAAAAGGCGAACACGCTGCTTCAACGCCAAACAAATGTGATTAACAAGCGCAACCACATAAATAGTGACGGTAAACATGTGTATATATGTATGTATGTGTTTTGTGTATAAGGCAATCTCACGCACATTCGAACACACGCCGAGATAAGCAAAATTAATGCAGCACCTTTAATTCGCACGACAAACAAATGTTGCAAGCACACATACACAAATGTACGCGTATATTAACCGATATGCAATGCATAATTCGCACAATATCTGCACAACAATAACAACAGCAATAGGAACAGCAACAACATGAACCAGTATGCCGACTTTGTTGCGGCTCTTGCCACACGTAGCACATGCATACTGTATGTACATATATACATGTTGCAACCCGAAGCGAATTAAATTCCTCAATCCTGTAATGAATTTATTTTTAGACTAAATCGCACTCATACACACGCCAACATACACACACACAGACACACACTTACGCGCGCGCATATAAAGTCATGCAAATAAAAAGTTATTATAAATAAAAGCCTAGTCCAACTGACTGACTGTGCGAACGTGCAACCAACGAGCCAACAAATCGTCCGGTCAACCGGTCGCCGACACAAGCACACACACATACACCCGTATAGAATTTATAGAACCATCTACTACTTTTACTGGTCGGCCGCCGATTGGTGATGATGGGTTCAGTGCTGGCGCTGGTGTAGTTCTTGCCGCCGCCACCGCCGCTGCTGCTGTTCAGTTGCTCAGCTTTTCAACTCCGCACAACGTGCGACGCAATCTTTTATATTGCGCGCTGACATGAAATCTGTAATCGGCTAGAGTGTTTCCTTCACATATAGTGAGTGCGTGAAATTTTCGGGTGCAAAAATATTTAAGGGCTTATATCCACTTGAAAATTTCAAAAACCTGATTTTTTTAATATACTATCACGAATGCAAAAATGCTTGAGAATATTCACCAAAATTTTTAAGTTTATTTGGAAAATATTTTCAGAGATACATAGGGGCGTTTTTGTATGAATTCTTTAAATTAATGTAATCGGCTGCCATAACTAAAAAAATACACAAAAAAAACCCTTTTCTCGAAACACTTCTGTTTCAAACAAAATTAAATCTATTTGAAACACACTGTTTCAAAGTCAATGAGTAAATTTTCTCGGAAACGGCTGGACCGATCAACTTGACATTTTCACACAACTTGTTCAGATATAACATACATATGTAATATGTATCAGTCAATGATCGAAGGAATACAATTTTTTATAACAATTCCGACTTTTTAATCCACTCTGAAGTGTAAATTTTGTCACAAAAAACTACTTTTTTTAAGTACAATAGTAACAATAAATTTTTTTGGTTTTTGGATTTGAGATAATTTTAAATAGAAAAATCTTCCGCATCGCCAGACACATTTTTTCTGAAGTCCTCCAAATTTTTTCAAAATGATCGCGGATTATTCAAGTACATTGAATTTTGTAAATGTGTTTTTTATTGATTGATTTATAAAATTTATAAAATAAAATGCCGCTTAAAAAACAAATTCACAAAAAACGAGTTTTTTCTGACTTGCAAGTGCATACAAGCATTCGGTATTTAAGAGCCAAATTGACTCTCTCTCTTCAAAGGCGGCGTATATAGATAGGTGGCAACTATATTTAAAAAATTGTCGATATTGAATACTTTCCTCATACTTCACAAAGCTAGGATGCGGGTTTTTTAATATTTTTTCGAAAGTTATTTTTTGTCGAAAATATGTCAAAATTTAAGATTTCCAGAAACTTTCCGGAAATTTTTCTTAAGCAGCTTATGTCTGGCACACATTTAGCATAAATGTAGACTTTAAATTTTGCTAGAGCTACCAACTCTGGTCCAAAATATGTCGAAGTTAAAGATTTCCAGAACTATTTTTAAACCCCCATAACAAGAGCAGTCTTAAAAAATTTGTGGAAATCGGCGCAAATATAACAAGACATAAACTTGTTTGGACTGAAGGAAGTATACCGCTCAAAAGGCCTTTCTGTCGGCGATTTCAGATTTCAAAGCTTGGATTTTTTTGAACTATTTAAAATGGGAATACACTTTTGTTAAAATGGTAAGTAAACCTGACGAAAGGAAAGGCAGAATAGAAAGGTTCAAACCGTCTCTGCAGGAAAATTTTACGGGATTAATGAGTATATCGTAGATTTATTAGGAATCGAATCCGTTTGGAAGATACCTAAAACTACAATTGTCGACAGACGTATCTCACAAATAGTGGAGAGGCCCCATCAATATACTCAGATGAGGTATTTTTGCCTAATTTTAATTTTGTTTGGTTGTAAGACTGTTAGAGTGTAGTGAAAGGGAAGCTTTGACATTCGTTCAACTGAGCATTTGAACTTGAACATTTGACTTTACAGCAGCAGTATTTATCGGAACTTTAATTAAATGTTAGCTGGGTATTGTACCCTTGTTGTGGTTTCTTTTTTGAAGTGTAGTTTTCTTATTTATCGCTTTCGAGATCTCTGATTCTCAAACTGATCTTTAGAATACTGTAGCATCGCAAAAAAAACTTTTAGGAAGAGTTCATGTGATTTTGATCGATTTTGCTGTACTTTAAGAATAAAGACCTTCCAGTTTCTCATCAAACGCAAACTGAACAAAAAATCATATTTTACAAGATAATTATGGACAAAGAAGTGGAAGAGAAGCTCAGGATCACTTGCCGAATACGAAACTTATTTTATTTTGCTCCGTCTCAAACATTATAGCGATCTTACCAACTTTATATCAGGCTCAAGCAAAAGCAAAATCAGGCTCTTGTCTACTCAAGGTTTCTCCACAAAAAAAAGTTGCTAAAATAATTAGACTAAGGAAAAAAATGTCTTATTATTATAGCACTGATTTAGCGCTATCTGAATGTGAATTTGTAAACAAGAGTGTGAACAGTCAGGGTTAGTGAACGAATAATTTTATTATGATGAGATTAGTTTTAAATTTGATCAAACTACTTGTTCAGAACCCTTATTTTTGCAATTGTTTTGCGAACAAACCGCTAACTCACTGTCCATACATATCGCCATGCTGCAGGCGTTAGTCTCGTTTAGACACGCTTTACTAAATACAAGCGAGTAACTGCAGTCCAACGGCTTAGGACCTACTAAACTTTCGGACATATCTCTTAACTCCAAAGTCATAAGTAGGTAAGATGGGGCAAAATAGGTAAAGTGGCAGCCGTATCCCGCCGTGCCAATCGCCTCCGCTTCGCTCACACCTACCACGAATTGTAATATTAATCGGTAAAAAAATATAAAAAGTAAATAAATTCAAGTAAAGAATCCTCGCTGTTACGGATTTACGCATTGGACGGTGCGTACAAATTTCAAAGATTAGCCAGTGGCTAAATTCTGTCCGCGCTTGCAAACCCAAACATATCTACATTGGAGCGCATTCAAAAGGGCGCACAGGTCCGCTGCGCGCTCATCAACCGGACAGACAGACAGACAGACGAAGAGTCTTTATACGATCAGCACACGGCGGCTCAACTAATAAAGTACGTAACGAATTAAATAGTACAATAAACACGGAATGCGCAGCAATATTCCACGCAGCATCACTTGAAAATTGCTAAGTGTCTGTCAATTTCGAAATGAGCCACAAAAAAGTCAAACGAGGCAAATGGTAAAAAATCAAGGACCCTAAAGGGGTCAAATGCTTTTTGCAATGCAAGCGGTTAGGGCAGCGCGCGCGTATGAAATGGAATTGTTCGGATGACACAAATCCGATTGCTGCCTTGCGCCCGCCGTGCGGAGCTGGTGCCGCATTCGATGCGTGTCTTCTGTAGGCAGCACTTTTGATGGACACTTTAGAGTTAAAAGGATGTGCAAGGAATACAAGTGAATAGGAACGAATGTGCCGTCTGTATGCGCCTACGTCTGCCTTTATAGCTAAATGTATTGTCATTTTTAATTGCTTTATTTTGCCAATTATTTCTATGCATCTTCATTCTTTGCTCGCAGTTCGGCTATTAAGTGCATTCAGCGGGCCCTTTCTATGTCGGGTGTTGATGCTGCGCTTGTTAGTCTCAATGCCACTACTTTTAGTTTTTTTATGAAATTCTATAAGGGTTATAAGGGTGCTTTTTTACTTGACCCTGTGCTAGACATCACTTATAGAATTTATAAGCCTTACTCTAGACATTTTAGTGAAAATCTCTTTCTTTCCGCACTCGTATAGTAAGAAAAGAAGGTCTTTGTGCTCTCTAGTAGTGCCAATTTCCAACTTGTCATCCGCGCCATACTAACATATGGTGCGGTGGATGGAATTATCGAAAAAATGCCACATTAAACCTCTGGAACATGTGCCACGGGCCGTCTTGCTGGGGATTACGGACGCAATGAAAACTACATCAACAAAGGCTATGCAGTTTATCCTCGATATTCGGCCAATACATATTCAAGTGAAGTACGTGTATGATGCAATTCTTATGACCAGCCGGCTCATAGTTTTAGGCCATTGGATAAAGGCTCGACGTCCAGCATGGTATAATACTCGACCTTGTTAATGTACTCGTTCTTAATTGGCAATGCGACTGAGAAAAGGAGAGCCATGAGTAATTAAACGCGACGCTTTCATTCCCCAGTAAAGTAGAATGGCCCGATGGTTCTCTGATCGGCAGTTCCAAAGGCGAAATCGACATATTTACCGACGGATCAAAGGGTGAAATAGGAACAGGAGCGGGCTTCTTCTATAGTAATTCCTACAAAGAAGGTAGCTTCCAACTAAATGACTACAATTCAGTCCTTCAGGCTGAAATTGTTGGCAAAACAGAAGTTGCCAAGCGGGCTTCTGCTCTAACCAGAAAGTCCATAATCCTGTTAGTGGACTGCCAAGCGGCAATTGAGGCTATCTAGCAAGCAATAACCAGACTCTCAGTAGGTAACTCGGTTAGTATCTCCCCGGATACCCAGTCATTTATTTGAATAATCTGGGTACCCAGTCTTATTGGAATAGAAGGAAACTAAATGAAAGACGAGTTGGCCAGATTTTTACCAAATTCATTGAGTTACTGGATAAGGCTTTATTTGGTTACCACCCAGAGGCACCATGAGCCAAATGATGACCTAAATACGGCCGCCTGCGGTCTGGGGCTCCTGGTCTTCCTTTTCAGCTAACCAAATAACCAAAGAGTGGTCTCTAATTTTTTATCATTATACCCTGAACAGGGTATATTAACACCCAGAACGAAACGTCGGAGACCCAATTAAATGTATACATAAATGATCAGTATGATGAGCTGAGTTGATTTAGTCATGTCCCTCTGTTCGTTCCTCTGTCTGTATATATACAAACTAGTCTCTCAGCTCTTAAGCTATCGATCTGAAATGTTGCACCAGTCCTTTTCAAACTAAGAAGCTGCTCACTAAGAAAAAGTTGTCAGAACGGTATCGATATCGGATCACTATAAAATTCATTGAAAAATATTATTTATTTTACATTTTTGTAAATAATTTAACATTTATAAAATGTTTAAAAAACAGTATTAGAAGAATTTTTAGTTATAAAAATGCAAGCAAAATATTTAATATTTTTCATCTACCTATTAATTTTTGTATATAATTTCTAATTAATTTAAAAAAAAAATTTTCTTCCTAAATTTTATACACAGTTATTTCAATTCACTTTCATTTACATTTTTTAGCTTAAGTATTTAATAATTTTTAATTATTTTGAATATATATTTATATAAAAATACATACTTACATACATCTTTATCAAACATTCTCATCAAACACTGAAAAGCTCCGTTTACAAGCACCTTCAATAAATAACCAAATGAAATTTTCGAATGGGACATTTTCCTATCACAAACACAGCGATTTTGGGAAATTTCATACTTATATTTGTGTATACATATATACATACAGGTTGGTTGAAAAGTGAGCAATGCTCACCAAGAAATAGCACACAAGATCCAAATATTTGTTTTTCTCAAGTTGGTATTAATTCTTTGTTCACAAGCCATTTGAGGTTGACATGTCAGAGTATTTTTTTAATATGGAAAAATTGAATATTGTGCAGTGATTAAATCCTTTGTTTTGAAAGGTTTAAAAGCAAAAGAAATTTATGAATAATTGTTAGAAGTTTATTAGGAGCCCTCACCTTCAAATTGCACCGTTGAATTTTGGTCTGGTGAATTAAAACGTGGTCGTACTAGTCTTGAAAACGATTAACACGAAGGACGACCAAAAACCCAACCACACCAGAAATCAATGATCAAGTTCATAATATCGTTAGTGAAGATCCTAGTTTGACTAGGCGAACAAGTACTTCATATTTTACATGGAGAATTACAGATGAAAAAGCTGTTTGGAAAGTTAGTGCGGCACACGTTAACAATTCAACAAAAACTGGATCGAAAACAAATTTCTCAGTATAATATGGAGCGTTTTAAGCAGATTAAACCGATTTCTCGCGTCGTTTTATAACTATGGATTAGACTTGGATCTACCACCATGATCCTAAATTGAAACAAGAACGTTTACAGTTGACTCAAGCTGGTTGTTTCGCGCCAAAGAAGGTTATGGCATCAGTTTTTTGGGATGCGGAAGGAATTTTGTTGATTGATTATCTGCAGAAAGGTAAAACAATCAACTCTGAATATTATAGCAGGTTTTTGAATAAGCTGAATGAAAAAATTCATGAGAAAAGACCTAGTTTACAGCACGAAAAAATCATTTTACATCAATACAATGTACTTGGTTGGGAGCAAGGGTCTTTCAACAATGACAAAATTCAACGAATTAGTGTACGCACCGTATTCACTAGATTGGGATCCCAGCAGGTAGTAGTACTCTTCAGAAACCTGAAACAATTCCTTCGTGGAAAGCGTTTCGTCGAATGTAGAAGCTATTACAGCCGTAGACGGGTATTTCGCAGAGCTTCCGGAACGTTAAAATAAGAATAAAAGTATTGGAGGATCATTGGAATAAGTGTATTGAAGTTAACGGAGATTATATTAAATAAAAAAATATATTTCGTACCAAAAACAGAATTTTTTCATTTCGAGCGCAGAACTTTTCAACTAACCTATATAAATGTATATATCTATGCATGATTGTATACAAAAAAGCACACGCCCGGGCAAAAAGCTTTCCACTTTCCGCCTTTTCCAACTGAACGAAACTTATGCTTATCACCAAGTGCTTTTGCGCACATATGTATGCTACAAAAATTGCTTGCCGCTTTAATGCACTTCCGAGAGCGCATACATACATATCTACATGTGGGTAGCTTGCTTGCTGGCTGTTATAAAATGCATGACATAACATTTATACGCAAACAACTGTTATACTTAATCCAACAAACGTGCATTTTAAATTTACATATACACATACATACTTACATTAAAAAGACATACCTACGATTTGTACGCACCCAGGAAATATTGTACATCGGCGAGTATTGAACGCGAGCGGCCGCGTATGTGTGTGTTTGTGTGTGCTTGTGGAAGCAGCAGTCGCAGTGGCAGTGGCAAGCACCACAACCGTGGTGGCACATAGCCGAGTTGTTGTTGTTGCGGTTGTGTACTGGAGCTTCGGCGCATGCCGTCGCAGTGTGGTGACTTTGAGACTTTTTTGGGCTTTATTTTTTCGGTTCTTTTTATTAACAAGAAATTCATATACAAAAACACACCCGCACTCACAAATACACTCATTCATTGGGTCGCGAGCGCACGTATGTACGTTAATTTGTTGGTGTATGCGCGAATGCAGTCGAGTTTGGTTAGATACATCCAACTATCTGCTCGTACTTATGCTTCGGTGCTGAAATAAATATTGGGTATTCTTCGCGCAGAGGAGTCTCACGTCATTCTTTCATATTTCTACGCCTGACATACTTACACACAAACGGAGAGATATACAGATGTACAAATATACATATAAACATATATACATCCGTATGTGCCTGTGTACAAACAAACAAATAAATATGCCGAACGAGCAATAACGACAAACGACAACGGCGACGACAAAACGATTCGCCCGCCTGAGTCCAATATTTCGAATGTAGTGATTCAGTACGCTGTGTGGCTGTGCGAAAAAACTATCAAAACATTCCGCCTTCGTTGGTGTTCATTGCACAAATAAAAAACGAACGCTTAAGCATAACGGAAAAAGTAGTCCTGTTAACTGAATTGCAGTAGTATACAGTATTTTTAAAGAAATTTAAAAAATTACGAAAAAAAAGTTTGTATAATAATTTCGAAAATAATTTTTGAAAAAATATTTTCTTGTATTAAAGTGCAGTTGAAGTACAACAATTGATTTTGTTTGTTTGAAACGTGTGTTGGTCAGTGCAAAAGCGTTGAATTCAATCTTTTCGGCAGCTGCTTGTGTTTAATCACACACACATCCATACAAACGCGCCGCTAGTGTATACATAGTTATCTGCCATAATCAGCAGATTCCGCAAATTGTCATTGGGACAAATTATCGAAAATTTCTCTTTCACTTCGGGAAAGCCAGCCTGCTAGTCAACGAGTAAGCCAAACAGCCAGCCAGCCATGACATCAGTGCGCAACAATGCAGTCGCCGCTCTGCTGCTGGGATGGGTTATTTTTGGGTGCCTCAATAATTCGGGTATGTGTACCGAAAAAAAAATATTAAATTTCGCAATTAGTTGCAGAGGGTGGGGGGAAAATCTAAAATATTTTTAATTTTTGAAATATATTTATATATGTACATGAGTGTGTTTGTGTGGCATGTTTTTTGGAAACAAATAGTTTTCGTAGTGAATAGTTGCCGCTGAAAGGCTGTCGTCACTCAACTCATGGAAAAAAACAAAAGCTGTGCTAAGGATACACAGCGTGTGTACAGTATTTTTTAGGAAAAATATGTACAGACATATATACATACATATGTATATGTACGTAGTGAGCGTGTGATTTATCTTTGTACATATTAAATTTCAGCGCAGAATTCTGCTATAAATTCTTAATATTTTTGTATGTAAGTAAAAAGCATATTGCTTTTTTTCAATATAATATTGTTGTATTAGCACATATGCTTCAATTTGTACAACTAAAACGCTATTAAAACTATAAAATAGTTTGTTTGGATATTTATATACATACAAACAAAAGCATATAAGCACGAAGTGGTTTAATACGGCAGCTTTTGAGTACTAAATTTTTTTTAAATAAAAAAATAACAAAGAAACTTTAGTGACAACATAAAAATATTTTCATAATTTATAATTCCTCAAAAACATGTTTAAGCTGCACATTTCTCATTAATATCCCAAGATTGTTGCGAAAAATGGAAAAAAAATATAACACCTTTTTTTTTAATTTTTATTAAACTTTTACAAAAACAGAAAAAAATGCCAACTTTTTATATATTTATACTAAAAATTCGAACAACTATTTCTTTTTTAAGTTTTATTAAATGTAAAGAAAAATAAAAAAACTCGAAGAACTATTGTTTTTTTCATTTTTCATAAATGTTACTTTTTTATTTTTATTAAATGTTTTGAAAAATAGAGCAAAAATCGAACAAATATTTTATATTTACTTTTTGTAAAATTAAAAAATATACATAAAAAAATTCGAACAACATTTTTTACATACTTATTAAAAATTAGTACAATTATTCTTATTTTTTTGTTTATATTACATGCTTTGAAAAATAGAAAAAAAAATTGAACATATATATTTTTTTAAATTTTTTATTGAAAATTCGTATAATTATTATTATTTTTTAATTCTTATTAAAAGTCTTTAAAAATAGAAAAAAATCGAACAAGTATTGTTTTTTTTATATTTCTTTTTTACAAATTTTATACATTATGTTTACTAAAAAAAATGCGTTAATAATATTTTTTTATATAAAATGTATATATTCTTCTCTAATTATAACTACAGTCTATTTTTATTAACTTATGAATATCTATGGTATTCATCTATTCAACTTTAATTCATAATTTAATTTTAAAAAAATATCATATAATATGAAAAAGTAAACCAAAATTTACATAAAAAAACAAAATATTTAAACTTTAATAAACAAAAACAAAAAAAAGCATTTTAAAATAAAAAATACCTCAATGAATTTATACTAAATTTGATTTGATTTGAAAATAAAAATAACAATTATTAGATAAAAACTAGGCCATTAGATACTCTTGCAGTTTATCAGCATTTCAGAAGTGATAAATACGCCAGTTTCGGTAAAATTTACTATAAACAAGGCTGCATTTGGCTGCAGCGAAGCTTAGCTTTTCACAGGTGCATTTCTTATATGTAGCCTAAAAGGGTATAAAGAGGTCTTTATCTCGATGTACAGACAGACAGTATATATATATATATATTTTATAAAATTTCCTACGTTGCCTTCTAGGTATTACCATCTTCATATACCCTGTTTAGGGTATAAAACATAAATCTAAAACAAATAATCCTTTTTCGATACCGAACCTAACCTATTAAACATTATTTCTATTAAGTGTACATCTAAGGATGCGTGAAACAGTTTTTACGCACACATATATACACATACATTCATGGCTGGCAGTTTTCTGAGTAAATGAGTCATTATTTTGGAATTCAGACAGTGATGCCTTGAATATTAACAACAAATGTTACATAAAAAGTGCCAGAAATATGAACACGACACATTTTCGTCAAATTATTGCGAATGTCAAACGAAGATAAACAACAGATGGAGAAATTTAATTCCGCTATTTACATTTCAGTTCGCAGAACTTTAATCTCGCTTGCACAAATATTGCAAAGTTGCAAATTTGGAGCGGTTGCTGTGGTGTGAGCAAAAGGATTTATATGAAATATGTGGAATTTACAAACACACATATGCACACACGCCAAGCAAACAAATATGTTCATATAGGTGTGTGTGTTTACATGGATGAAAAAAACGCTAGGCAAATATGTAAATATGCCAACACAGCTATTTACTTTGCTTCTTGCAACAACACAGCCACTTATATACACATATACACACATATATATCCATACACATTGATGTTTTGGCCACAGCAACAGCGGCAGCTTTTGAAAAGCTCGCATGCTGCGAAACAATTTCGTACTTTGTGATAAGAATTTAATACACTATTTAATAGCGCGCATACTCAAACTAACTAACACACACATACGTATATGCATAGATACTTAGCTGAATCTAAGTGCTTAGGTTTGTTGTTACATGCAAACTAGCATATTTATACCGTCATAAATTCCTAATCGATGAAACCACATAATAATATATACATATATACATACATACATATCTTATAAATAACATAAAAAGCGACAAAAACGGCATTTACCAAGTAATGGAAATAGCAACAGAAATAGAAATAGAAATATAGTAATCGCAATGGCAAAAAAGGTCAAACCGAGGGGCGGAAATCAACACACACAGTCATATCAGTGGAAGCAGATAATCATACTTTTACAGACACACATATTTGTACTAACTGTAAAATTTTTTGGAATTTAAATTTTTGTAAAAAACAAGAAAAAATAATAATTTCGACTGTACCGAGGCTATAATACCCTTCACATGTGCGTTACTTAGAGCATAAGAAGGTATAAAAATTCTTCAACTTGATTTTAATGGACCAGTTTGTGAAACAGCAGCTTTATGCTATAGTGGTCCGATCTAAACAATTTCATCAGTATAATACCATTGCCTGGGATAACACTGCATGTAAAATTCCGTAAAGATATCTCGACAAATAAAAAATTTTTACATACAAAAACTGTATTTTGATGGATCAATTTGTACGGCAGCTATATGCTATAGTAGTCGGATATCAGCGGTTCCAACAAATAAACGGTTTTTTTAAGGAGGAGAAGATATGTGCAAAATTTCATAACGATATCTCAAAAACTGTGGAACTAGTTCGTTTATACACAGGCAGACGGATAGACGGATGGACATGACTAAGTCGAAACAGCTCGTCACGCAGATTATTTATATAGAATATACTTTATAGAGCCTCTAACGTTGCCTTCTGGATTTTACTAACTTCGTAGCAAACTTAATGTACCATTTTCAGGGTATAAAACTATAATATGTATTTCTGCTTTATACACGTGAATGCGATAGTCAGCGTGAACATGTTCCATATGCGTGCATAAATTAAGCGCTACAAATGTATGTATGTATGTATGTACAGATTGGGGTTGTCTAAAACGTACTACAACATGAATTTAAATTTTCGTGGTAAAACGTTTTATTAATACATTTTGTTTTTAGTTTTCTGATATTTATCACACTTTATGCAGTTAGGGAGAGAGAGCTGAGAGAATAAACGAAATTATTCGTAGTAAATAGCTCTCTATGTACTGCAAATTGACCTGATATTCTTATCGTACGTAGTTTTTCTCACACTTAGACCTGCATTAAGCAAATCTCAGTGACCTTTACTGCTTACTAAGTTATTAACAATAACACAAATATAATAACAAAACTAAACGTTGCATACAATTAGGCGCTGAGCAGTATTTTTTTAGTTAAATAACATATCTATTAAGGATATAGTGAGAGAAATTTAATATTTTTTTAACCAATTTAAGAAACAGTTATTTTGGATAAGTGAAATATGGAAACAAATATATATTTATTAATTTTTTGATTATGTTTTTCAAAAGTTTACCCATTCTTTTAGCCGAGCCACATACTTAATATGACGTTAATGAAATGACATTATTTTTCTAGTAGTTTAGAAAGCTATATTGACCTACTTCTTTTTCTTCTCGGGCGGTCTACTATCAAAAACAACATTTTTAAATAAAATTATTCCGTATAATATAATAACATGCACAGTTGGGTTTGCGTAAAAAATTTGTTCATATTTTTCAAATGTTTGATACATTTGTACAGGTGGAGCTCTTTATTTTTTATTTTTTAATTTTTAATTTTTAATTATTTTTTATTTTTATTCTTCAAAAATTTTTTTTTTTATTTCAAATATATGTTTGTAAATTTTTTTAATTACCATTTTTTTTTAAACAAATATATGTTCCAAAAAATATATGTTTTTAAATTCTTTTTTTTTTTAATTTTCATATCTTACAATTTTATTCTTAAAACTTTATTTTATTTAAAATTTTATTTTATAAATTTTTTGAATTAAAATATTTTTCAAGTTTTTAATTTTTATTTAAAATTGTTATTTGTAATTTTTTTTTGTTTATTTTTTATATTTTTAAAAACTAATATTTTTTATTCTTTTATCTCAACATTTTATTTTTAAACTTTTCATTTAACATTTTTATTCTTTAAATTTTTATTTTCAAACTATAAAACAATAGGTAGCCGAAAGCCACCCAACATTATTTTAATAATCGGCACACAAGCATTCCCAACATAAATTCTTGCATATCGCACATCTGTTTTTTAAGTTCACATACCTACATACATGTGTATGTATATTCACACACAAACGCGCTTGTAAGTACACTCCCAAGTTTGTGGCGGCCACAGTAGCATGCCACATGCCAATGAGCGGGTTCGCTACTGGCACTCGAAGTCATCGAATACGCCATAATCCACCACTAAGCTATTCCGATGTTTAATTGCTTCATTATAATTATTTGCTGTGCATAAGTGTGCGACTGCGTGTGTGTGTGATTGCGCCTCTTTTTTCTTTAATTTCTCCACGATCAAAAGTGTTATACACATGTGCACAAGGGTACTTAAACACTTCCATACTTGCATACTTACTTGCTTACATAAAAAGCGTACACACACACATGCATACATGTGCGCACTACAAGTGTGCTGTGCTTATTTACATGGCCTGTATATGGCTAAATGTATTTACGCATGCTCAACGTGACATTTGAACGTTTTATTGCTGTTGTTATTATTATTTTTATTCTTTAATTGAGGAATTCAGAATTTTGTACAACAAAAAACAGCAAACAAAAAACATTTGTTGTTATTGTTGGAATTAACAGTTCTTTTGTCCATGACTTTTCAGTATATTTTTTTTTATTTTTTGCTGTTGTTTTAACAATATCCATACGTATTAACCCTTATTGGCAAATACATATGTACTTCGTTGCATGTACACAGCTTATGTACAGAGCCATATATGGCTAGAGTTACATGTAGGTACACATGCTCTCACGTACTTAAATTCATTAAATTACTCATTGTCCCATTATTGGCTGGAAATTTTAATTGACCTTCCATTTGTGTATTATCTCGCACATTTTTATTGCTATTTTATTCGTAGCCTTTCGCTCATTCAGCACATTCAATGAGCATATGAAATTATATGCGTTCCATTTTTTTCCGATTTATTTTTCCTGTAATATCCGGCAGAGAAAGCAAATTTGGCTTTAGTAAATGTGACCGTGGAAAACCCGTTAATTTAGGCGCATAAAAATTCGTAAAAAATAAAAGTAAAATTTTAGAGGAAATATTAGCAAAAGAAAAGTCCGAAGAGTGTATTTTTCTTGATTTTTTACTAATAATTTAACATTGTTTTTATAAGAGTATCCAGTAAAAAATATATTTAGGTGAATTAGGTCGTCTTCTAAAAATGTGCATTACAAAAATACTCATAACTAGTAAGGATGGGCTAAGTTGGGGTGTAACTAAACATTTTATACTCTCGCAAGGTAAAGTGATATACGCGATTTCCGTATATATTTTAATTAATAATAGGAAGTATTACCACCATTAATTACAATCACAAGCATGAAGATATACTGTTATTAGAAAGAGATCTCTTCTGAATTTCATTAAGATTTTTTACGTATGGGATGATAGGTGCGGTGTAAAGTCACCCGGAAGCTCGAAAATCTTTATATTAGCAATGTGGAGCTTAGGGAAGTATTGACCCAATTTAACACAAAAATATTTTCCCCGTATTTCAATACTCACAGATTGACCGATATCTTCGGCACATATTTGTTATCTCTGTCTTTGAAATGTTATAGTCCGATTTTGAAAATTATTGAGCATAAGATTAAAGGCTTTGAAAGCGCTATCCGCGTAAAGTTTTACTCTGATAATTTCATTGATGTTTGATTTGTATACTGTAAAGTGAAAAAGTGGGAAGTAGGCGTGGCTGTCATTTGATTTTCACGTTCTACGATAGGAATGATGAGGGATGAGGGTAACCTCACACACAAAATTTTTATACAGGATTTCACCTAAAAGTGGGCGATGCCACGCCCTATAAAGCCCTTTTCCAAATAAACTACCTTTCAGGAAATTTGATGGGCGGGGCCCATTTTGGGGAAAAAAGTGTTGAGGTTAAGTTTTTGAAAATTATTTAATACACAAAACTTTTGTAGATAAAAATTCCATATTAAAATTTATATATTATCATTTTTATTTCATGTTACTTCGACAATTGGAAAATTATTTTATAACATTTTTTCTTTAGTTCATGTATCAACATCAAAAGCTAATAGGGCGTCTCTAAAGATTACAATTACTAAAATATTCATATAAATTAGCCGTTGAGAGACTTTCATCTTTTGTTTTCGATTACAAAAAATTATTTAAGATCAAGTTTTTTGAATTTTTTTTAGATAAAAATATATACGAATTTAATTATCCTTTTTTGAATATTCATTTTAATTTAGTTTTTTTTTCTAATTTTGGCTTTTGACAGGTTAAAAAGATTATTTTTAAAAAAAACTTTTTTTTATTGACCGCTTTAAAGACTGCTGTTTTCAAAAATGTAATAAAAAAAACAATTTTCAGTCCTAAATTTACTCCCTCAACTCAAGTTATCTTGTTTATTGATGACTGAAATTATTTGCTAAAATTTCTGTGCTTTTGCTCATATAAACAACCGTTAATTGAACAAACCTTTAAAATAATTATATTAATTTACCTATTTATAACTAAATGATTTTCAGTCCTATGAATTTTTTTAATCAATTATCTCACTTCTACTCTTTTCCTTCACAGTCCTGGCAGATGTCGCGCAGAAATCTGGTGAAAAGTCCACAGACAGCACAGATCCAGATTACTTTTACGACGAATCAAGCCCCGAAAATATAAAGGCGGCATCCAAACCGCCTCAACCAACAATAACTCCATATTTTGATGAGCCAAAGAAAACTGTTTATGCCAAAAACAACGCCACTGTAACTTTAACTTGTCCAGTAAAGGATTATGATGGTAAGTAATTAATGAATCGAACCAAAAAACATGGAATAAAGACAGTGGAGCAGAAAATTGGAAATTGGAATATGAAGTTAGAGTAGTTAGTTCATATTGGAATATGAAGACCCACCAAACGAGGGTCGTTTTATAAGCCATTGAAATCATAGTGACTAAAAATGCAATACTGACCTCTACATGATGTTAGTAGACTACTCTTAAATTTTTAATTATGACTGTCGTATAAACATTTACGTTCGTAAAATTTTATGAAATTGAGAAAATATTTGCTTCATGTACCTGAAACCATGAATGTTAATGATAAATACTACAACGGTTAAGTTAGGTTAGGTTGAGAAGTCGATCCTAAGAAGGATCTCACTTGGATAGCTTAGAACATCGGTCAGTTGTGGTACCTAAAGCTCCTAAATACTATATTATAAGACCCTTACAGATCGAAAAACCGCTTTGAGCCTATCACAAATTTGATTTGAGATAGTTTCGGCGATGTCTTCTGATTCGTCGAAGGTAAGATACAACCATTCAATTGGACGGTGTCCAGTAAGAACTCCTACGATTGCGGCAAGAAGAAGTTTGCTCAGGACAAGTAGTTCAGTAGATCTCTTGCGATCTACCCAAGGCCAGAAGGATCTCGCAGTCGCGCAGGCTTGCTAAGGGCACGTGAGGTTCATTGGTCTAGTGCTAGAACGGAAGATACGACTGAGGCAATAAACAAATTTACACCCGCAGTGTTCTCCAAAACTAGTTGTGCATATATTATATTTTGGCTTTACGTTAAAAACAACGCCTTAAATAAGCAGGTATTCAAGATATTTGTACAAGAAAAGAATACTCGCACGGCATCTGCTCCTAATCCTCTATAGGCTTATTGATTTGAATGCTTCAAAAGAGTATTTGGCAATGTTCAAATCCTATAAGAATTAGTTTTCATATAGTATTCCAAATATATGTAGACGTACTATAGATTAGATCGAATTTAAAACAACAGAATCACTGAAATAGTTTAATTCAGCCCAAAAAGTGGACTGTTCGAGAATTTTTAGGGATTCATTTTATTTATTGTAAACCGCTTCGATGGTATAGGTAAAGACATAAATGACGAATATTATCAAAAGATTTTAGGGTTACGATTTTTCAAAAAATAACAGCTTTTTAATAACCTTAAGGAGTTATTTCCACTTGCAAGTCAGAAAATATTTTTTCACATCTTTGTAAATTTTTTAGAAGAGAATGTAATTATTAATTTAATGAAAAAAATTGTACATTTTGAGAATTTAATGTATTTAATAATCGGTGATTCATTATACCCTGAACAGGGTATATTAAATTTACCACGAAGTTTGTAACACCCAGAAGGAAACGTCGGAGACCATATAAAGTATATACATAAATGATCACCGTGACGAGCTGAGTTGATTTAGCCATGTCCGTCTGTCTGTCCGCCCCTCTGTCCGTCTTATATACGCGAACTAGTCCCTCAGTTTTTGAGATATCGATCTGAAATTTTGCACCTGCCCTTTTCTAACAAAGAAGCTGCTAATTTGTCGGAACGGCCGATATCGGACCACTATAGCATATAGCTGCCATACAAACTGAACAATCGGAATCAAGTGTTTGTATGGGAAACTCATTAATTTGACGAGCTATCTTCACGAAATTTGGCATGTATTATTATTTAAGGCATTAATCTAATCTCTGAAGAAATTGTATAGATCGGACGACTATAGCATATAGCTGCCATATTAACTGAACGATCGAAGTAAAGTGCTTGCATGGAAATTTTTTTTATTTGACGAGCTATCTTCACGAAATTAGGCACGAGTTATTGCTTAAGGCAATAAATTATTCTCCACAGAAATTGGTCAGATGAGATCACTATATCATATAGCTGCCATACAAATTGAACGTTCGGAATCAAGTTCTTGTAAGGGGCCTTTGTATTTGTGAAGCTTCGGCGCAACCGAAGTTAACGTTTTTTTTTGTTTTGAAAACTTTTGGATAAAAGTTTTGAATTTTGACAGTGATTTTTGTAAAAAAATGTACACTTCAGATTGACTTGAAAAATCGAAATTGTTATCAAAAATCTTATCCCTTCAAATATTACCTGACAAAAATAACTAAGAAGGTCGTGTGAAAAGCTTAAGTCGATCGGTACAGCCGTTTCGGAAAAATTTTCCTCACCGACTATGAAAACAGCGTTTCGAGAAGAACGCCTTTAAAGTTTCGGAAGCCTCTTACAATAAGTTGAAAAATATCTCCGAAGCTATTTTTTGGATCAATTTCAAACTTTCGTGAACTATTTTCAAAAATATTAACAATAGAAAAATATTTACATTTAGCTTTTTAACCACATTTTCGAAATCTTTAAAAACTTTTAATGGTCTTGGCTCAAATATAATATTTATATAATATTTTTAACGATTGTCTTACTATGGGCCATAACATGAACTCTTATTCTAAAATAAGCACTTTTATTCGAGTAAGATATGTAAACAAAATTCAAATACTACAACATAAAAATCACTGACTTATCACACGGCCCTCGTACATATGCGCCAAGTAAATTTGGGTTTGTGTGCGCTTAGTTTAGTTTGCTTGGTCGAGCATGATTCATAGATATAAAAAACCTAGCTTTCCTTACTAATCAAATAATCATACATACATACATACCATATGTGCATGCATATAAAGAGATAGCTATTCATATATACTTACGGGTAAGAACATGTGCACTCGCTAGCATTGATACATACATGATGTATGGTCTCCATATATTTGTCTATTTTGCATGAAAACAAAATATGTAAATTAGTTTCGAAATAAACGTACATACATACACACATACATGTACATTCATATGCACGTCCGCCATTCGCTTATGGCAATTCACACCTACTTTTCTGACACACACCTTTTCCTCAGATTGAACTATGCGTAACATGATTTCCTTTCAACACCAACCCCTGCTGCACCTACTAACCCACATTAATATACACACACAAACATACACATCTGCATATTTGTATTTCTCATATAGTATAACCCAGCTTTTCATCGACATTCAAATCAATTTGCATTAAAATATTTTAGCATTAATTAGTATTCCTATACAAATATTATACCTATACACATACATATATATATGTACACACGTTCTTGCCCTTATTTCCTTTAATTCTCACACTGATTCTGATTGTGATTTCTTTCTTCTCTCTACTCCATCCACTCCGCGTCTCGCGCTCTACGTTTTTCACACTCTACGCCCAATTCGCGAACAGAATCGCAACACCTAATTGTTTGGTTTAAGAACAACAACACCCTCACCACTGGACGGGAAATCGTCGCCGACGCATCGCTCTATCATCTGGACAAGGGCATGAATTTGGTAGTGGATCAAGTGTCGGAGAAGACCAAAGGTGATTACTCGTGCACCGTTATGCCGCATAAAGTCAAAATGGATATACATTTGGTAATCGGCGAGGAGCCTGTGGCCGATAATAAACAGATAATGGTGAGCGCAAGCGCTCTACTCCTGCTCTCAACGTTGGTGGCGCGAGAATTGAGCTTTGGTATTTTACGTTTAGATACATTTTTTTAGGCACACAGTTTATAAGCAGCTTCTTACATAAAATATATTTAGAGAATGTAAGAAATGAAAACAAAATGCAAACAAAAAAAGAAAATGATATTATTGTAATTGTACCATAGCTAAGAATAATTGTTTTTGTTTTGTTTTTTTGTCTGAATCCACTAAATACCACTACTTGCATATAAAACTTTATAGCAGAAGATTTAAACCGCAAGCAGTTAGTACATAAATAGAGTACTCGTATATTGAACCAAATAGACAGGCAATTATATAATGTAGTGCATTTGATAGTATAGAACACAGTATAATAAAGATGAACAAAATAGTACTTTAAACAAAAATGTGTATGTAGGTATGTATGTGAGGTGAATTGGCTTAGAAGAGCTTTAAATCGGTTGAAAAATTAAAAATTTGTTGCAAAGCAATCATATATAGCATATTTCAAGTTTAAATGGAACATGAATAAATTTTCATCGAAACGACGTATGCAGGTTTTTATGTTAGTTGTAAAAAAATATAATTTTTTTGTGAAAAAAATCTTTTTGTAGCATATTGAAAAGTCCAATTTTTGTTTTCTTCGAAAAGGCGAACTCATATGTCTGCGAGTATGCTTATTTATTTTAATGATTAAGAATATGTTTTTCTTAATAAAAAAGCGAATCTCATTTAATATTGGTTTCATCTAACTTTGGTTTTAATCGAAAGGTCGAACACACATTTCTTCGAATATGCATATTTTTGTAATGATTAGCAAACAAAAGCCTTTTTTTCTAATATATATATATAATATATCTTAAAATATTTTTATGAAAAAATCTCATTTCGTACTGGAAACGTTAAATTTTCGTTCTCTTCGAAAGAATGAACCAATATTTCTGCGAATATGCATATTTTTATATTGATTATAAATAAAAAACTTTTTTTTTATGAAAATGAAAATCTCGTGTAGCATTGAAAATGTCTAATTTTGGTTTTCATCGAAAAGATAAACTCATATTTCTTCGAGTATGTTTCTTCTGAAACAGTAAATTTGAATTTATTTGCATTAAAACTTTTTTTTTAACGTATTTCAACCAAACGACGAGTATACTGTTTTCTACTACATTTTCTAATAAATTTCAAACAAATTTTGGAACGTTTATTTTCAGAAGAGAAAAATTTTAAAACATAACAAAATAAAATGAAAAATGTGTAAAACAAAACAAAATAATATTAATAATAGTATATAATATAATATTTAATAGCGGTTATACTTTGCTGTAAATTTTATTAGGCTGCAGGTATCCAATTTTATAATTGACGCTATTAATATGCAGTAGCTTCCAAATAAAGACATTATTTTATATAAATGAGTAAGAAAATTGTGTACGTCGATTCGATGAAAATTCATTTTTTCACTTTAGGTGCGTACCTTTGAATGCGCGGAGTAACTAAAGACGATTTGCAAGAGTTTAGTTAAATGTCACCTATTTATTATTAGTTATAGAGTACATATACATATAAGTGTGATAAATTATTTTTCTGGTGTAACTAGTAATTTTTTCGAAATAAAAAAATTTTAATGCAGCAAAATTATGCGAAATTTAATGTCGTAGTTTTATATTTTTCAAAAAATTCCAATTCAACTAGAAAGTTTGCAAGTGAAATGATAATGAAACAATGATGAAACAATAAAAAGATTACTCAATTGCAGTTGTTAAACGTTGAGTTAAATATTTTTTGAATATAAATTATATTATACATATATATGTATATAAAAAATGCTTAAAATGCCAAATAGAACACTTACAAGTTCAAAATGTAATTTTTTTGAGCGATAAATTATAAAATCATACTATTTAATATATACATATTTTTGTCACGTCATGCTTGAAAAGTCTTCCGTTCGCAAATGAAACCAACAATTTTTTCTGTTATTAAGTGTGCCAAGAAATGGGTAACATTTAACCCCGCTTGATACATTCAATCATTGCATAAGTTCAACGGTTGGATGAACTATTTGTACGTTAACGTAAGTTCATCCATTGGAGGAAATTCAATATTTTCGGATTAAAATGCCAGTTTTGTATGCGAAGTTAAGCATCTGCTATTCTGTCTTGCTACTTGTATAAGCATGTCAATTCATTTCAATCTATTTCAATCCACAAGTATGCATTCTTTCGATGAATATTTTTTTATTTTATGCAAATGGCCTCCAAAGTAACAATTTCATCGTAATACCACAAAAGTCATATAATATCATATCTCTCTGTCTTGTAATCTCTTAAGAAACAATTAGGATGGCAATGAACAAAGCATAAATAAAGATCTTCTTCGCCGCTGGGACTTTTATGTCGACTTTTCAGGACATTTAGGTATCATCATATCGATTTAATGAAGTATTTTTATAAGAACCTTTCCCAAATCAGACAAGATCTCGATTTATAGCACATTTATTTCTACCCTCATAATTTCACAAAATATTTCACACGCACTTTAAAATAAGTTTCAATCTCAGGCAATCTTCACGAATCACGACTCTGATTTGTACTAAGTACGTCAATTATCTACATTTATATTGTATATATACGCGTGTGTGTACGTTTGCTGTTTCATGAAGATGCCTGATACCACAATGTGATTGTGATGTGTGTGGATTGTATTTTTCCATTCAATAAATATTCAAATATTGAGCTTAACTGTTTATTTCTTAAAAGTAAAAAGCTTAATGTGAAGTGTAAGCTCAAAATTTATTTTAGGCACTGTATGTGTTATGAACCTCCAGTTTCGAAACAAAGAATCGATTTTCTTCAAAAATTAGCTGTGTACGTCCATTCTTTATATACTTTTATGCGACGAAACTATGCTGAATTTAATTGCTTGCTTCAGCTGTAAATTTTAGAAAATAAATTTTTTAGCCACTAGTTGTGTATTGGATGAAACTGAATTTTATAATATTTCCATCTGCAAATCGTCTTTTCTTACTCTAAACTCACACACATATAACGCATATTTAATTATAATATGTATATTGACTTCAAAAAAACATTGTTCAATGCAAAAATACTCGTACTAACGGAAAAATATTAGTACTCGAGTGAACCATAAGTACATAAAGTAGTTTTTGTTCTAAACTTTAGCTGTTGATTTAGTACTTTATAATTACATACATGTTTGGATATATATACACACACACATATATTTATTTACATACAAATATATATACATACATATATACTATGTGCTCGTTGTAAGGACTTTGTACTGTCGAAAGGAGCTTGAAAACCTAAACAGCAGTTATAATAGAAATACTTAAGAAAATCCAAATGAAAATGTAAGCAAAGCTAAAAAAATGCTGAGAGGCAAGCATTAGTTGAAGCAACTGTAAGATATACATATGTAAGTAGAAGAGGAAGCAGTGAAACCGAAAAGTGCCATTATTTTACACAGAGGTAGCGAGACGGAGGAAGTAGTATGAATATAGTAAATAGTTTAAATAAAATTTTAGCAAACGCTTTTAAAGAGAAAATCAAGAATTTTTCAGTAAAAGAAGAGAAGTGAAAAATTATTTGCAAAAAATAGCAATTAAAAATTAATTTTAGCGAACCCTTTTACAAAAAAAAGAAAGTATTTTTCAGAGAAAAAAATTTACATGACAAATTATTAGCAAAAAAGAACAGTTAAAAATTTATTTTAGCTCACGTTTTCAAACAAAAAATCAAGTTTCAGAAGAAAAAGAATGAAAACTTAAGAGAAAAATTATTTGCAAAAATAACAGTTATAATAATTTTGTTGATTTTGTTAACAAAAATTTTAATTTATATTAGAAAACTATTTTTAGAAAATATTAATACAAACACACATAAGTAACGATAATAACTTATATGTATATGCATTAAACTCTATTATAACTGCTTGTTTACGCTGTCATGAGTACAAATTTTTATTTAGGATATTGAAAGTGCCGTCAGTAGGTGGATTGTATTGAAATATTGTATTGTACTGTATTGTATTGTAGTTGTAGCTATGCTTGTTAATAGCTGAAAGATATTATTATTCTTATTATGAAACTTATAATTAAAATAGTCGAAACAAAAACAAAAACAACAAAATAAAACAGTTGAATAATGAAATGTAACGTGAATTGTGGCAGCTTCTCTACAAGCAGCGCAGCAAGCAGCAACACTAAAAAAATGCCTTTTCAAAATCAAAACTGAATTATGAATCTAATGAAGCTGTGTAAAAGCGAAAAATTAAAAAAATGTGTGTACTTAAAAGTTAAGGCAAACCCAAAGCAAGTAGCATTGAAGGTGGCTAGTAGGCCTTTGCACGCATTGCAGTTTTAAAATGTATGGCAAGTTTTCCAAAAATGCGAAAAAATAAAAACGTATGTACTTATTTTTCGAAGTGGCAAAAAGTGGCACGTGGATTTATTTAAGTGAAATGGCGGTAAGTATGAATTTATTATGATTTTATGTGGTGTCCTTAGATATTTTTGTTCCAAATATTGTCTTTAGTTCCGTTTTGGTCACCCCTCCGATTTTCTTCAAAACTTACACATATGTATGTAATTTAGAAAATAGCCCACATGCGTATTTTTTGGCGGAAATTAAATAAAGTCGGAATTTTTTTGTTTCATTTAAACACTAAACCCAAATTATTTTGGGTTATTTTTCGAACCGCCAATGTAGAAAGGAGTTCTATCGGAAAGAACTAAGGATATATCAGTGATGAAACGGTTAGGATTATTTGTTACAAAAATATAAATTATATTTTTTAAATTTTTTTGAAAAGAAAAGTTTTTATTTTTGAAAATTTTCTTACCAAAAAACGGATCATAGCAGATTGAACTTTTTTAAATCATTTTGATTTTTTTTTATTTATTTATTGAACATTTTCGCTTTTTTCAATTTTCACTTGTTTTGGGTTTTTTTCTTTAAATTTTCGCCAAAAACAAAATAAGAGAAATATTTGCAAATCTGTGGTTAGATTTTTTTTAATTAAAAAAAGTGATACTCGTCGAATAGATAAATATCACTAAAAATTATTAACAATGGCCAAAAATTAGCTAAACACTTTATTTTATAGAAAAAAAAACGATATTCATCGAATGATTGAAATTCATCGAATAGATGAAAAGCAGACTATTAAATTTACAAACAAATTTTTACTTGCTGGTGTGGTAGTAGTATTTACAATTCCATTGGGAAAAAAATTTTGTTGGAAAAATTTTTCTGGTTTTTTTTTTGTTTAACAATAAACGTTTCCCTAGGTTTCAGAACACATAAAAAACATTCTCGTTTTTGTATAAAATTCCGTTAGCTTAATAATTTAACAATGACGAAAATTCGTCGAATGAATGAACATTTTTTTATCATCGCAGTAAGGAGTCATTTTTACCCCGTGGTGCCTTAAGAGATTACATCACATTGCAATTTTGAAAAAACGCGTTTTTATGATGTTTTTTTGTTTTGAAGCGGCTTTTTTTTTTAATAAATATATAAAAATAATGTATTTTAATTATATTAATTTTTAAAAAGTTTTGATTTCATTGATCCCATATCCGACCTTCTGGGGGACCTCCGAAAAAGAAGTCAGTCGGCGAGGAAGATATTTCTGAAAAAAATTATCACACATCCAAAATCTACCAAAATTTATTATTCTTATACACGTATACAAGTAATGATCGAAGGATTCGTCAAAGTTTTTATCTTTGACAAAATGAGGACCCAAACAAAATTGTTTTTTTTTTTTCAGATAAAATTTAAACTTCAGTGGTCGAAAATTATTATCAAAAATCTGATTCCTTCGATCATTACCTGACGAATATATCTAAAAAGATCGTGTAAAAATTTCAAGTCGATCTTTCTTCAAAAAAAAAATTCCTCATCGTATCTTCTTACAAATACGCTCCTATCTCCGAAACTGTTTGCCAGATCAATTTCAAATTATCGGAGAATATTTTCAAATATTCATATGTACATTTGATATATAAGCAAAAATATTAATTTTTGGAAATTCAGAAGTGAATATAACCACTTATCCCAGACGTACCAAGATCAGTTGAAGAATGTTGTCAACATGAAAAATGGCATATGCTTTACCTAAATTGTTTGTTTGTATTTTTTTATTTCTTGCAAACAATCTCAATATACTTGTTTGCCACACCCAATCTCTGTGGAAATTTTTCGTATCAAATATTATTGCCGAATTATTCATGCGCATTTGTATCTAACTTTATTTCCTTTGTGTTTATTCAATAAATTATTCAAACTTAAATCATACACCGGACTGACAATACTACGCGAACGTGACCAAATCAAATTTTTGGCGATTTTCAATCAAAATGTATCGAATTTCTCACAGCCACAATGCCGCCGTCACGACCAGATGCTGCCACTAAAGCTAAGCAGAATTAAATTTGAATTTATTTATGCATTTTCCAAATGACTAATTGACCTTCGAAAATATATACATGCTTATATAATATACAAATCATATACAAGTGTATACATAAAAATTATAAATGAAAAAAATTAGAATAAAAATTTATAAATCATAGAGGAAAAAAAAGAGAAAAGTAAAATGCCGTGAGCTAAACTATTACGAAATAGTACTGACCTCTGTGAGCAGGGAAGAAAACAAAAATTAATTGAAAAAATTTCAAAATTCAAACAAAAATTCAATTATTCGCCCGTGGATTTCACACATTTATTAACAACAAAACAATTACTATAACATTTACAAACATATATAAGTATATTTATTCTTTACTAGGCACTTTTTAAGGCCCTTATACACTTATAATTATATACAATACAAATACATATTAGAAATTCTCTGCATCACTCTTAACAGCTAAAATAACTTAAAGTGAGACTACAGCGTATTTCAAGTATATTTTCAAGTGTGGCTGTCTTCTGAGATATATTGTCGTTGTATTTTAAAATGTTTAGAATTAACTGTTTAAAGAATTTTATTTTTAATTTTAATTATAAGTTTATTATAAGAATTTTAATTTAAAAGGAATTTTAACAAGCAGCTAAAAGTAGATTTTTAGTTTCGTATATTTTACAAAGTTTGATTTTTTTGGAAGACTGAATGTTTGAGCAATTTAAAAAACATAAAATTTTCAAAAATTATTTTTGAGCAATTGTTAAAACAAAGAAACCACTCAGCTAAAAGCGCTTATAGCGATTGTGTTTCATACTTTGTTAGACTTTTTCGGTATTATAAATAGGTAATTATATAAATATATTGATTTATAATTCTTTTTTAATTCAATTTATTTTTCTCCTTTTTTTGAAAACCGTTAGTTAGAAATTTTTTCGTTCAATATTTTTTTATATTTAATACATTTTTTTCTAACATTTTGAATAGTCTTATTAATTACTATATGAAGCAAGTTTTGGCACAATTTATGAGGTTTTACTTCGATTTCTTCTTTATTTGTGAAATTCAAAAAAAAAAAATTTAGTTAAAATATTTGTACTCAAAAATCATTTATATTGTTTCTTTTTTAATTTTGACTTTAAAATTAATAATTTTTAAATAAAAATAAAAAACATAATTAAATTTAAAAAAAAACAAGTTTACATTTTGAACTTTACTTTTTTTTAATTTTGATTTTTAAAATTATATTTTTTTGATATTTAATAAACAAAAACAAATTACGACGTATATAATCATTATTTTCTTAACTTAAAATTTTTTCAAAAACACAACTTTATAACATTTTACTTTCGATTTTTTTTGCTTTAAAACTCAAAAAAATCCCAAAAATAATAATCTTAAAAAATTAAAATAAATAAATTTACAATATTTCTTTTTCAATTTTCATATCAAAAATTATTATTTTTTAATATTTAATGAAAAAATTAAATTGCAATTTTTTTGTTTAAATATAAAATCCAAATTTTAATTTAAAAAAATTTAAAAATTTTCAGTTTTACACGATTTTACTTTTGAATTTTTTTTTTGAAATTTGAAAAAAAAACAAAAAGTGAAATTTAAAAACTTAAATAATATTACACTATTTCTTTTTTAATTTTGATTTCAAAAGTTATTAATTTTTAATATATAATTAAGTTTATTTAGCTTAAAATTTTTCAAAAACACAATTTTACTAGATTTTACTTTTGAATTTTTACATATTCAAATTAAAAAAAAAATATGGTGTTTAATAAAAAAAAGTAAGGCAAAAAACAATAAAAAACTTTTCTCCAATTTTGGTTTTAAAAGTTATTACTTTTTAATATTTAAACTAATAAAAAAAAATTTTGTTTAGAAAAAAAAATTTATTAGAAAGAAACTTACATTATTATTTTTCAATTTTGATGCTAAACTTTATGTTTTTTAATTTTAATAAAAAAAAATATTAACTAGGATTTTTTTTTTTAATTTTTTGTCTTAGCTTAAAATTTTTTCAAAATAAATTTTAGATAGTAGACAATCGCTTATGTTATTGAACGATAATTTCATCACTATATTTAACATAAATATTTGGAATATTTATTTGTGACACGTTCATTTATTTTTTATAGCTTATGTATGTGTTGTTTGACTAATTCTATGTTTGGCACCAATAGTTTTGACATAAATAATATTATAAAATAAAAATACACAAAAATTTACAAACATACAGTTATTCATGTAAATAAATATTGTGTTTACATATGTATGTATGTACGTGCATATGTTTTTATTATACATACATACATATTTACACAGATAAACATAACGCAACATATAGCTATGTATATATGCATACACTTAACTAACAGCTAGTTGATTTCAACACTTTCGTAATTTTTATAAAATTCCATTTATTGACAACAACAACAACAAATACATGCTACTGGCACTCAGCAAAGCAAATAATTTGTTTGACATTTGCAACGCTGCCCCGCCATTAGCGCCGCCACCGAAACTGGCCACAGCGATCATATTTTTCGGCGCGTCAGCTGTATCCAAGTTATCTAAAAATATAAAATAAATATATATAATGTCACCTAAATAAAATACTTGATGAAAATGCATGTTTGTATGCAAGTTGCATGTTGCAAAAACCTGTTGCCAATGTACACACCTCCATCATCGACACCATCAAGCTCATCGTACGCATCCACATCACTTTCATTATCTTTAATTACGAAATCATGCTGCGCAGAAAATGCCGACCAGCCAACGGTATTTTTCGCACGCATACGCACATGCCAACTTCCCGGCGTGAGTTCCATCTCATGAGTCACCTTCCAAATGTGACTTTCCGCGTGGCGGCGTGTATGCACCACAGATACCTTGCTCCAAGTGTACGACTTGTTGGCAAAGTGGGAAAATGAAGGCAAAAAAATTAAATAAATATATATAGTAAATAGTAAATATATATAGTATATATATAAAAATATAAAGCAAATATAGAAATTTATATGGTAAGAAAATATAAAAGTTTACTTCCTAGAAGCAGATGAGCAGCGGCTACCAGGTATACAGTCGCAAACATGTAAATATGTAAATAGTGATAAAGATTTAGTCGAATTCTTGCGATAACCTTAACCCGCTCTGCGTGATTCAATTTAAATACCCCTAATTGCGTTTGCGGATATCGCCCAGCGCGTCTCCAAGTGGCGCAATCAAGTAGATAGTAGTTTATAGATACATTGAATCACCTTATTTACATACAACACGTACTGCATAGCGGTGCACGTGGCTGAGGTGTTGAGTTAGGTGCTTTCACAATATATAATAAAAGTTTTGCGGCTGGTAATCAGCGCCCGCTAGAATTCGGAGAATTAGATTATAGAATTTTACACGCTTTTAACTTACTGTCAGCGCGCGCTGGCTTTTGGGGAAATATAATTTGGATTTTAACTTGCAGCTACCTCGTAAGTTCAGAGGTTAGGTTCAGTAGTCTTAGCCAAAGTCTGTTGACACATGATATTCAGTGACACTTATGGTATATCGATTTTTGTTATGTATACACTTCTTCTTTCCACCAAGTGTGACGTTTGTTTTAGTTTTGAACTAAAATATGACCCTTAAAGCCCCGTCGTTTTTATTCTCGACCAATTTGCTGAACCGCGTCAAGTAAATGGAGCGCATTGCAAATTTGTAGTAATGTCCGTAATTCGTCATTTTTTTATACGGAAATTTGCATCTCCGAAATACAATCAGATACTTGGATGGAGAAACCTTGTTTAAGCCCACTATGCTCGAGTGAGGAGTAATCAAAGGAAAAAAACTTCGTATGAAAATACACTATGTCGCGTATCAATTGCTTCTAAAGCTTTATATATATGTATATATAAGAGGGCGTTCCGCTGACAGGCTCGCGGAAAACTGCTTCCACGGATGATAACGTACCCACCGCCTCGGAGTTGCGCGAGTTGAGAGGCTGAGACCGTAAGCATCTCAAAAGATTGCATGAATTTTATCTCGCATGATATATTGAACACTCCAGACAACAAGCGCGACTATGAGTTCTTAAACAGTTTTTGAGTTTTCGCGTCTTCTCGTGACCATCGACGAAACATAGAACCAATGGTATACACCAAGGACCAGGGAAAAGTGAATTTTATCCGACGACCCTAGAAAAGGGGTAGCCATCATTCTATGGTATTCTGGGGTCTCGGAGGCCTAATGTGCCGAATTATTGCACCCGTTCGACACATAATTCCTAAAAATGGTCCTATTTCGTGAAGACATACATAATTGTTATTACTATTCTATGCCCCGTCTGATACCTCCACAGCTAAATTAATCAACATGCTGCTGTCCAATCAACCGTATTCCGCAGATTTGCCTCCGTACAACTTCTTTTTGTTTCCAATCTTGAAATGAGCATTCGCCGAGCAGAAAATATATTCGCGTAAGGAGGTTGTGTATTTTTCAAGCGGGTTAAGGAACTATAAACATTATTGAATCAAGATACTTCAACGAGGTAAAAATGTCGTTCTTTTTTTGTAGACTAAGTACTTGGACCGCCCTCGTACCATACAATACCAGCTCCGAAAACTTTAAATAAAAATAATCGGATTAAAATTTTAAAACAAAATGCACTGCTTTGGGAATTTTTTTTATAGTATATAATATTTATAGTTACTTAAATGAAAATATTCACAAAAAATCATTAAAATTAATGCTTCATTCAGTTTGGCATCTGCCATCTCTTGTTCAAAGATTTCTAGCAATAAAGCAATCCCATTATGTTTATATAAGTTTTTGTCCGTCAGCGTGTTTTGCAAGCTGCAAATCGTGTGCATAGAAAATTATAATCTCACAAAATAAAAATGAAAATTATTTTCCAAAAGTTGCCACATTTACAATTTTAAAAACGCGCGCACACACACCTAAACAGGTTGCATAAATAACTTGATGTGTATATTCTTTTAGATATTTGCGCAATCTGTATGATTGCTGACAAAATAAAACTTTGAATTGATAAGATTTGTGGATTGTAAACAAGCACACCTTCATTTGCATAATATGTATGTATGTATGTATGTATTAATGTACATAAGTGCGTCACATTAATTCACTAAGCCGATGATGTTCCATGGTGGAGATGAACTCAGAAGTGAGATAATTGAATTCCAAGTAATTGCAATACAAACATACATACTCGTATTAATATATAATTTAGAACCGAAGCAAAGAAGTCTAGAAGTGAGTTAATCCACATCAAGACTAACAGGTATGTTAATTGTATCTTATTTATACAACTTTTATTGCTGGTGTTACATACACATCATATTGTAATAACACAACAACAACTTCATATTAACAAAGTCATCATATGGTATTTTATAAAAATCGAGATCTTTGTAGAAGTTTTGACTGTGCCCAATTCAGGGTTTTTCTTTTACGGAAAACGAGAGTTTTCAAAACTTAAGATGTCAAATAGTTTTGATTCAAATATTAACTCTACTCGAGTTTTCTCATTTTTTCTTGGCATTCACTACTTAGGTATGTCAAAAATACGGCTACCTCAAAAAGTTTTTATTGTGAACGGCCTTTTGCAGTCCAACAATTCTTTAAGGCAACCCCATACAAAAAGTTTTGTCAGTTCTTGAAGGTACCACAACAACAAACTGTCATCACGAAAGCAAAATTTACTATTTCTTCGCATTTAGTGCGCGAGATTCTGTAAAGTGTGCAGTTTTTTAGGCTGGGTCAATAAACCTTCCTGTGCCAAATAGATAGGATACGTAAAACTATTAAACATCGATTCGTATGATGTTAATTCGAAGGGTGGTATGTTTGGTCGGTTGAAGGATAAACCCGTTAGCAGTGTGTGCTTAGGTGATGGGATGACGTTGAGCCAAGTTGCGAACCTCATCGTCACTGAAGCGGTTGTTAAGTGTAACTGTGCCTGATCACGGAACGAACTCTTGAAATCTTATGGAAAACTTTTTTAGTATCCTTTTCCTATATTGAAACTAATTATATGTTCTTCTACAGAAAATTTACGGTTTCAATTAGTTTGTGTGGGGTAGTCGATACAGACTCCTCGAATCAAGAGGTTGCGCTTATTAAAGGTGGGTCGAAACTTCAGTTGGGAATAAAGATTAAACTAAAATAAAAGCTAGACCTAATAATACACACTAGTCTGTATAGAGCCTGAGGACCAATGACATTTAAACCAGGCGGAACCGCCAAGCTACAGAAAGCCCTTCAGCTGCCATATTATCGAGTAAGGGTTTGAATAGTCTGACATACTTAAGTTCTAATAAAAAACTTCAGCATCAATTGTACTTACGCCCGCCAGTTTATAATCCAATACTGCCTCCGATAACGGTTGTATGCTGCGCACTAACCAATGTATCACCGCTTGGTTGCCATTGACTTCCAAGTCCTCCAATTGTGGATGTTCTGGCTCATAAATGATATGCACTTTCGTCTCACCACGGCCAATGGCATTCTATAATAACGATAAATTTTACCAATACTGCACAAATATCTATTTCGACACGCCTCCTCACCTGCACTTGGCATATATACTCGCCAAGATCGTTAGCGCTCACATCCATAACTGTTAAGATCGAACGTTTGCGTTCTTTATGTGCTATCTCGTTAAATGTAAATTTATTGGAGTTATTCAGTTTTTTACCGTTACGAAGCCATAATACTTCACCGCTCGGGTTTGCCGAATAGTCACAATACAGCTCTGCTTTGCTACCCTGTTCCGTATTGACATAATGCCGATAAGTGGAGACCTTTGGCACATATACAACATCCACGACGATCATGGCGTGCGGCGGTTCCTGTGAGAGATCATCGGCTAGGCACTGATAAATGCCACCATGTTTTGTATCCACATTGTCAATATAGAGCTGCTCGCCAAGAACTCGTTCGACCAAGCTTTCAGCACGTTTGCCCTGCGGAGACGAAGAATAAGTACGAAATTATGTTAGGCTAGTCCACTGTGTCTTTTTTAGTTTACAACTCACATCGATAAACCATTTGATCGGCACATTTTCCAGCGAATAGTATTTGCATATACATACATGTGGTTCACCCTGGACAAATACCAAAGTCTCATTGGTGACCTCATGTCCATCACAGAATATCATTAGGCTCTCATCGACTTCGACCAGCGCATGCATGCGCACCTTCTCAGGCAGCACTTCACAGTAATAGTCGCCAGCATCTTTAGAGGTCACATTCTTAACCACCAGTGAGTTATTCTTGAGCACATCCACATTGGGGTCCATAACGAATTGCCCGGTTGCTATCACAATTTTACCCTTATACCACATGATCACATTGTTTGCTGGAAGGAAGAGCATTTAAGGTGAGTTATTCTCTACATATCATGCAATTTCCACCAATTACTCACGATGTATATCCTTCGGCGCGCAGTCGAGTAGTAGATTTTCTCCGGGTCGTGTGTAAATATTGACTTCCGCTTGCTCAAAATAGGGTGGATCCACTCGGAGCTCTGCTGCTTTTATTTCCGCCGCCTCGTTCGCCACATCATTCTTGTATTCTTCGCCGACATCTTCCTCATCATCAATATATTCATTGTCCACATCGCCTCCGTCCGCGTCCGTCTCATCATCGTAATAGTAGTCATCTTTTGCGTAATCGGCATCTGTTTCGATGTCGCCGACGGGGCTGGAAGTAACAGTTTTGTTTTCAGCAGCCACTCCTAAAAATCAAATTAGACGTATATATAATATTTGATTTCGCAATTTACACATTTCCATGTGAGATTAGTGATTTGTGGAAATGTAAATACATAAAATATTAATTTAATTAACACTAGTTCAATAACCTAAACCGATGGCGTAAGAGAGGAAAAACCTTAATTGTTAGAATGAAGTATTTTTTCATGTTTTGATAGATTTAAAGATCAACAGTTCAGCTTCAGACTACAGTACAAAAACCGAACCAGTTTGCAACATGCTAAGGGTTTCGTAGAACATTGAATACAAATAATGGATTACAAATATGACTGATATCCCGACTTAAATAATCCATAGAAAAAGTAAAGTATTTGAGTTCAGGTGGTCTTGAAATACAAAAACCATAAAAGCCAAAAGATTTGGTTCATGAGAAGTAGTCATCCTTCAGAATGCCAGCGCTTGACGCGAATTTCAATAGGTTCTTCTAGTCCAACAGTGTTGAATCGCACGATCTTGGAGGACACGCTACAGACCCATGACGCGAGATAATGTGCTCATCAGAAAGGCGTCCACATCAACATCCTCCAATTCAAGCACGAATTAGTAATTAATCATGTTTTTATATCATCCCCCTGTAACTTTATGGCTAGCTTCATATTTGAAGAACTATGGGCCAATGATTGCCTCTGCCCATAGAGCACACCACACCGTGACTTTTTGAGGATGCATTATCAACTAGATTGAACGTGCTGCGAAACCGATCCATGGTTGCTGGAAATATTGGATCTTACATCCGGACCACTAACCACCCACCTTATGCATTTAAATTGAACGAATAGGAGACTGTGACGAGTTTCAAAAATCTGGTAGTCGCGGAAATAAATACAGCCCAACGATCATAATTCAAGGTCTCAGTAACATGAAAAAAGATAAAAGCTGGGAGAAAAAAAGAAAGTGTCTTATCTGTCGAGCAGATTACACCATCCAATTATAGGTCAATAAGTGTTTCGAAGGCTTGGTCGAATAGTTTCATGTCGATCACTATTTTTTATGGATCTTTGCCACTAAATCGTCGCACAAACAGAAAATACAAACTCTAAACTCCTTTTGTACGAAATAATAACTGATGACAGATTAAGCGAGGTTTACAGATAAGGCTAGAAATAAATTATTAAGGACGCACAGCGTCTACCAATAAGGATGACGTGATTTTGACAGCTCGTGGCGGGTATGTTTGTTGTGTTCAGTAAGGTTTCCTATTTCATCATGTCACGTTTGGTACAACGCTTGGAAAAAGTTCAAGATTATTTGGTGGTGGTTACTGTTTTTTTTATCAGTAACCTGATGAGGTCCTTTTATGGGTAAATGGCTTCGTTAACATATGAAATTAGGGGGAGTCAAACCCTCGTGTGGTTCAGCAAACGCAATTGCATCCCCAAAAATTGTCCGTTTGGTTCGGATTGTGGTATGGAGCCATCATCGGGTCGTATTTCTTTCGAAATGAAGCAGAATATGCCATCCATAGCGAGCGTTATAACACGATGTTGGCCGATTTTTTTCCCGGAATTTGATGAAATCGCGAACGATCCTATTTCCAACAAGACGATTGCCGCCTCATTTTTCGCGTCTAAACATAAACATTGCGTGGAAAGTTTGGCCACTCGTTAATTTCGTGAAATGGTCCAGTCAAACGACCATCAAGATCATGCGATTCAACACCTCTAGATTATTTTCCGCGGGGGGTATGTTTAATCAATAGGTTTAAAAAAACCGAAACCATTTTGAACAAATTTGAATGTTTAATTTAATTTTAACATCACGTCATTGGTAGACTCTGTATTTTTGAATATTGCTCTTTTGAGCAGAGTTTGAACCAGGCCTTTCAAATTGTTAAAATTTACCCTATCGTTTATTTCGGACAACCCTAGTAAATCAAAAAGAAAGTGTACCTCCTCTATTCGTATAGGTATGTAGACACAAATACATACATATGTACTATATATAGATAACACCGATCAATAATTGGCGAAAATGGTGCAAAATTCAGACAAGTACTCGTATTTCAACCTACAAGCGTGAAAATCAGTGAACTTGTTTTGTTGACCTTATCTTTCAGCGGTCGACGATTTTATATATATTTGCCAATCACATGTTTCTGATAAGGACACAGGCGTCCTTAAAATTTTAATTTGTTTATATACTAAATCGATTCCTAGATTGGCGCTTTACTGTGTGTTTATGTTTGTGATTTCTTTGTTTGTTGAAAGGAAGAACGTATTTTGGTGATTCTAAAGTGCTTTAAGATAGAGACTATATATGTATGTAGGTGTTCTCGTTAACCTTTTCATCAGCTTCTATACTGCTGTAACATGGTTTCCACATAATGATTTCGCTGTTTTCCAAAGAAATTTCATTGATTGTCTCCTTGTACTCGCTATTATTAATGCTTGATCCTCAACTAGTAATCTAATGGAACTTTCAGATAAACTAGAAGATGTCTCCCTTAATTCCCACACTTTTTCAAAAGGACAGTTTTTAAGATTTTATATATAATATGAATACTTATTCCAAATATGCTTTATAATTAGAAAATTTCAAAATCATATTATTAATCAATTATTAGGTCAGGATCCAGAATTTTTTATGGTTAATTTTTTATTATATGAAGAATTCTCTACTCGTTTAATTGCAATTCTCAAATACGTTATAAGTCCGACATTTAAAAGTTTCGGTATAAAAAAAAATTATTAGGTCCGGGTCTCGGACCTATTGTGATTAATTTTTTATCATAGAGAGAGTTCTGTGTTCGCTAGATTACAGTTTAAAGAGATTTATAATGTGATTTAAAGAATTAAAAGTCGGGATACCGAAATTTTCGGGATTTGTGCTTTATGATTTGTGAGTTAAAGATTCACTATATTCCTATGTACTACATATATACTTCTTCGTTTACAAGTTCGAGAACCCGAAAAAAGTTGCGAAATGCAATATTCGTAATTGATATGACATGCTGTATACTTTCGAAATTTCAAATTTCCGCTATTAAAAAAACTAAAGTTCCGAATCACGAAATTTTGTTGATTACTTTTTTATGATATAGAATGTGAGAGTTCTGCATTCGCTATGTGCTTTATAATTTTAAACTTCAAAATTTCGAGATTTAAGAATTTAGAGGTCGGGATACCGAAATTTCCAGAATTATTATTTTCATATTCGAATTCAGGTTTAAGTAACAATATAATTTCAATATGTTTTACAATTCGGCGATCCCGAAAAAAGGTGCGTGATCCCGAAATACAATATACGTACACGACATAATGCAATAATTTACATACAAGTATGTACGTATATTTGTATAACATTTATACGCCATAACATTTGACTGACTCAATGGACATATGGATCATTTTTGATCCCCCTCTGATGGGGTATGCGTGCATTCATGCACACTCGCATAGTGACATATGTTTGTATGCACCATATGTGTAGTTCGTCCCTTAATACAATAGTAAAGCAGTGCGCGAACTCTGCACATGTTTTAATGAATTTACTTGGCCACATTTTTGGTTTTGTTTTTTAATTAATTTCTTGTTTTTGGCATTTTAGCCAATTTTCTCTGCAATGAAATCATTATTTATAGTATTTTATGTGATGAAACTTAAAAGAGTGAGTTTTTTTATTGATTATATGTTTAATTACTTTATTTTTTTTTATATTCCTTTTTTTGTTTTTGTAATATTTTTTTGTAGTTTGGTTTTTGTATTTTTTGGCTCTAAGCTTTTTTAGCTCTAAGTAACTCGTGCCAAAATGGGAAGTGAACTTGTGTACATACATTTATAGTTATGTACAATGCATATGTATGTGCGAACAAGGGCATATTTTTTTATTTTCCCTTTTTGTTAGCGCACCAACAAATATCGCATTTTTTGGTGACTTTGTAAACGCTTTCGGTTGCTTACCCGTGGGCGAAGTTGCTATCTTATCGACTTCCAGCTATTTATCATATCAAAGTTTACCTTTTAAATTATCTGCCGCCTGTGCATGTGTGTGTATGTATGCATGTACATACGTCAGAACCAATCTATACATTATATATATATATGTTACATCTACCAAACCACCATATTATTCTATGGAAAAAATATTTGAAAAGCTGACAAAAACAGAATTTTTATCTTAGCTCCATTTTTAGTCGTAGAAAAAATCACGTAATATTACATTCCAGCAAAAATATATTTATATTTGGAATTTTTTTAATTTTTTCTCTTGGCGAATTGTTTTCAATTAAGTTAGTCCCGTTTGATAAACGTACTTGACCAAAAAATATTGTGATATATACATACGCGTATATTTGTGTATATGTAAGTATGTACATATGTATCTACAAAGCATGAATAATTTCTGTTATTAAAATAGTAAATGTTTACTATTTAAAAATTATCATGTCAGCGCTAAAAGTAGTAAATTTCTTTCTCATTACTGCTGACATCAGCGCTTATTTTCAGGGCTATGAAAAGTTGGTGGCATTTCTTTTAAATTTAGATTTAGCAAAAAAAACAGTTTTTGCAACAATTTTAGCAATTTTCATACTCGTTATATCAAGTTAGCTAAGATATTTGCAACATGCACAAGGAGACGTCAGAGATCGAAAAATTATATATGTACATACTATATAAATTAACGCCAGATATCACTCCAAGAAACTACTCATTTGTCGGAACTGTCAATATCGGACCACTATATAATATAGCTGTCATACAAACCAACTGATCTAAATCCAGTTTTTGTATTGAAAACTTTTTTATTTAACAATATATCTTCACGACATTCGACATAGTTTATTGCCCAAGTAAGCGCTACAATTTCCGAATATATTGTTCAGAACGGATCACTATAGCATATAGCTGATATAGAAACTAACCGATCAAATTCGAGAAAACAGTTTTATGCTATAAGAAATGCACCTGTCAAGAGTTGTTTCAAATTGTTTCCACTTTTTTCGTATAAACGTTTCTGCAATGCTGGTTCTAGCCCTCTAAATACATTTTACAACTATTTATTAAAATAACCTTGAGCTTTTCCTACTATGCGATCTTTATAATATTCCTTTCACCATTCATAATAATCGACTGTCAGTTCTTATACACTTTGCACAGTATGTGCTCCGACTTTCCAAACACTTTAGACATATATCTTTTAACATGACTTTGAGTTTTCCAAGTCACCTGAGCTCTCTACACTTAACAGTATTCAAGTCTTTTCAGTAGCCATTATCCGCGTGAGGTGAATAATTCAAATTTCAAATATGAAATAATGAATACTATGAGTCACTCTTATAAAAAAGCTTACATTTCAAATTAAATTACTACAGTGAGAAACTTAATTTACTACTCGTATGTGTTGCGTTGGGTCTATCCAAGAAGGTATGACATGCCATCTGATCAAATTTGACTCAGACTGGTCCATTTAAACTGCGTTTATGAATTAAATGTTGAAACTGTTCAACAATCTAGCGTATGGCGCTCCAAAAATGAGCCAAACCGAAAAAACCACGTCAAATTTGATGAAAAATCAAGCTAATGCTCGTTTTATTCGAAGCTTATAACAAGTGTATGGAAAATTGGATAAAGCGTTGGTATACTTGTATTGCCTGAAAATAAGTCTATTTTGAAGGTAATAATAATAAGGATTCGTATTGAAATATTTTTTTTTTATCAGTTCGGGTCAAATCAGATCAGATGGTATATGATATGAGTGAAGTTTAGATTGAGACTTTCAAGTATGGAAGTATTCGAAATATGGGAGTATTCGAAATATGGAAGTATTCGAAGTATGAAGTATTCGAAGTATGAAGTATTCGAAGTACTCTTTGAAACAGAAAACAAAGAAGTTATACGTTAAATTGACCTCGAGGAGTCCTCTTCTTCGCGCTTATAACTGACTTTTTGGGATTTACAAATATTAGATATGCCATTTGGGGTATTACAAATATTTTATACCCATATTAGCTAATTGTTGCAATTATAAATGAAAGTTATGTCATCCAAAATAGAATCGTTCCGCATGAGCCCATTTGCAAAGGCACTAAACGAGGTTTTCAAGGCTTACTAACACACTGACATAATATAATATTATACATACATATGTATGTCATAGTCATACATAATTATAACAACAAATATAGATATACTTGTATATATATATTGTTGCATGTAATAAATTCAGTAGTACTGAAACTCCTAAGTATGCAAAGCGGTCTTAATGTTTTCGAAACCATTTCAAAATTCCCTGTATAATGTGAAAATGCCAAAAAATATGTTCTGCTCCCCACAATGCTTCGTTTTTTATTAATTAATTTAATAATAAATAATATAATACATTTTTTGTACACTCCAACATAAGAGTTTGCAAACTCCTAAAAAAGAATAATAAATATGGTGTCCTCAAATTATTTAAAAAATAAATTTAAAAATTTCAGCCCCTTAAGGGCCAACAAGTGTCAAGTAGTTCACAAAAAAAAATGTTTATACACCTTCTTTCACAGCGCCACTGCAAAAATCTGTGTTGGCAGCAGCATTTCAATTTATAAAAACAAAATCCTTTATATATATGTATGTGGTTTTGAAAAACATAGTGCTAGCATGTTCTAATTTCATTGGTTATTATCAACTTTTTTGTAAATACGACTGCATTAAGTGCTATTAGTAAAAGTATTATTCGATAGCATTGCAAATAATTCAACAAGTGTTATCGCAAAAGCGAAAATTTCAGATAATACCACACTTACCAGCGCTAAACTGTAGGCAAATAGTAGCAAAAAATAGGGTTAATAGAAGTGGCGTGCCGCACTTCATTTTTATTAAAAAAAATTTTGTAGGATTTTTTTTTGGATTTTGTAAAATTTTATTTTGTTTTGTATTTTATAAATGATGATTTTTTATTTTAAATTTGACGGATGCTAAACAATTTTGTTTTTTGGTTTATTATTGTTTTTTTTTCTTCTTTTTTTACTGGAGTTTTTGTAATTTTTTTTTTTTTGAGGGATACTAAAAAATGTGATTTGATGATATTAGATTTAATTTTTATTTAGTTTTTTTTTTGTGTTTTATTATTATTTTTTTCCTTATTTAGCGTAAATTTTTAGTTAAAATTTTTTTTGCAATTTTTTTTTTGTTTTAAATCTGAGCGTTGCTAACAATTTTAATCAAGTTTTATTCGCATTTTTTTAATTAAATTCCAATTTGTTCATCACATTTAATTTTAAATCCACTCCTTATATCACAGACTACGTTTTGCGCCGCTCTGTTTGTTTTTATTTGAATATTTGTGATTTATGTTTCTCCAAATTTTTTATAAATGTAGATAATTGCGGTTTTATGATTCACACTGTATAAACAGCCGTTTCATTTATAAATAGTTTTGGGAAAGTCTGCCAGACTTAATTGCATTACATTATTACACTTTAAACAGCAGAAAAAATTTTCATATGCACACACACAAGCTCTCAAATAAATAGCGCTGTGTATTGGGGGGCATCTGCTGTACCAAATACCAGTGCATTTATGTATATATAAATTTTCCAAAAACAAGCAGTGTGTATTGTATTGTACACAAATTACTGGCACTAAAATAAAATTCACACTTGTTTTACGAACCCAAAAACAATAAAAAAAAAATCGTATGAAAACTAAATAAATCGGCGCTGGCAGATTTCGACTCGCATATGCGAGTCCAACAATATAACAAATCAATCGTATGTAAATTTACAATGCTATATATGGCAGACTTGTGTGCGAACTCATTTACAAAAGGAGAATTTTAAATTTATTTCACTTATTCGCGCGCCCTCAGACAGCTTCCTTTCAAACATATGTATGCCTGTATATTCGAAATTTTTTTATTTCTTTATTTATTTTTGTTGTTTTGCTTCCGTCAACTGCACAATTGCACTTGATTGCATTCTTATCAATATTGACTAGCTTATTGTTTTTTTTTTTTGTGTTAACAAAACTAATTTAAAATACAAAAACAGCGTAAATAACAATAACAGAAAATGCAAAAAGTACGCTGTAATATAGTTCGATTCGTTTACTGTCGTTTAGCAGCGCGCGCCTAGTAATACTTAACCGCGTTCGTATTTGAATCTTACTAAATGTTGGTACTAGCGTTTGGCTAAGTATATGCTAGCAATTGTGCACCTTAGCGCCGCAATGAATGAACTGTCAAAACGACGTCCGTCTGTGTATGTGTGCACCCAAAGCCCAGCCGGTTGTTGTATATGCTTTTGTCGACTTGCTGCCATTACAAGTTTTATCGCGCATTGCGCTTTGCTGCTACAGCTTATGAGACAGCGCGACGAAGAGGCATTGCGTGGACTGCTCGCAATTTGCCGGCGCTTAGTCATGATGACGCGTATAACAACAATAAGCAAAATAGATATACGTATAGAAGCGAAGTTGTTATGCGAGTTATGCCCATAATTAAGCACAAAAGGCGCAACTGTCGCAAGGTGTTCCGGCTCGTCAATTAAGGTGTGCGTAGGTGGTGTTTTTCCTCATTGATTTTGTAAATTTATTTAATAACGCCAAATGCGCCAAAAAATAATTTAAATTATACACAATTAGCTTAATAAAATATATGTATGTATTGTTACTATGTGGTTTACACCTAAGTTTTAAATAAAATCAATCACAAATGCGTAGTCTATACTTTAAGTATGCGCCAAACTGGACGTTTGGTTTAAATCTCATCTTCTTCGAGGCCTGTATCCTCTGGCGGGAAATCGCCAACTTCGACAGCCGTTGGTAGCACAAAACCGCCGTAATTGGGTGCGCAATTAAAGTATATCTTGCCATCAACGCTGCATATAAGTAAATATTTAATGACATTCTGTATTGAAAAAATACAAAAGCTTTGCATGCATGTACCTTCCATTATTTTTACCAAGCGGTTCATCATACTCCACACCAATGAAAATACCCTTCTTGCCCTCAATCGGCCCATTGTATCTTACGGTACCACGACGCAGTGGATTGCCAGGCACTGTCACCTAACGTACACATGCATTTAATTATTTTCGAAATCGCGAAAAAAAACACTTTAATCACACACCTGACAGCGCGCACCGATAGTACACAACTCAGCTCGCTCCTGCTCCAGCTGCCGTTGTCGTTGTAATTTTTCTTCCTTCTGACGCGTCTCTTCTTCATTGTACTTGCCCATGCGATTCTTTTTCAGAAAATTACGCACAGTATCCTGTTTAGTTTCGTATTGTTCGTCGGTTAGCTCGAATTTCTCTACATCTGCAATCCAATTGAAGTTGTCGATTACATGTATGCGCATACCCGTTTCTATGGGCAATGCGCCCAATAGGACGGTGTCATCATGCAGACTTGTGACCAGTCGATCGCCATTATACAACTCCAATTGCATTGTAGCCGCATTGCCGCCTGTTATGATTTCCAATTTGCACTATGAGTAAAGAAGTGGCGACAGCTCAGAAATTTATGAGTAGTTATTAAACACATATTTATCTAAATTGTTGAATTACAAACCTTAAGCTGGCCGATAGTAAGGCTTTTTGCAAATTTCAAATCCAGCGCGATGCTGTCGTTTTTGGAATTCGATATATTAACTTTAACATAATCCTCACCACTATTGATCTGCAAAGGCTCCATTATTAAGAGGAATTGTGTGTACTCCAAAAGCTAGTTTAATATAAATGAAATCAGACTTGAAAACCACTTTTGTTGTTTTCTATTTCGCTATGACAGTTGTTAGTAATGTGCCGCACTCATTCACTTTTTGACGGCGTTTTATTTCGTTTGTGTAATAAACAGAGAATAGGTAGCACTGCTTCAAAGTCGATAATGCAGTCACTCATTTCTGTAAAGTGTTATTTCATTTATTCATAGCCTTTTACTTACAACCAATTTGAATTAATCTACTGCATTTTTTGTTTATAAATATGTTTCATTGTTCTATGACTAGATTAATTAATTGCATTAAATTTCATAAATAAATGTTATTACTATAGCGGTTATCGATGTTCGAAATAATCGTTCGCTTGCAATCATCTTCAGTTCACAGTTTTTGACAGTCTCATTCCCGGTTAGTTTGTTAATTTCAAAAATGTTTGAATTTTAACAAATAAAAAAGTTACAAACCAACTAAAATATTGATGTGTGTAGAAAAGTATCTGTGTAGTTCGTTAGTTTTGTTTTCTAAGTGAATTGCTTTGGTTTTTGTGTAATTAAAATTATGTATGTTATTTCACATTGTAATTAATTTAATGAGTGATTTTATTAAACACAACATATTTATTTTGGGAAGTATTTATATATGTTTAAGTTTTAGAGTGTTTGTGCCAATGTGCCGCGAATATACTAAAGTGTAGCGTTTGAGTTCCAACGTTTACAGTACAAAAGAAATATATCATAGCCATTGCGAGGTAAGATACCTACATAAGGATTCTAATCACAATTTCTTTTAGAAATTTCGTCCTTTTTAATTTCAAATTGCTTGCGGAAAAATGTCCCAAAAGTGGGCACTCGACTGCATCATTTAGTTTGGAATATTTTTTGCGGCGTTGCAATAAATAAAGTCAAAGAAGGTTATTACAATATAGTAACATATGTTACTATAATTTATTATTTTTTTTTATATATAGTTTCAACATTTACAAAAATTTGCACTGCCAGTTGAAATCTTACTATTTTTTTTATTTACTATTACAAAATATCATATCAATACATGTTTAAATAAGCAAATACCAAAAAACCCGTCAAATTCATATAACGCCAGACGTTTGTCGCTGCTGATGTAATAATTCTGCTTTCATAAATTTCATTCAAATGCACTGCGTTCTCTTCCGGCAGCTCCACACTTTCTAAAGACGACTGCTCCTCGTTGCTATCCAGCTCCGATTCGGTAGAGTAATTTGGTAATTCAACTAAATGACGTAAAATATAATATACATATTTTATATTTGTTTCTTTGGCTATACTTCCGACTATTTTACCCATTCGATTTGCTTTAAAATTTATACAGGGGTTCCTCGTGTGATAAAAAACAATTTCTCATGTGTCCTTTTTGGCGGACAATTTTTTTTCAAAAACAACAAAAATAAAAATTTGCAAAAAAAAACATTAAAATATATGTATAATTGACCGTAATCCGTTTTTTGTAAAAAAATTTTTTTTTCAAAAAGACATTAAACTGTATATATGTACATATGTATGTATGTATGTATATGCATTATTTTTTATTTAAAAAACCCCTAACATGGATAACAGATTTTAAAACAATTGTCTGAATAATTATTACTTTTTTAGTGTTAATTTTTTTTCTATTTTCTAATGACCTAAAGAACCTCTGTGTAAATTTTGAGGCAAATCGAAAGTAAAGCCGTTTCTTAATTCTAAAAATGTATTCGTGAGAAAAGAATGAGTGAAAAGTGCTTCTCTCACCTTCGCCACCTGTTGCAAATCTCACAATTTTACTACTCTCACTCCACCCAAAGTGATTGCGGGCGAATACCACTACCTCATAGACACTTGCCGGTTGTAGACCATGTAGGGTATATGTTGTTATGTGAATGGGTCCTGTAGAAGCAAGAAATAATGTTTACTTTGACAAAACGTTTATTTTATTTATATAATATAACTAAATTACCAGCAGACAGTTCTGATGGTATGGTCAAAATTGTCCAGTCGGTTTTGAAATCAGTGTCCAAAGTTTGTGGTGTAATGCTTGCTGCAACATAAAGTAAAAACAAGATAAAATGTTAATTTCGATCGAGAAGATATAATATTCTTCACAATTAAAAAAATTTGCATACAAGGACTTAATTTTTATAGGCCAGTTTGTATGGCCACTACATCGTTTACGGGTCCGATCTGAATAATTTCTTTGGAGAATATACCATTACCTTGAATAATAATCCTTTCCAAATTTCATGAAGATATTTTATTAAATTAAAAAGTTGTCCCTGGAAGAACTTGATTTAAAACGTTAAGTTTATATGAAAACTATATACTAAGTAATCTGATATCAGCGTTTCCGACAAATGCGCAGCTTCTTGGAGAGAAAAGGACGTGTGCAAAATTCTGGTCGATATCTTAAAAATTGAAGGACTCGTTCGCACATATATATATTTTTAATAGTCTCCGACGTTTTTTTTTTGCGTGTTAAAAACTTCGTGGCAAACTTAATAAAAAAAAGACTTTACTCTGTTAAATGTTATATTTTTACCTGATGGTATCTGTCTAAATTTTAACTTGAATTCCATTAACGCCGACAAGCTTTCCGTCTGCCATACCAACACATGTGACGTTGAACTCTGCACGCCTGGATTAATTTTAAACACACAAGGCATAGGACGACCAGTCAAATCAATTGCCGCACTTTTGAAACCCAATTTATTCTCGGCCCGACACTCATACAGTCCAAGATCTGAGTCGCGCACATTTCTTATAGCTAATGTATGCTTAATGACAGTGTTGTATTGTAGGTTTGAAACGTTCGGTTGCATTTCGATCTCATAGCGACTTATTCTCGAATCGTAGGTCATCGGCACACCATGATGAAACCAGTTAACACTTGCACGTGGCACCGCTTCGATCAAGCACTCCAATTCACTGCGTATGCCGACTTTAGTGTAGATTATATTTCTTTCCAACCGCACTTCTGGTGGAACTATAAACGATTTTCATATAATTGGTAACTAATATCTAACTTCCTCAACTACTCACATTGCACTTTCAAAAACATGCCCGCCACTGCCAGTTCGCCTATACTATTGTTGGCCACACACTCGATCGGTCCAGTTTGTGCACGCGAACCCACTTCGATTTGCATACTCAAGCGATTGCCGATCAACTGATTATCCACCAATTTGCCATTCCAACGCCAATACAATTTAGGCTGTGGCACACCTCTAGCTTCACAGATCACCTGAAAAACCGCGCCGATGGGCAATTCGATAATACCTTCCGGTTCCGTTTTTACTGTCGGCGGATATTGTACTATTATGCTATGAATTTTCTGCACTTCTGTGTCATTATCGGTTTTCAATGCGCAACTGTAATCACCGGTATCCATCGGTTGTAGCTGCGAAATTTGTAAACTACCGTTAGACCAAAGGCGTATGCGATCGGGTGTAAATGTCTCATTGCTGTCGCGTGAATCGACGATTAATTGGTCCTCTTTATACCAACGCACATACTGGAACGAAACTAGTTCATTGAATTTATGAGTTTTATGTGCCTTTTAGCTGTATAATCCCTGTTTTTTGTTCAAATACGGCTCTCTACTAACTTTCATGTATTTTTAAGGTATGGCAATATCTGAAATAACACGAATCGGCATCTCGGCCCACTATTATATAAATTATATTAGGGATTGTATCTTCATAATTCGCATCTATGCTTATTTCAGACCTATAAAACCCAAATTAATTATATATGGAAAAATTGAAAAAAAAAATGTTTCCCTTGAAATACTGAAAACTGTCCTGTACAGAGCCAAATATAGAGCCTAGATTTCAATAACAATAAGAAACTCAGACAAACAGCAGCGAAAATGTAGAAAGAGTAAGAAAAAGGACAGTTTCAACAATGCCAAATATGGAATTGGAAAGCTGTTAAAATATATTCTGAGTAAATGAGTTTTGAGAGACAGACAAATCGAATCTGGTTATTCAAAATTTGTTGAACAGACTGTCTACTAACCCTGATTTCCCAAGGTAATAGGCCTCTGATCAAAGATATAATTTCGCCCTAACAAAATGCCGCATTGTCAAAAACTTTAAACACCTGAGAGATTTAAAAAGTGTAACTGCAACCTAGAGTTCGGTAGCAACTGAAATTTTTATCACTACTTTAGGGGTAGAAAGCTACGTTATACCAACTGGTCAAATTTGACCCGGACTGGTCCATTGAAACTGCACCCGCCGAATCGAAAAAAAAATTTCCGTGATTGGTACAACTTTTTTTATGTTCGTGTGGAGTTAAGTCTCCATATGTAATTTATTATGTGTTTGGCTGCTTTTTGTTTACGACACGAAAACTTTTTCTGGCGATTTTTACCATAAAAAAATTGAGCTATCAAATTTTGTGTTTGCAATGGAATCGAGCCTACGAGATTTTTGAAAATTTTGCATGTGGAGTGTTTTGGGGAGTCTATCATGAACACAAGTACAAACTTCCCTCGGTGAATCGTTTGTTCAAACCTTAACCGTAACCAAATCTAAAATTTACACCGAACATTTTCTCTAATAAGATATATTTCATGCACAAAAAACTTGTCTGAAAAGTCCAAATCTTTTCGAAGGCGGCTTAAACTTGCATATCCCTTCATTTGCGCACTAATATCAAAGGCATTTCCTACAAATCGTTAGAACGTAAGCAGAATACGTACAATGATTATCACAAGCTAGCAAAACGGTGTCATTTTCCAGAAATCTTTTTGCCAAATCGTCACGTGTTAACTCAGCGGGTTCTACAGTATTATCCAAGCTCGTCAAAGCTGAACTTGCCACCGCAAAGAAAACCACAAATATGATAAGGTAGTTTGTGGTTGTAATGGCTGGTGTCATTGTAGATTTACTTGAGGTTATTCGGGTAAATTTAAAATTTTGCAATTTATTTTTAATTTTTTGTTTTGGTTTTGATTCCAATTATGGCTTAACACTTTTTAGTCACTTAAATAGCAAAACTATTTCTAATTTTTATTTAAATATTATTTTTTCACTTTTAAAGCTTATTTACTCGTAGCTTTTATTATTTTCTACTGTATTTTTTTTATTAATAATTTAATATTTTCTTTCAACAAAACAATTTTATCACTGCACTATGAATTTTCTATGTAAATATGTTTGTGTTTGCGATCAATTAAAGCTTCCAAAATTGCATTTTCGGCAGCGTTGCGCATCGTCCGAGTGTTTGTCGCGAACTGAGCGCCTCCAGCATGCCAAAAAGTGTCTTAGCTCTGAGCTCTCTGGCGTGCTCGAGCACTGTAAGCGCCGTTTGCTGCCAGCTTGAGTGATCATTGTCGTGCGCTGTTGATCATTGATCATGATGACGTTCTAAGAGCTGAAACTGAACAAATTGCGAATGAATGACGTCGCCTGCTTCCGTTCTTCTGCCTTCCGTTTTTCTGCTTTTTTTCTATTTTTGTCTTTCGCGGATTGCCAAACAAATGCAGACACTTCAGCTTTACTGTAGGAATGCATAAAATGCGATCGATTTTCATACATACACACGCCCTAATATATTGTTTTATGTGTGTGTTAACAAGTCCAAATTTTCGGCGACTTTGTTAAGACCCACAAACGTGCTGCTGTCGCATAACTAGAGATAATCATTAGAAGAAAGTCATGGGAAGATTCCGCTTCGTGTCTGCATTGCTCTGCGAAGTCGAGTGACAGAAACATTATTCTTAATTTCTGAATGGACAAAAGATCGTAGCACGCATATATGTATATATATATATATGTGTGTGTTTGAATTTCATATATCATATAAAGAATTTTGTAAGGTGACAATTTAGCGGGCGGTGCGTCGTTTAATTCAAAAGTGATTATTCAATGGCGAACGGAAATTGAGAAAAATGAGCGTTTGGCTTGAAAGTGGGATTAAGTGACAGCGGGGACGGCATTTTAAGCATAAATTTAAAAACTGAGACTAAGAAAAAGTATTAATATTTCACCGGAGCTTCTAATTAATGGGATTAAACGCGATATTGCCAGTGAAAAATGAGTCCGGAAGTTGTAAGCTGAGTGGCTGAAACAGAGCGCTCACAGTTCCGTTATATACATATATATGTAACATATAGCGAAGACCTATCTTGCTAAGCCGAATATAGAAGATCCCAGCGGTTATTTCAGGTTTCGATGTTCTCGCACAGTGGTTTTGTTGTCTCTCAAGATGTTCTCTAGTTAAGCGCATTAAATACTGTTAAAATATATATATAAAGTCTATAGTTTTGGAATAACAAATTCAAACTGGGCTCGGCATCCGCTTCTGATGAATTAATTATATAGAAGTTAAGCTCACTTCACCTCTCAGTTGTTGATATTTGTGGTAGTTCTATATAAAACCATTGCTGTTATTATTGATAATATAATTCACGGTTGTGTTCTATGGATTTTGGTTCTGGATTTGTGATAACTCAGTTGAAATAGCGTTGCTACATCATTCTTATTAGTTGACAAATTTATCCCCGTTCCATTGCCTTAGGCTTCTAGTACTTGTACTTCGTACTTCCTAAACCGAAACCGTTAAAGCTCTTTCGCATTTTACTTTCTCTCACTTTTAGTTCTCCTTTGAGCCCATTGGCACTTTTACTTGGCTCTTCCATTCTTTTGGGGTTGTAGTTGTTGTAGCGACAAAAAGTATTACCCAAATAATTTTGAGAAATGCTGCCGAAGGGAAAGTCTTTGACTTGATAAAAATCCGGCTACATTTCGGTATTAGACCCCACAGTCATAAAAACGGGTCTATTTAATCTACGCTCTTGACTGCAATGCCTATAGATTTGACTCAATACATTCCTTGCCAGTATATCTCTTAGCAGACTACCATATATAACTCCCTGATTACCGATAGGCACAAATAAATTCAACTATCCGTTTCGAATTTCCGAATTATATTTTGTACATTCTAAGAGCAAACGTTATACTTGCCGGATCTCGAACCATATTTCGGTCAAAACCTAACCTACATACATGTGTCTAAGTATGTGAGATATGAAAACTTAACAGCCTTGCGTCACTCTTGCCGCTTCAAGTACTACAGTTGTACACCCAAAAATAATAAATAGAACTCAAATACAAATAAATATACAACTAATTTTCCAAATCAAATATTTGACAACAACAATAGTGAAAAGTGCGCGACTCGAACAACACCCCAAACATTAACAATGCGAGCGCTGTGATGGCTCAAGTTAAATTTAATGAAGTAATTGGTCATAAATTGAATTGAATTTAAACGATGATACCACAAAGTGTGTAGCCAAAAGATGAGCATCATCATCGGTCACGCGAATCGACGACCGCGGCTAAGCTTGTTGACAAGAATGCTTAATTAAACTTGCAACACACTCCCATATATACAACGCACTGTATGAATGTGTATGTGTGAATATCTCATGAATTCGATTGATATATCGACTTGGCGGGAATGTGTGTCGCAGTTTATATGTGTGTGTGGAGCACTCTGAACTATTGAAAAGTAATTAAAGTCTTTGCGACATCGCGACAGATGGTGTAACGTGTAAGACTCTTAATGTTGCTGACCTTTCCACATAACTGTCAAAGCACGAACAAGTTGTAAATTGTCATGTTATTGTAAGCGAATTGTGGAGGGAAAATTGATAAAAAAGATTAAATGGACAAACGGAGTTAAATAGAGTAATGAAAGATTAATTAAAAAAATTGCAAAAAATACTTAAAAATGTTGTAAACAAAAATAAACGCTAAGTTTGAATGCACCGAAACTGTAATACCCTTCACAAGTGCATTTTTTATAGCATAAAACAGTTAAAAAAAGATTTTTATCTCAATTTCGATCGATCACTTTATATGCCAGCTATATGCTATAGTGGTCCGATCTGAACAATTTCTTGGGAGATTGTAGTGGTTATATAATATGTAACCTCATCGCGTATCATGCATATCTTGTCTGCAAATATCGTCTTGAAACCAGTTTTTTTTAACATTTTGAAGACGGCAGCAACATATAGAACATCTGATGTACGCAACTGCGTTGTTGCCGTACTAAATGAAATTTAAGTATTTTATGCAAAAAATAAGTAAATAGGTCGATAAATTTGTTTTGAATTATTAATTGTTATTACAAATGATATATCAGTGCTATTTTATGCTTCTGTTGGTAAAATAACGTTAGACTTGTTAGAGCTTTGAATAATTGTACATTTCATATATAAGTGGCAGCACTACAGCTGCTAATTTTCGTCGGCAAAATTAAGAATGGTTTCAATTTAGCGACAGCGACAACTGCAAGCCTATTGCCGTGAAGTCGAACTGTAGTCTAAATAACTGTGCCCATAAGTACATGTGTATTTTAATATTTGACAGATGCTGCCTGTAGCTTGTCGTCGTCTATCTGTTCAGCATTACAAACTATTGGACAGTATCCAGTCAGAACACCTACTATGGTGGTGAGGTGAACCTTGCTAAGAGCAACTACTTCAGAGGACCTTTTTCGCTCTGTTTTGGGGGATCCATAAATTCAACGCTAAAGCGCAATTAAGCTTAGCTCTTCTTGATTTTATTTTAATTGCAAATCGTATTTCTCTAAGCTAACTTCTACTAAGAGAGTTGCAAAAAACCTAACTTTACGAACAAGACTATTTCATTCAATAAAGCAACTTGCTTATAGTTCTTAACCGGCTTATGGAACATCTGAACGTCGATCTTTTCATGATTATAATGCTTTATTCCAAATAGACTATGCTGAAAACATTCGAAATCTCAAACAGCTGTTTTAATTATTCAATAAGATTTTCTACATATGTTACATCCTAAAACGTTTTTCCTAGTTATTGAATTTTTATTCATTTTTATCATTTCTCACTTTACCTCTGTAGATTGCTTTCCTCTAGCCTCTGAAGAAAACCCAGTGATTAAATTTGCCATAACTAATTCAAGTTCCTGTTAGATTATGGAACCCTACTTACTTTTCTAATTTTGAGAATATTTTTTAAGTTAAAGGTTATTTTAGTAAGGAAATGTGTAACACTCCTATTATTTTGTGGAAAGCAATTTTAAGGGTCTCCGAGAACTAGCAAAACTGCACGAGAATAATAATCATCAGATTAAAAATTCGTTGTATGTTGCAATGTGAATATCCCGTTATTTGTATTGTTATTGCACCTCGTCATTTACATGTGATCCAGAAACGTTATGTACCCACATATATTTATCATATTGGCACTCCTATTATTTTGTGGACAACTGTAAGTACAAAATGCACTGTAAATCATTATTCCGCTTTGGTTGACATTAAAATCAAGTAAATAACATCTTCAATATCGTTTTTAATACAGTTACTCTGCTATCTGTTTGTATAGTATATATAAATATATGCTCCTTTTGTCAGCCACTTATTGCTTTCTTCCACTTTGTCGCGCTTTCTTCCAGCCGAACACATTCAAATGCAAAAGAAAATAATAGTCTTTTATTTTCCAATTTGACAGACAATTCAATGTTAATTCTATTTTAGTACTCACATAATACATATCTACATGCATCGTTTCATGAATAACTATGCTATATCAAGCGAATAGGAAGTTCGTGGTTTGGAATAAATATTCGAGTGTCAAGAGAAATGCAGCAGAGGCGAGTAAATGCGTGTAAATAAGTTTGTTTTGTACATCAAAAAGTTACATTTTCAAGAAGCATTATATTTTTTTGTATTTTGATAAGCAGTGATTCATTTTGGAAAATTTTGAATTCACTTGAACCCGCAGCCGATCTCCAGGAGTAGCTGCGAATAAAGGTTTCTGTCAAAGAGGAAAATTTTTTAATTAAAATTATATCATATCCAAAAATACAAGTATATTATTAATATTGATGAATACATATAGTGATCGAGGGACTAGTCAAAATTTTGTTTTTTGACAAAAGGACGCTTTTTTTGTGACAAAATGTACACATCAGAGTGGCTTAAAAGATCGAAATTATTATCAAAAATCTTTTTTCTTCCATCTTTACCTGACAAATATATATAAGAAAGTCGTGTGCAATTTTCAAGTCGATCCCACCAGTCGTTTCGGAGAAGTTTTCCTCACCGTTTCGAGAATAAAACATTTAAAGTGTTGGAACCCGATTTCACTAAGTTAAAGAACTCATACAAATACGCTCATATCTCTGAAACTTATTGCCGCATCAAGCTAAAATTTTCGAAGAATATTTTTAAACATACATATGTACATTTTTTAAAATACACCTGTCGAGGTTACCCCTTAACTTAATCGCAGTTTCTGTCTTACAAAGTTTTTTTTTATTCCCAGTTGCAATAGTGTACACAACTCTTATCATACTACCGATCCCCTGCCGATCCACCGAAAGCTAACTAAGTATTTGACCGAGAGAGATCATAATTTCTGGTAGTTCTGTAAGTGAAAGTCCAGACTTCGTTAATACGGGAATAAAAAAAATTCAAAGACAGTTGGTAAGGCTAGCAACAGTCAATATGAGCCGGTAAATTTGTCCATTAGAGCAGAATTATGATAACAGAACAATAAATCAGGAAATCATTTGCTTTTAGAATGTACTGATAACTCACATAACCTCGAAAATGAAACTACAATTTACTTGGAATGTTGCTGATGTAATCTGGAAGATCTCTTATATTACAGCCAAGTTTGTTAGACGGAGCTTGTTCTGATAAGCAACTTTTCTGTCGACATATACGATTTTTGTCAACATCGTGAATTTCGATCAGTAATCTGGTCTACCTGGTACTTTGAGGGCGACTATTGAAATTCAAACCATTTTCAACAAATTTGTTCTATGCATTTTCTGGATTATAATTTAAATGTTTAATGCTTAGCAGTAGTTTTCATGTTATACAATTATTTGGACATACATAATTTAGGATATTCACGTAAATACCTACTTACATACAACATTTACAATATTTAAACACTATTCACATTAGCACTAAAGTTTTAGGATCAATAGCAAAGTCAAACCAAACTAGACACATTACTCGCATAGAAGCCCGCTGCCGGCAGCCTGTTGGTCTTGCCTGCGTGTGCAGCAGCTTCCTCATGACTGTAGGTGCTGTAGGTTCCTAAGCCATTGTGAACCGCTGCTGTTGTAACAATGCCAGTTTCGTTCAAACTCGCCGATTGCGGCGCCGTGAAACCGATAGTCCCCGCTTCAATTGGCTGTGCAACATTTTGTCCCTCCTCATGTGCCGTGCGCCGAACCTGAGGCTCACGAATCATATTCACCGGTTCGTTATAAGTGCAATTTCCTTTACAAGTCGCGTCTGTACAAGCGGTACAATTCTTTGAGCTTGCATTCAAAACTGCAGGCACCACAAAAGATTTAGCTTTATGACTGCTTCTAACAGTTGGATCTCGTATATAAGTATTCGCCAACACTTGACCATTAAGCTTCTCTATACTTTTTACCGCATTAGCAACATTGAACTTTGGCAGAGCATTCGTGTAAGCCGAAACCTCTTCGGTCGTTGATTTTGCTATTGAAGTGGCTGTAGTTACAACATTTGGTTGTGCAACCCTGCATTTGCGCTGTGATAAATCGTGAAAGTACGCATCTTTCGGCACATAACGTTCCGGCCAATAGTTTGTTTGGAAAACATAATTCTGCGAATCCGGTGAGTCGGTGGCGTGTGAAGGCGTTGACCCGTGCGCCACACCGGCTTTGTCAAAGACTTGTTGCGCGTATAATGGCGAATTATTCGCACCTATAAATTGTTGTGACGGTTGCTGTTGCACGCTCTCTAATGAGTCCAGACAGTCTTCGCCCGGATGACTTTCCGTATAGGAGGAATCCTGATAGCGCGTATCTTGCTCAATGTATATCGGTGTCGTGAATTCTCTACCTTTTGTTTGTAAGCGTTGCATTTCGTTAAAGTCACGGTCTTTCGTTACAAACGCATGCGTTCTCACGAGATTGTGAGGTTCTCCGTCGCTCAAATTTTCAAGTGGTAAACCGACCTCCTTCAACATCGCCGCCTCTTTGCTTTCACATTCTGCTGAACGTTGCACCTGAAATAGTTCATCTTTGTAGCCTAGCTTATCCTCTTGTGTGTACTCCGATTCGTTACGTGTCTTCGCTAACACCAAACTATCGTCGGCTCTTTGATGACTCTTACGCAATGCGCTTATCACATTCTGTATGACGCTGCCGCGCTTCTGTATGTTGTATAAGTATTCCAGCTGTCGTTCATTACCGTAGTTTGTAATCGGTTTATCTCTGTATTGTGTTCGTTCAGCTGGTGAGGCCATTGATGATGATGCTGTGGTCGTTGCATCTTCTGCTGTTGCCGCAAAAGCTTTGCGTTTCGCCGCGCTGTGTGGCGTACGGAAATTGCAATTGTAATCGAGACTCGATATCGCACCAGTTTCGGAACTCAACTGAGCCGGTGTGATATTCGATGCCTCACTATTCGATGGACTCAAATGCATATTTTGTACACGCGCGCTCAGACCACCGTCATCCGCGTCTATTTCCAATGCTTCTGATGTTGCTTTGGTCGGTGAACTAGGTACTGCATGTGCGGGCACTGTCAGAAATGTGCTCGTCTTCGCTAGTAAACTACCCAAACGTTTCGACACATCATAAAACTCATTCTTTGAGTCTTCGCTCAAATGGTTTTGTAACTCTGTGGAGTGTGGACAGCATAGCGTTTCATCCATACGGTCTTCTATAACAACTTCCGGCGCATTCGCATTTGCATCGAGCAGATCGTAACTGCGCGAGTTCGCCATCTTACCCTCCGACATGTCGACTTTCTCTAGAAACTCGAGACTACGACAACGTTTCAAGGTGTCGAACATTTCACGTGCCTCCCGCCCACGCGTTGTAACGTCCGCGGTTAAACGCAAGGGATCGCCGCGTTTCAAATAGTTCTCCAAATATAAACGTCGAGTTTGACATTCCACACGATCGGCGATCATGGTACGCGTTAACTTCTCAATTTGATGATTTGTACGCGCCGCCAGCGCTTGCACCTTATCATCCAAATGTTCCTTGGCAGTGTGTACGTATTTACGCAAATGTCGTTTATTCGAATTGATCTTATCCTCAATGTGCTTGAAGAACGGACCGCAGTAACAGATGTTACCAATACCGATCGGGCCCTTGCGTATATGCCCGGCAAGATCCAAATAGTATTGTTCGCCGCGCTTGAGCGGTTCTTTGGGTAGTGTCTCCAATTTAGGCGATGGAAATGCGCGCATATCGGGAAAGTAATGACAGCCGTATGGCGACCAACTGACCTCATTAGTGTGCGTTTTAGATGTACAGGGCGCAGCTTTCGTCTTATCCTCTTCGCCCGTTGCCGGTTTGCCTTTCTTATTGCGTATGCGATGTGGATTGTCCAAGATATCCAATATCTTTCCAAAACCCTTACGTATTGCTATATCGCGTGGCGTCTCACATTGCGAATTGCGTATATTGATTTCACATTCAGCCTCCAGCAATATGCGCGATAATTTATGTCTACCCATGGCGCTGGTTATATGCAAGGGGGTATCACCATTAAGATTCTTCTTGTTGACATCGCAGAAGGCGGAGAGTAGAATGCGTGCGGCGCCGGCGTGTCCATATCGACAGGCCGTATGCAGCGCCGTGTCACCATACTAGTGAACGTAAAGAAAAATGAAAGTTTAAAGAAGTCGAAATATCTAAAAAACAAAAACATTGTCTTACGTAATTTTCAATATCTGGATTGGCACCAGCCATTAGCAGCTCTCTGCAACTTTGATTATGTCCGTTTTGTGCCGCCAAATGTAAGGCGGTAAAACCGGCAAAATTCTGTATGCCAAGCGTTGTATTTTGCGTTGTGCCTCGACTTTGTTTCGTTGGCTCCTGTTTCTGCTTACTCTTCGTAGGCGGTTTCGCGTTGGGTTTGGGCGCGCAGAGTAACTTCACCGATCGGCTGAAACCGCGCGACGCCGCTTCATGCAACGGTGTATTGCCTAATTTGGTCTCCTTAGCAGTAGTATCTGCATTGCCAGCGAGTAGCGTCTGCAGCATTTCCTCGTTACCATTGGCGGCAGCCTCGTGCAGACTGGTCCAGTCTTTGCCGCGATCCTGTAAATCGCAGTATAGGACAGTGTGAGCAAAGTTCTTATTTAAAGACTTTTACGCTTACCTGACTTATCGTATTTGGCAACATAGTGAGCTCTGGTTTTAAGCAGCTGATATTTCATATGATATCTGAAAAAATCAGAACATATGAAACGATTACAACAAGATTCCTTTAGTGAAACAGCTATCGTCTTTAATTCTATAAATTATAACATTTTCAAGCCATCGAAATTTTTATCTACCAACTAACTTAGTTGTGCATTTTGAGGTAAATGTTTAGGTATTCAGACAAGGAAAGTGCCTTATACATGGTTAAAAAAGGGAATTGGCAAAAAATGTAATCAAGACTAGGTCAAGCAGATCTTCTGTGAGTTAGAAGCTATTCTAACGATATTATAGCTCAATCTCAAAGCTTTTATTCTGGGTCTCTCATGTTGTGGATAGAGCAATTTAGTTTTTGGTACTCGGGAAGAAGTTCATTGGAAACCCAACATTTTTTAAATTTAAGATTTTAAAACTTATTTTCAGTAAAAAAAATTTTAATTCATTAAAATTATCTAAAATTATTAAACGATTTCTGATTTAAATAGAAAAAATTTTGAGTAATTTTAAATAAAAATAAATTTCAACCCTCCGATTTACTTCAAAATTTACACAGAAGTTTTTCATGGATAAAAAACTTTCCCATGTATCCGTGTATTTTTGGCAGATTTTTCTTTTAAGTAAAACATATAGTTTACAAAATTAAACGAAAATTTCTAAAAATAAAGAAAAGTTAAAAAAATTCAATCTAAAAAAATTTTTGGATTTGGTAAAACATTTTTTCGAAACTAAAAAATTTTTTCAAAAATTAAAAATAAATTAAATATATGTTATTTTAATTTTTACAAAAAATTACCGTGGCCGATCCAACAACGGGATATTCAATTTTCTTTAATATAGGCCAAAAACACACAGAGAGTTTTCTTTTAAACAGTTTACAAAAACTTTGTGTCAGTTAGATTATAATCTAATACAAATTATTGTTATTTTAGTGTTAAAACAAGTTTAAATGAAAAATGATAAATCTTTTCGACTTTTTTAATTTTCGGAATTATGGAGACTGTTTTCTAATGGCCTAAAGAACATCTGTGTATATTTTGAAGTAAATCGGGGCAGTGACCTATCGGGTTGTTGTTTTTAGTTAAATCTCATTAAACTTATGTATATAATTAATTTAAAATAAATAAAATAATGTTCAAATTACTTCAAAAAAACTAAACTATTTTAAAAGTAAAAAGTTATCATAATATAATGGGATTTGTTGTATAAAAATGGATAATAATTAAAAAAATATAATTGAAAACATTATAATTAAAAAACATAATTAAATTAAAAAATAAAGCAAATATTATTCCAATTCTAGTAATTGCTTTTTTTAATATTATTTGATATTAATATTTTCTTTTTTAATATTTTCGTTTTTATTATTTCAACAATTCTTTCAATGATTAATTTATTTTATTTTTTATATTTATTTACTTACATATATAATCTACATGTCAGTATAATATAAGACACACCAAATTGCGTACGTCGCATTGGCTATCAGCCTTTTCTAATTATTTTAATTCATTTATTAATTTTATTTTATTATTTTGATTTAGTATTATGCCCTTTTCATTAAGCCTCAACACACCGTTTTGTGCATATCAAGCATCAATAAGCAAATATGAAAAGTACATAAATGTAAAGCAAATATGGTATATTCATGCATATTTCACTCTGCGCCTGCGTAAAACGAGGTTCGACACGAACAATATCGCAAGATTAGTTACCACCAATGCCATTGGCCTTCATTAACTGTTTACTTGAGGTTTTTTTCACAACACTTGGCCACTAAAAAATAGGCCTCCATATGCTTGCGCATTTACCGTACGCTTTTTTCGTTGGTATTCAGATAGCAAAGTATATATGCATACACATAAATATGTATCCATTCTTCAAAAAAATAACTATTTGTTTAATAATTTATATATTTTCCATGCAAATTCGCAATTTATGTATGCAGATTTACATACCAATTGGCGAATATTGTATAAAAATTGCATAAAATACTCTGTTTGTATGTATATGTTAGTTTATATGTGTTTGTGCGCTAGTATGTAGGCTATTGATTCCCACTGGTGTCTTAAGCCTACGAATTGCGCATACAAAAACACTTGCATATACACACACAAACACACAGCAGAATTCATATCTACATATTTTAAGCCACACACCATACTTTGGTGCTGCATTTAAACAAAATCACTGAAAAATGTTCATCAAATTGTCATTTTCAAATGATTTTTATTATTCGATGTTCCCTCATTTTCACCGTGCGAAAGTTGTTTGGAGTTATCAAAAGCGCAGGCGTAAAGTTGTGCCATAAAATTCCAATACTTAATTTGTAATATTTTCAAAGGCTGGTATTTGACCACACACACACACAGTATACGCACATACAGACACACTTACGCACTACTCCAGTATAATAAATATTTGTGTCTACGAGCGCGAAAACGGCAATAAAGTATTTCTAACACCGTTCACCACATTCATTTCGTTCCATGTCTTCACGCTAACTGTTCGTAGCAGTGAAGCAAATTACTCAAATGCATATCTGTTGGCCAGAAACCGGTTTAAAGCCAACTCAAACTTGGCTTAGAGCGCGTTCGCGTTGGTTAAAAACATATGGTATGGGCTTAATTAGAAGGCAGTAAGCGCGGAGTTTCGTTGCTTATTGGCAACCCCGTTAAAAATTAATTAATATTTTTTATATATTGCTTGAAAATATTGCTGGTTCTGGAGGGAATTTATATTGTAGGTAAAATCCAATATTTCAAACTTTACTTAGCTTAGGTAGTTTGCATATTGCTTTTTGAGCTTTATTTTTTATTCTGCTTATCAAATCCAAACATTCCTGGCATTCTCTTGCTGTCTTTCTAGCCCAACAAGTATTGAAAACTCATGATGAAATGATAGCCCTTATCTGAAAATATATAGTTTCGGTTAAATAAGACCCACACCTTTTTTTTCAAATTTGATAGGTTATATCTCTTTTGAAATCGATATCTCAAATAGTTTTTGAGTAACAACCTTCTAAAATGCAGTTCAATTAGTTTATTTTTAAATGCATCTTTCTCAAAACTACTTTTTTCAAATTTCAATTAATTCGATCGCTTTCAAATACACGTTCTGTATATATGGCAATGACCTACCAATTTTTTTTCTTATCGAAAATCGAGAAGGGAAAACTGACCAAAAATTTTGTGGAAAATTTTAATTTTTTTTTTAAATGCCGCCATTTTGTCCTGTTTTGATCTTTTTAGACCGAAGGATAATATTTTTTTAGGTTTCACCAACGGACAGACAGTAGAGGACGTTTTTCTATAGAACGCGTCTAACTCAAAAAATATTTCATTAATTTCAGTTTATCGACTTTTTATAGGTCTGCACACTAGGCGTGCCCCTTAAACTCAACAATATTGACAGTAATCTCAGTTGGAATATACCCTCTGTGATTACCATTTTTTCTAATGTAAGTTAGCATTAGACGTTATTTTATCCGACTGGTTTAATACTTGACAAGGCAATTCCTTTGGTACAGAAATTAGATATTAACTTGTTCAACAAATAGTTATTAGGGTCTGCTCTCTATTTTGTCAGCAAGGGCTCGGTTCCAATTTTTTGATGTTTTTAAGGCTTAAAAAAATAAATCTCCAATGCAACTATCGCAGTCAACGTATTGTCATACTAAGCGTTACTTACTTAGTCAAGCGCTACTAAAAGCCATCTCAGCCTATGAGATGAAATCGCTACTGGTGCAGGAGTGTATAGAACGGCTGAACAGCCTATCCGTTTGCAACCGCGGGCATCTCATCTGGGAGCCGGAGCATAAAGGGGGAGCCGGCAAACAACTGGCTGATGAACTTGCCCGCTCTACTGCTGTTTCTAGGATGGTGGGACCCAAACCCTGTATTACGATGGGTTCCCATACCATAAATGAGTTGCTCGGCGAGTAGGAGAGAGTGGCAGTAAGCAACAGGTATACGCCATGCAAAGCTGCTAATACAAGGTTATAACCTAACAACTGAATACATAAGATCGTTAGATTTTTAATTCTCTGTCATAAAACCAATACCCTTTAATTTTATGGTCACGATTACCTAGTCATCAAACTTTTAAAAGCCACCAACGGGTCTACTAATTGAATATGTACATATTGGATGTGACCCATTTGTATACAAAATTCAGAAACATTCATTTATTGAATAAGTCAACCAATTTCCTATAACAATAGTATATAAAATTTAACTTATAATTAAAATAGTATCAGTATTTTAACAAATTTTCTTACTGAATATAATATTTCGAAATCAAATTATATAAAACTGAATTTTCGAAATATTCGGTCGGTTATTAAAAGTCGATCCGAAACGAATACGAATATTCGTTTCCGATACATCCGGTAACACCAATCAGCTGTCAGTTTTTACGCGAATATTCTCGATTTTGATTTTGTCTGTCAACAGCCACACGGAACGTGATTTGATAGAAAACTGCTCTGCCTCTGAATTTGGCGAAACCAACTGCTCGGAGAAATTTTTTTAACGTTGTATTGAATAAATATTTAGTGTTTAACTAATTTAGTAAATTGTTTAGTGAATAAAAAAATGGCAAAGTGGGGTGAAGGTGATCCACGTTGGATTGTTGAAGAACGCCCTGACGCAACGAATGTCAACAATTGGCATTGGACTGAAAAAAATGCTACACCTTGGTCTAAGGACCGTTTAGCACAATTATTTCAAGGACTTAAGATTGGTAAATATTTTGCAAATGCACTTTCATTCAAAAACTTATTGTGGAAATAATTTGACAATTATTAATTGGATGTTGCAGGAAAAGATGGAATCGAATGTATTGTAGATAATGTTGACGATTGCGCTGGTGAAGCTACAGTTAACAATCGTAAAGGGAAACTCATATTTTTCTACGAATGGAAATTGGTACTAAAATGGACTGGAAAATTATTAAATAATAGCAAATTAGAGCATAAAGGTAAAATAACTATACCGAATTTGTCCGAAGAAAACGATTTAGATGATATAGAAATAACCATTACCATTGATGAGTCCAACGATGAATCAGAAAACCTGAAACAGTTCATGTATAATATTGGACGAGACGTTGTACGGAAACAGATCGAGTTGTATATCAAGGAATTAAAAGAGGAATATTCCAAAAATTTAATACTTCCTAAGAAGGGCGAAGAAAATACCGTAGCCTCTCCAAAGATTAAACAAGCTGGTTCCAGTATAGCAGCGGAAGCTAATTTATCGAATAGTGCAAAAACAGTGAAAGCCAGTGATAAATCAGCGAATAATGTTGGCTGTAAGTTAGACGTAAGGACATTAAGAATGGCTGTTGAGTTCAATTGTAGTGCGAACGACTTATATAACGCCTTGACAAAAGTGGATATGTTAACTGCTTTCACTCGTGCACCAGTTAAAATAGTGCCAACGCGCGGTGGAGAGTAAGTGTTATATTTGATTGTGTATAAGAATATTTACTACATTTTTATACTTTACAGATTCGTTTTGTATGGCGGCAATGTGCTCGGTAAGTTCGAAGAACTGGTACCGGAAAAGAAAATCCAACAAACTTGGCGACTTAAAAACTGGCCCTCAGGTCACTACTCCCAGGTTGTGATAGACTTGGATGAGACGGTAAAACATAATAATTTTTTGCTAAATATTTGTCTTGATTATAAGTTAATCATATATTCATAATTTTTATACAGAAAAACAACACCCAATTGAAGCTAACACAAACTGGCATTCCTGCGTCCGAATATGATGCTATGACCACAAATTGGCACCGTTACTACTGGGAGAGCATTAAGCAAACGTTTGGCTTTGGCTTATCTATATCGGGTTTGTGGTAAAACTAGTTAGTTGTGTTAGGCGTTTGGTAGTATAAAAAAAACATGTAAACAAAAACCTCATTGCCCATAGACGTATATATATGAATATGTATATTGAATGAGCAACAGCAACATAAAAACAACACAAAAGCTGCACTCTTATAGGTTATTTAAATAAATATATTCCGTTTATAATTTATAAACGCTTTAGAACAGGCAAGTTTCGAGTGTGCTTGGTGACGGCTTCAACTATTTATATCTGGTCGTCCCTGTTTCTTACGCAAAATATAAAACAACAATGGGGAAAATTGCTTAATTTCAATGCATATACTAATCTTTGGATAAAAAAAGTTTGAACAAAGTAATTAAATCAATGTATAATATATTTTAACTTGGGCACATGTATTAAATATCTCGATTTGTATATTTTATTTGAGAAATTAGCTTGTCGATGTAATTTCTGAAAACAAAAAGTCGCAAATAAACGAAAGATCTGGCCACAGTTTGAAGGCAATATATAAGTAGAGTTTTTTTTTTATTATTGGATTAAGGGTGGGTTGAGAGTAACGACTATTGTCAAAAATACTCAAAAATTTATGAAATACGCGCCAAGGGGAACTGAAAATCGATCGTAGGTCCACGACAGTCGGGTATACGCAACCGAGACGAACCCGCATTTTTATACGGCAACTGACTGTTAACTCATTAGCATTCCTTCATATCACCTAAGGAATGGTTTTTGTCGATACTACAACAACGGCATCTTTACTATGATTAAGTAACTTTAAGAGCGATGAGTTTTAAAAGTTGGTATAGTTGTTTTAATTGTTGGTTATATGTAATAGCAAAAATATTACCCACACATTTTAAAGAGTTTTGCAGATTCATTGATTCAATGTAAATATAATGCTGATCACTTCTACGAAAGTGGAGTCTACCAAGCCGAATCGAATACTGATTTTCATCCAATTAAGGCCTGTCAGCATTCTATAAAAATACTTATGTGGTAAAATTTTTTATGCGACTGCAACAACCACAACATCAACCAACCAGATATAAATCCGTGTTCTTTGTAGTTACGTAGACGCGATTGTCGTGTTTACTAGGTGATTTAGTTTTATTGAAATAAATTCTCGAGTGAATTTGATTTTACAAACTGTTTAAAAAATAAATACCGTTCTATTAAGCAACAACGATATGGCAACATTTTCGAAAGTTCAAATAATGAGCTTTCACACCGAATAACATTGCAAACAGCCTAAGTGAATAGTAACTAAATGTAAGCAAAGCTGCTGCTCAGTACATTACAACTACAACACATTAGAGAAACAATGAGAGCAAACAACGTGTCGTGCTACCACCTTGCTGCAGTTGTGTGTGTCTGTATTCATTCATTCATTCATTAAGTTAACATAACCACCTCCCAATGCATTAAGATTTCTGTGATGTTTCAGTGATGACAGAGAAACAGAATGCGAGAGAGCAAGAGCATCATCACAATAGATACAGAGTTGTGTTTGAAATTCCAATGGACACTTGCCACTAGTACACCCACCCAAACGGTGGACACCACAACACACACACGCACACAATCACACGTGCGCAAATTAAGCTTACACACAGCATCCTGATTTGATTTGAGAGAGGGCAAGAGAGCGAGAGAGAGTGTTCAATTGAAAGACTAAAGACTGATTACTTGCTCCGTTGGTGGTACACATTCAGTCCCGGATGAGATTTGAAGCAATAAACTTGAGTTTTATAATAAGCGTATACATTTAGGCGTATCAGCACTTACTTACTTACCTATTTACTTATATCATATTAAGTGCATAAAATGTGATTTAAATAAATTAAGTAAAACAAAAAAATTATAGAATAATTATTGGTGTATAGTGAATAACTGTATTAAAAAACGCTTATACATACATGTGTGGAATGAAAGCATCGCTGAAAAGTAAGTGAAAATTGTGAAAATAATGTGTTTAGAAATTGCTCCGATTGTTGAGCATAAAAGCTGAAAAATAGGGATACCCACAGCCAAGCCTGTGAGGCAGTTTAGTTGAATTAATGTCACGGTGGTTGTATGGCACTCACACACACACATACATGTAGTGTTATGTATGCGCATATGTAGCGTCGTGTAACTGCGAGGATGTGGATTAGCAGCGGATTTATGAACGGAAAATTGGAAAATGTAATTACAAAAATGTTATGCTAAAATTTAATTAAACAAAGTGCAAGAATAAATACTTTCATAAATGTGCAGGTGCATGTGTGCCATTGTGCGTGTATATGTGTATGGAGAGTGGGTCAAAGTGTGAAAAAATTTTAAATCCATTAAGATAAAACATACATTAATACATGTATATATGCATGTGTGTATGTTTGTGTGTTGCACTAGCACGGCATTTTTTCAGCAGCAGCAACGCTATCAACTAACGCAACGCATCTAGTTGGCTATTAGGGAGCGGCAATTTCTATAGGCAGAACAAGCAAAGTGTATGTGAACGCTTACCACACACACACATGTACACATACAGTTTGCTTTTAACACAACAGCATATGTGTACATCACTGTTTCTGTTGTTGTTGTTGTTATTTATGCTGTTGCTGTTGAAGGGCTGCTGTTCCTGTTCCTGCTCCTCGTGCTGCTCCCGTAATGTAGTGTTATACTCGTCGATAACAGGGAACATACGTACAGCTTTTATAAGCCAGCGCACATATTTATACACCAAGACATATATAAATAATAGGATGTCCGTTATTTCCCAAGTTGATTTTTTTTTTTTGCCAAAGACCCCTGAAGTCTCAGTTTTAGTCCTAAAAATTGATATTACGTAAACAAGCGCCTTATTTTCAATTTAAACCGTGCCTAAATCGTTTTACTTTTCCCTTATATATAACATGGATTTTTTTTGATCTTTTGCATTAAACAAGTAAACCTACAGCTTTGAAAAGAGAATATTATAATACAAAATTTAAGTCTCTAAAACAAAGGGGGGAGTGTTTTTTTCCATAAAACGGTCCGTTTAAATGTTATACGCAGTTAAAGTTGTGCATCAAATATACTGTGCATTCATACAAGTGATCTATGGTATACATGCTGTGTTGCTCATACCACATGGTGTACATGAATGCTGTACATTTGATATATAACTTTAACTGTGTATAACCTTTGAAAGATTGGTTTTATGGAGGAAATTATCAAAATATTTTTTTACAGCGTTAAATTTTGTGTTAGAATACCATTTTGTAAAATTGTAGGTTTACATGTTTAATAAAAAATATTAAAAAATGCCATGTTACAAACAATGAATACACGATTTGGGCATGATATTTATCGAAAACAATGAGCTTTATGGCGTTGAAAAATTATTTTAGGGCAAAACCCGAAACTTCAGGTCACGTTGCGGACACCCTAATACATATCTATGTTTATAGGTACTAAACATACATACGCTATATATTTGTATTTTTAAGTGTCGTAGGTGAATGTATGTAAGCGGACAGATTTCTGTGTGTTCGCGCGCTTGCGTGCATGTATTTGTGTGTCTGTGTGTGTGTGTGTGTTTAAGTGCTTTTCCAGTGCTCTCATTTTGATTAACTTTGTGAATTAGTAAAGTGTGGTGACGGGCAATACAATGGCAGCTGTAGCAACAACAAAAACAACAATAATGCCAACAGTGACAACAATAATGCCAACAACAACTGTAAATAATAAGAAAACAATATAAACAATAACAATAACAAAATAACACTTAGCACCACCGTAATATCAACAGCATATATTAACAATCATACAATAACAACAACAATAAAAATAACCACAACAACAATATAAATAACAACAACAACTATTGTATTATCGCCTAACAGCAGCAACAACGCCAAACGCAAACAAAATAAACAATCATTCGCATCCGCGTACATGTATTCATAAATACATACATACATACAGATGTATGTACATCGGTTATATGCCATTTGTTGAGACGTGAAATCGCCCGCATGACAGCCAGCTTGACAGTGCGGCAGTAGGACACAAGACAGGAACTCCTTTATTTGCATGTAAAATGAACTGTCAAACTGTGGCGTTAACAAAAGCGGCAATGCGACGAGTTCGCATGAGAAACGACGACGACAACAGTTACACAAACGATAAGAGCAACAACAATAACGGCCAACTGCAGACAAAAGTATTGGCTGGAGCAGCAGCAACGGCAGCAGCAGCAGTAACAAAGTTGGAGGCAGTGGCAACGCTAGCACGCACAATCACAATCACAATGCGGTAGGTCCCTATCTATCTATAATCGTACAAATCATCCATTTGTATTGAATGTTAACAGCTATGAAATGTGTTACACACACATACATACATATACGTCAATATTTACATGCTGCGATGAGTGCGCGCAGGCAGTGCACCTATTTGTATGCTATTAAAAATGCATTAGTAGCGCTGTCATGCATTCTGGGTGAGGCCTGCATAACTTTGAGAGATTAGTATGCAAAATGTAGATTTGATAAGGAATACGTATTGAGTTTTACCATTAGTGAAAAGTGAGAATATTAATGAAAAACAAAAAAAGACGCATGACCGCTATATCCTTTATTCGTCGGATCTGAACAATTTGTTCGGAGTTTATACTGCTGCCTTAGACAATAACCCATGCCAAATTTTGTGAAAGTATCTTGTCAAATAAAAAAGTTTTCCATACTAGGACATGATTTTAATCGGTCAGTTTGTATGGCAGCCATATCTTATAGGTGTTTGATATCGGCAATTCCTACGAATGAGCAACTTCTTGCGAAGGAAACGACGTGTGCAAAATTTTAACTCGATAACTCAAAAAACTGACTAATTCGGGAAAATACAGAGAGGCGGACATAGCTAAATCGAGTTTTGATTTAAAATTATACTTTCTAAAATAAGTGTACCAGTAATAAATGCTTAAATTGTCTTCAAAAGCCATGTAACCCTGTAAAATATCGTCGGCAGCTATTTTTCAGATAAGATTTCGATTTAAGAAACATAGATTAATTCAAAAAGCTGATTCAGAAGCTGAATTGCTTCAAAATATTCCGCAGCCCTGTAAAAGTTCAATTTCGACCTACTTTGTTTAGCCTAGTTGTGGTCGGACCTTTTTAAAATGTTTCTTGGATTACCTTGCATTAATAATGACCTCGGGAGATTCCTCAAAGAGTGATATGTATGCTTTTGGTCTTTGCCAAAAATCTCTAGGAGACTGAGCGAGTTTGGGTATTTATGGAAAACAAAAACAAAAAACTAGTATGTAATCGATGTTGCAAAATCCCCTAAGTATGGTGCTCTCTGATATTTTGTAGTAAAAAATTGTATCAATATTTTCTTCTTTGTTGCAATTTCTGAAACTCTCTTCCAAGCTAAACTGTGAACCTACATATAAATAGATACAGTTGGTTGAAAAGTTTCTGCGCTCGAAATGAAAAAATACTGTTTTTGGTACGAAATATATTTTTTTATTCAATATAATCTCCCTTAACTTCAATACACTTATTCCAATGATCCTTAAATAATTTTATGCCATCCCTATAATGACTTTCCGCAAGCTCTGCAAAATACCCTTCCGAAAAATGCTCGCCACGAAGGAATTGTTTCAGGTTTCTGCAGAGAAAGTAGTCGCTGTTCGTACTTTAATTCGTTGAATTTTGTCATTGTTAAAACACCTTTGTGAGCAGGTGCATTGTCTTGATAAAAAATTAGTTTTTTGTGCTGCAAACCAGGTTTTTTCTCACGAATTTTTTCATACAGCTTATAAAAAATACTGCAATACTGCGCAAACAGAGTTGATTGTTTTACCTTTCTGCAGAAAATCAATCAACAAAATTCCTTTTGCATCCCAAAAACTGATGCCATAACCTTCTTTGCTGATCGTTGTGACTTCACCTGCTTTGGAACCGAACAACCAGCTTCAGTCCACTGTAAACGTTCTTATTTCAATTTAGGATCATGGTGGTAGACAGAAGGACATGTAACTTTGCATGTGCTCTCATGACAAATGTACCAACTTGAGGAAAACAATGTGGAGCTAGTATTGCTCTTTCTTGGTGAGAGCAGAAGCTTTGCAGCCAACCTGTAAATACAATATAGATTTTTCGGTAACATGACTTAGTCGCTAGACTATCACTGTTAGATGCTAGAATTTTATAAAATTCACTGCTGGTATTCCTAGACACAAGGAGTACTCTGCTCATAAATCTGAAGAAATTCAATAGAATATGCGAAAATATGAGTCAAAGTTGACATATTCTGCATCAGTATTGGACACGGCATTTATAACAATTCCACAATAGCTTGGCCTCTACACCACGGAAATGTTATGCTTCAAAGATTAAACAATCATGATGTGAGTTGTTATTGACATTTGCGAAAATCAATAGAATAAACTTGATTTTCTATGTTTCTGCAGAAATATTTGCATAATACTTTTCAGTCAGTTAAAATAAACGCACATATCAGCTGTACATGCAACATCCGGCATAGTTGCAACTGCCGCTTACACCATCGAATCGATCAACATATCGGATGTGTTGAATTGGAAGTGAAACTTCCGTCATTCATTCATTTTGCTGCAAGTACCCATTGCAGTTATTACAGTCGTAGCAATATGGCGTGGTATCGGCATTCGATGGGCAGTGCTTTCAAATCTTGATATACCTTTTTCGTCTTTGCTTGAATGCAACAAAAGAATAACTCAACAAGAAAATTGTATGACGTTTATGTTATTCCAGTTATATGTTTATGTTTATTATACTAATTTGTTCGATTCGCCACTCTGCAAGGCTTTGTAACTTGTTTTGAGATTATTCTTTTTTTCTGACGTAATTCGTTGTAGTCCTTGTTATCTCCTTAAAAAACACCATAACATTTTATACTCTTTTGAATCGATATACCGATTTGAACAATCTTTGGTCATAAGTTGGCCATAAGCGCACTATTCGGGCAAAGTTTCACCTGAATACATTAATTGGCTCTTGATTTGTATACTGGAAAGTGAATGAATCAGATGGATTTTATGTATTTTTACAGTGATCATAGCGGCGCTTAAAGGATTTGTCCTGACCTAACCTAACCGCATTTGGGTATTGTATCTTAAGTGCTATAGGGAATACATATATACATTAAACCTCTTAGAGGGACACGGCCATTTTTTCAAAATTTTTAACCTAGAAGTGATCCTTGCTACTGCAATAGCCTGTGCCAATTTACAGTTTTATATCTTAATATAGTACTTATTTATGGCACTTTAGGGTTTCGTTTAATGGTATTTTGTAGGCGTGGCAGTGGTTCGATTGCGCCGCTTACACAAAGTTAAGGAATCCATATAAATATGTAATCATTTTCCGGATCAACTCCGAATTTTCGCAGAATATTATCAAATGTAAGTACATTTGATGTATTATATATGCAAAAAAAAAATTGATTTTTTTCAAATCAATAATTGGGTATAACCCCTTAACAGACTTGGTTTTAACACGAATTCTTTTCTATTTGCAAAGTTGATCCGACTATCATAGACTTAACTTGTTACTTACCGATTCAAACAGAGTTACATCGCCGAAATGGCAGTACCTTGTAGGCTTAAGTCGGCAGTAAAGCAGGAACTGGCTGTCGTAGGAATTAGACTGTCATATAACCTTGCTAGAGCTTAAGAATATTCAGAGTTTTAAACCTAAAATTTCATACTGGAGAGTATACCTACATGCATATCATCACTAATGTCTCTTATGCCTTACAGATCCAGTTAATGTGTAACACATTCGTACGCTTTGCACGAAGCTTAATCATCTGGGTACTTGGCAACAAAAGCTTTAATTAAAGAACAACAGCAATACATATGTATATTTGCACAAAACTATCAGTGGAATAATTAAAACTAAACAAGCAAAACAAGCAAAACAAAAACAAAAAAAAAACATAACAACAAAAAAACCGAAAGCAACAACAAAAAAAGGAAAATTATAATTGTAACTAACACGAAACACACAACAACAACAAATCAAAATGGGCCCGTTATTTTTTGCTCGTCTGGCAATGCCGGCGCATGGGCCGCCCAGCATATTGGAACCGCTGGCACCGTCATTCCGGACAACGACAACATCGACGACGACGACCACAACCACAACTACGACAACTACAACAACATTAGCGCCATCTGTATTCACCGCTATGTTGGACAATGTGACCACAGTGATTATCTTAGATAATGAAATAGCACAAAATCAAACAAATATCACCAGTATCTTCGGGCCGAAGGGACCTAGCTATTCCATCTCATCAATGGTGTTCATGGGCTTAATTGCCGCCATACTTAGCTTGCTAACAGTGGCGGGCAATGTTATGGTTATGATCTCATTTAAAATCGACAAACAACTACAAACAATCAGTAATTACTTTCTTTTCTCATTGGCCATTGCCGATTTTGCAATCGGGCTCATATCAATGCCACTGTTTGCTGTCACCACCATACTAGGCTATTGGCCATTGGGTCCACATATCTGCGATACATGGCTCGCACTGGATTATCTCGCATCGAATGCATCCGTATTGAATTTGTTGATCATCAGTTTTGATCGTTACTTTAGTGTCACACGACCTTTGACATATCGCGCTAAACGTACCACCAATCGAGCAGCGGTCATGATTGGCGCTGCATGGGGCGTAAGTCTGCTGTTGTGGCCGCCGTGGATTTACAGTTGGCCATATATTGAGGGACAACGTACGGTACCGCAATATGAGTGCTATATACAGTTTATCGAGACCAATCAATACATTACGTTTGGCACAGCGTTGGCGGCTTTCTATTTTCCAGTAACGATTATGTGCGTGCTATACTATCGCATTTGGCGTGAGACGAAGAAGCGACAGAAGGACTTGCCCAATCTGCAGGCGGGAAAGAAGGACTCTTCGAAACGCTCGAACTCAAGGTAAGCGCTTGATGTTTCAATGTTTCTAACATATACATCCCAAAACTATTGCAACGTTTTGTACTCTTTTTAGCGACGAAAATACTGCTGTAAACCACACGAGCATCTTGCCTTTTGGCAATACTGGTGATGGTCATGATTGGCGGCGTCCGCGCTCCGAATCTTCTGCCGATGCTGAAAGTGTTTATATGACTAATGTGGTCATTGATACCGGTTATCATGGTCTACATTCACGCAGATCAAGTGTGAGTATTGTGTAGTTTATATTGTTTTCATTAAGAGAAGCTTCAAACTTTCAAAACGTTTTTATTATAGGTATTATTTCTAACCTATATTAATACGCTGTTCTCAAAAAGTTCAAAAACTTATATTTTAATATATTTTTGTTATAATCTAAAGTATAAAAACACGAACTTCATGAAATTTTTTTATTTTCTAGAAAATTTCAACTAATTGCTTCTTTTTTATTATAAAAAATAAAATTAAAACTTTTAATATATTTTCATAAATTAAGCTTACTCTTAGGTGATTGCCGCTCATATTTAAACTATGAAAACCCTAACTTTAGTAGAACAAGAAATAACGTTAACTTCGGCTACACAGAAGCTGTAATACCCTTTACAGTTGCATTTCTTATGGCATAAAACTGTATAAAAGGATCTTTATAGGATCTGTTTAGAATATGTTCGGAGATTAATACGTTGTTCTGGACAATAATCTATGCCGAATTCCCTGAAAATAATATCTTAAATAAGAAAGTTTTCCATATAAGGCCTGATTTTGCTCAGTCAGTTTATATGGCAGCTGTAAGCTATAGACGTCCGATCAGTACAACATGTTCAGAGAGTGCAGCGTTGCTTTGAGCAATAATATATGCCAAATTTCATGAATATATCTTGTCAAATAAAAAAGCTTTCCATACAAGCACTTCATTTTGAACGGTCAGTTTGTATGACAGTTTTTAGGCTATAGTGGTCCGATCTGAACAATTTGACCAATAATTGTCGCGCTGTCTTAGAAAATAATTTTTATCAAATTTCGGGAAGATATCTTATTAAATAAAAAATAAAGCCTACATTTAGGCTAGCACATAAAATTAACACACCAATGTAATTTATTTTTTTTTGCAAATTATTTAAAATTTAATTTAATGAATTTACTGTAAGCTAGTTACAGAAAAAATCTGGTACTTGCATTTGTAAGTAAAGGGCTTTCATTATAGCCTACATTTAGGCTAGAATTGGAAATATCTAAGTTTGAGCACACCTTAAAGAGCGCAATTCGCATAATTTTGAAAAATCGTGATTTTTTACATATTTTTACCATTATAACTGTTTGACTAAGGGGTATAGCAATGTAGCGGGCATAAAATCATGTCAATCATCAAAATCATTCATTAATTTTTTTTGGTCATGTAATCATTTATTCACAGAACTACTGAAACACTTATCAAGTTTTAATCTCAAGCTGATAAAAAATTATTTCTTTCGGTTAATTTTGTTGACTATAATAAACAAATCGTGCGATGTCTCGAGGGAAAAAATTTAAAAAAAATTTCTTAGCTACAAATCAACATGAAACTTATTTTTATGACTATAAGTTTAAGCGAAAAAAAACGATTTTTTGACAATTCTACAGTGGCCATACCCTGTAATTTTAAAATTATTTCAGAATATTAAAAAATTGATATATCTATTTTGCTATTTTACTATAAGTCACCCTTTTTATCTAACAGATCAAAAGCACCAATACCATCAAAAAATCATATTCGTGCTTTGGTGGCATTAAGGAATGGTGTATCGCGTGGTGGCATTCTGGACGTGAAGATTCCGATGATTTTCCCTATGAGTTAGAGGAACCTTCGGATTATGGGTAAATTAAAGAAACTTATTTATTGGTTAGTTGATAATATTAAGGCTATTTGATCTTCAATCGAAAACCGGGATTTTTATATACATAAATTTGTATAGTTTGCATAATTTTAGGCGCTCGCGCTAACCAATATTATTTATTATTTTTAGAAATCTATAAATAAACAGAATTTATTATCTGAATCAATTGAAAAACGGGATTTTTATATAAATTTTTTTTGCTTGTATAATTTTGGGCGCTAGCGCTAGCCATTATTATTAATTAATATTATATTTTATTTATTACTATAATTTCGTATTTTTAGAAATACTTTCTAAAAGCATTTATTAATCTTCACCTATCAATTTTCAACGTTTTTCCGAACACTTACAGTTGCACTTCCGTGAGCGTAGTACGCGACAACTACTCACTAGGCGGCAGCGCCTGTGGTGTACGTCCGCCAAGCATACTCTTACCCGATGTCTCACCCACACCACTACGCCCGCCCATGACACCACTCTCGCAACTGCAAGAGATCTCCTCGGCAACGGGTGCACGCGATTCACGCTCCTTACCCGGCAATAATCGCATCAGTTCACGTTCCGTAAGTCAAGATTCCGTTTATACAATACTAATACGGCTACCCTCGGATGGGGCTAGCGCCAATAATGGCCCAGATGCGCCATCAATCAAAATGATACACGAAGACGTATCGCTACCGATTATAAGCGCAGCACCGCCATCACGACGACCACTCTCATCACGTGATTCCGAATATAGTTTACCGCTGGGCAGACGCATGTCGCATGTATCACACGATGTACGCATACCGCTCAATGCGAAGGTAATACCCAAACAATTAGTCAAACATGTGCATGCCACATCGCGTGTCGCCGCCAAGAAGAAGAAGAAATCACAAGAGAAGCGTCAAGAATCGAAAGCGGCCAAAACGTTATCGGCCATCCTCTTAAGTTTTATCATCACCTGGACGCCATACAATATTTTGGTGCTAATCAAACCGCTTACCACATGTTCCGACTGCATACCGAATGAATTATGGCAGTTCTTCTATGCGCTCTGCTACATTAATTCGACCATAAATCCGGTATGCTATGCACTGTGCAATGCATCCTTCCGCAAGACCTATATACGCATACTCACCTGCAAGTGGCACACACGCAATAGGGAGGGTATGACGCGTGGCGTGTACAACTGAGTAAGGCCTATGGAGGGGACGATTATGCGTCGCCGCGAGGGTAATGCTGGCCTCTTCGAATTGAAACAGTATCCTAAAATTAACACATAATAAAAGTGCAAGGGTATGCAATAAGCTAAGCGCTTGTTTGGCGTTCGGTGCGTTGCGGCACGTGTGAAGCTAACGGTTTTCGTGTCTATAGCTGGTGGGGAATATTAATGATATTGTGTATGTAGCATAGTATTTGTATATTAGCGTTTATATGTTTCAGTAATGTGGTTTAGATATTGTCTTTATATATATTAACAATAGCAGTACATAAGAATATATTGGTAAACACACATACATACTCACAGATATATACTACATAGGCATAAGGTGAGCAGTTGGTTTCCGGTTTGTTGAAACTGCGTGCTTACTTGCTTGCCACACATATGCATATGATTGTATGCATGTAAGCAGGGTTGCGAATTTTTAAATTAAAAATTAGATTTTAAATTTTTAGTTACGATTTTGGAATTAAAAATTAAATTAAAAACTTTTTTGTATAAAAAAAATTGATTTTAAATTTTTAATTAGGACTTTGAGATTAAAAATTGCATATTTAAGTGATAGATTTTTGGATTTAAAAATTTTTGGAATTTAAAATTTTGGAATTGAATTTTTAATCCCAAAATCGTAGTCAAAAATCATCAGAACTAAAAATTGATAGAAAGTTGATTTTTGAATATGAAGGCTCTTTGCGAACTCTAATTCAAAATAGTAGAACACAAAGTACGTAAACGCGAAAAATGTAAATTCAAAACATTTTTTTATTTTTAATTTTTAATTATAAATTTGGGGTTAGCATTTTTTTTTTTAATTTTTCAAACCGGTATTTGAAATTAATTTTGTTTACCCCGAAACGTCGGAGACCCTATTAATTTAATATATAAATGATAAGCTTGACTTGAATCTCTTTACGAAATTCGACATGGATTATTGTCCAAGGCAACCGTACAATCTCCGAACAAATTGTTCAGATCGGACCACTATATATAATAATAAATAAAGTTCTTGTATGGAAACTTTTTTATTTGTAGCTTCGGTGCAACCAAAGTTTGTGTTCTTTTTAAATTCGGTATTCTGGGGTTAGAACTTTTAAAATTATTTTTAAGTAATATTTGTGGGATTACAAAATAAAAGAAACAATTTATCTAAAAAAAGAATTCAATTTTTTTTTATGCATTATTTGCAACCCTGTATTTAAGTATATTTACTTATATGTGTATGTGTGCACCAGCTTGTAGATAATCGTAGATATATGTACATTTGGATATACATATATATATATTTTTTTTAAATGCATACATATGTGTATTGTATCACCTAGATTATAAAATTCTTATCTTTTGGCACCAACAAAAATGAAAAAACCAAATGTAACCAATATAACATTTAACCTAAGGACCTAAGTAAGGATAATTGTGTTATCTGGAAAGACTTGATTCCTTTATTTTTGTGTATATTTTGTTATAAGTATTCGCGCAATAGGAAACAATTTTATACCGCCAAAGTACTGATTTTTTAATAAATACTCGTAAATATAATTGAAAAATAATATATACCTATATATATAAAGTTTAGCGTAATTCCTAGAACAATAAAAAATCTAAAAAAAAATATAAACAAATTACTAATACATACACTCATGTATGTATAACACAAAGCATAAGTATATAAATTTCAAAACCGAAAATGTAATTGTTCGCATACCTGTGAGTACAGAAATAAGAACAACAAAAATAAAAAACAATAAATAACAAATCATTAGCGTAACTAGCTAATAAATTTAACTTCCTAAGCACATGCAAAATTATGCTCGTACATACAGGCGTTGACCTTTCCAAACCACACTTACATATAAATAAATAAAAGTGCATAAATATATAGTAGCATACCGTTGCACTAATATACCAGCATTTGCGCGCACCAGCAGGCATGCATACACACATACATGTCATATATAGTTATATATAGATAAGTGCTAATAGTATAAATTTATCCATATAATTTTCTATGTAAGTGTATGTGTGTGCGCGTGTAGAATTGCATGCTTACCATTTAAACACATACATATGTATAGGTGTGCACTTCCAGCTGCGCGTAAACTCCATTAGTCAACTGCAAACACATACCGTTAATCCGTTTCGTACGATTGCATATGTGCAATTTTGTGTACACAGTATCCTACCAACCCACATGGCACACTACAAACATACATACCAAAATAAAATAGCAGCAAAAGTTGGTTATTTATGTAGCAAAGGCATGCACAAACACACACTAATTTATTACTTTTATTGATTTTTCTTGTTTTGCACTTCAACAATGGAGTAACGGTTGGGTTTTAAAGTTTTCAATAACAAGTGTATTATTCGTCTCTGGTATTAGGGTGCATCGTATTAATTTTTATACACTTGCAATATGGAAGCAGTATTTTTAAAGCATCGTGCAGTGAATTGTGAATAGACATTAGTCTACTGTTTTTATGCAATTATGTTATTTTGTAGTTATGTAATTAATTATTATTTTTAGTACTCACTCTGGGGCTTGCGATGATTATTTGAATTATAATTTTTGTATTTTCTTGTATTAATTCTTAACTTTTTTTCATTTTATTTATTTATTTTTTATTTGTTTATTTATTATTACTTTTATATATTTTTACTGACCCTAGATTTTTTCATTATTTTTAAGTTTTTTTTTCTATAATGCATATTTTCTTGTATTAATTGTTATATTAATTAATATTCCTTCTTAATTTTTTCTTATTTTTTTTTTTGAATACATTTTATTTTATTTATTTATTTATTTAACAGAAAGATAATTATAAATAATTATATTACAGTTTAAAGGCAATAGCAACGAAGACTATTGGCTTTTTTCTTTAACTTCATTCTAGCTTTCTTATTTCAATTTATTTAATTTTTGTACTTAACAACATTGTTATATATTTTTGCTTACTCTAGAATTCTTTGATTATTTTTTATAGTATTTATGTATAAAATTTTTTTTTTTAAATTTAGTTTTATTAGTTATTAATTTTTAATTTGTTTTAATATATTAAAAAAATTTATATTTCGTTATTTATTTTTAAATTTCCATTATAATTCTTGTTGCCATTAATATTTTTACTATGCTATTATTGTTATCATTTTTATTTTATTGGCTTCATATTCTTTTTATTGCAGTTAAATTTTATTTCATTTTAATATTTTACTATTTTTTTATTTCAAATATTTGGTAAATTTGTTTTATAAATATTACTTTACTTTTTTATATTATCTTATCTATATTCAATTTTTTCATTACTTTGAATTTTTTTAATTTTCTTAATTTTTTATATCTTTATTATTTTTTTTTACTTTCTTTAAGTTTTGTGGTTTAATTTTTTATATAATATTTATACCGAAATTAATTAATTACTTTTTTATATTATAATTTTATATTTATATATCATTTTTTTTTTTTTTTTATATTTAAAGTTGTCTTAGGTTGTTTTTTACACTTTTAATTAAATTATGATTTATTAAGTTTCGTTTTTACACTTTTAATTAAACTATTAATTTTTTTAAATTTTCTTAATTTAATTTTTAAAACTTTTAATTAAATTCTTAATTTTCTTATTAATTTTTGTTTTTAATTTCGTTGTTTATATTTTCATATTTTTAATGAAAGCAACATTTTGTTTTTTTTTTTTTTAATTTCTTAATTTAATTTTATAAATTTTTAATTTTACATTTCATTTTATAAATTAAAAATTTTAATTTTAATTAATTTTTTTTTTTAGGTTTTTAATTTTCTTAGCTTTATTTTTTACTTTTTTAATTAAATTATTATTTATTAAGTTGTTAATTTTTTTTTTTAGACTTTTATTTTTTTATTTTTTTTTCAATTTTCTTAATTTTTTATAAAAAATTTAATTATATTTTAAATATTTGTTTTTTGAATTGTAAAGTTTTTGCTAATTTTATTTTTTATACTTATAATTAAAGTCTTATTACCTAATGAAATTTTTTAATTTTCTCAATCTTATTGGTTATTCATATAATTAAACGATTATTTTTATAAAATTTTTCTTTACTTGCACCAATCTCCTGTGTAATGTTCCTAAACAACGAATATAAAGCTGAACAGAAAAATAAATAAATAAATGCATGTACCAAAGGTTTTTTATTTATGATTAGAAAACGTTACGTTTACAAAGTACATACATATATACTTACATACATACTAACTAACATATAATATGTATATACGAGTAATTAATGCGTTTTAGTATATGTGTGTTACGAGTATTTGTCCCAAACCTTGCCTTGCAGAATTCTAAAACTGTTATAAATAAATAAAAATGGGACCAAGATGTATATGAAATCCGCAAACATAAATACATACATATATACATATGTAGTGTTAAATTAGGCTCATATATTGTTTACAATTATTTTTTCCGAGTAAGTTTCCTTTTTCCTAGTAAATATTTCCTGCAAATACACACATGCATACATACATATGTAAATAAATATATTGTATGCACCATATATGTATGTTTGTATAACATACATTTTCTTAGCAAATTGTTTGTCTCACTTTTCATAAAATATTGCAAAATAATTATTATATAAAATAGCAACAAATATATTTGTACAAATTAAAAGTGAATTATATGAATTTGTTATTAAATGCAAACCGTTTGTGGAATAGTACAATAAAACCTTAATATTATATAATATATCTGTTATATTTGTAAATTCAACTATAATTGTTAATGCATTAATTGAGTTTCCTAATTCGTACACAAACTGCGATCTACAACACAATAAGGCAAATGCTAACTCAGTTATCGACTAGACGCTTACACATGCATACATACTCGCACACATACAACTCATATGAATTAATACATTTCAGTAAGCGTTTATAAAAGTTGTAAGAGCTGAGGAGTGGAATTCGTTACTTTATATTTAAAAGCAAAAGAAAATAATAACAAAAACAACAACACAAATACTTATAAGAACAAATACTCGTATATTCAATCCCACCACAGAACTTTATTATGGCAAGAACAAAATGAAATGAAGTAAAACTATACCGATATTTGAAATTGCAAAATACTACAAAAACAACACACTAAATAATATACGCAAACAAACACAATTTTGGCGAAAACGCAATGTAAAATGCTTAAGTTTAAGAGAAAACTGCAATGATCAATAGAGTTTAAGGCAAAATTGCTATGTATGTACGAACTAGATGTGTATGTGTGCGTTGTGTTACGTGGCGGACCGAAATATATACACACAAACTATATACATATGTATATAAAATGAGAAAACACAACCAAAAATACACAAAATAAAAGATGGAAATAACTTAAGCAAAACACAGTTGGCGATAAATGGATATAGTATTAATACTGTACATAAATAGTTTGAAGCAAAAACGCGTAAACTTCAAGATCTAAATGTTCAAATAAAAGTTCAAAAATTGAAAATATGCGAAAATGTGGTCTCATTTTGCTATTAGAGCACAGTTTTATTGTGATTTCTTTTGCGTTCGTTTGTTGTTTTTGTTATTATTTGAGTCATTTTATAATTTATATAATTTTGGTTATTAATTATGCATTTAAAATTTTTTTGTATATAATACACATAAAATTTGGAAATTTTATTTTTAAAATATTTAATAATAATTTTTCTTGACGATTAAAAATTGTTTTTTGGAATTAAAAAACAATGTATAGAAATAACTCGTATTAAAAAACTAGAAAAAGCGTTACTTTGTTGCTACAATACACTACACAGTTGCATTTCTTATAGCATATGTTAAAAGGGCATAAACAGATCTTTATATTGATTTTAATTGGTCAGTTTGTATGGCAGCTATATGCTATAGTAGTCCGATTTGAACAATTTGTTCGGCGATTATATCATTGTCTTGTAAGTAAATCCATGGCAAGCAAAATTTGTAAAGATATCTTGTCATATAAAAAAGTTTTTTACACAAGGTCTTGATTTTGATCGATCAATGGGTATGACTTTGCTGTGGCGGACCAATATCAAGGGTTCCGACAAATGAGCAGCTCCTTAAGGAAGAAAATGGCGTCTGCAAAATTTCCGATCGATATCTTAAAAACCGAAGCTTACATTAAAATAATTTTCATGTCTATAAACTCTAAATTAATTATTAATAAGCTCAAAATTATTTTGAAACATATATTTTACTTCTAAAGCAGTATTTTAGGCGCATATTTCTTAAATACACAATTTATTTTATAATTTTAATGTAATTATTTACTTATAGAGTATATGCCGGCAAATGATTGTAACATAAAGTAGTTTTAAGCCTAAAATATTTACTTCTTCTCCCCTTCTTTGTCGTTTGGATTGTCGAGTTTCTCTTCTTCATCGCCATCAAATATTTGTGTTGCCTCCAGCTTATCTATGAGCTCCTTACTGCCGCTATGTGTCAGCAATTGCGTGGTCTTTTGTATTGTTGTAATTTTTTGTTGCAAATATTCCTTGCGGCGCTCTTCGGCCTTTTCGAGTTTCTCCTCCAAATCTTGTAGATTTACAGTGGCCGCCTCATTTTCAGCCGCTTGTTCCATTAATTCTTGTATACGTTTTGGCGGCTGCTTTTTCACTGTCGCAGCAAGTAAATCTTTTGCTTCCTGGGCATCTGCGGTGTATACTTTTGTCTCAGCCTCATCACTTAACGGAATTACGTAGGCTTCCGAAGCGGCTAGAAAAGTAAGGAAAGAAGGTAAATTTGTTATACATTCGAGGTTAAAATTTAAAAAATGCGGTGCATGATCTTGAAAACAAAAACAATATGAAAATTATACAATACATATATATGTATATATGAAATATACAGGGGTGTTGCAGAATCTGATAGTTGTCGGAATCAGAATTGAAACCAATAAGAAAATGTAGTAGGTGTCATGAATTCAGATATTATTGGTTTGACGTTCGAAAACACAAGAATAAAACACAATATGTCATAATTAATGTTTATGTTACAAAATGCAGATATTTTAAGAGGATTTACAAAACGTAATTTAACATCCAAATGTGTCTTTATTCAGTAGATAATGTGTTATAAATCTGAAAGTAAACATGTATACAAACATGCAAGTAAATGCAAGCCAAATTTCACATGCGACTCCCCTAGTGCATCAAGAGGATTGATCTTTTAAAATCTTCCTTTTAATTTTTTCGTTGTTTTATTCTTCCAATAAAATTAAAGCTAAAATAGCGGAACTCATTGTTCACTTTAGTAGACTTTATTCGGTATTTCAAATTTATCAAATACCTCACAGAAGATTTATATATATAAAGATTAATATTTTTTTATTTGCTTAAGCTATCAACATTAAAGAAAAATTTGTAACTATATTTCTAAAAAAAGTTTATGACATCTACGTTTTTATTAGTTTTATACCTACATAAGTGCGTCGTAAGACAATCACTTTACCTAACTCACTACCTACGCTGAACTAAGTTTGTTACGAAATTTATAAAAAATTATCAGCTTGATGAACTTAGTCGACTTAGTCATGTCCGTCTGTATGTCGGTCTGTATATACGCGAAATATTCGATCATTTTTTGAGATATCGCTCTGAAATTTGAACAGGCAGTTATCCCACTCCACTCTTGTGTATATCTGCCGCACAAGTTGATCGATCAAAATTAGGTCCTTGTATAGAAAACTTTTTTATTTGACAGGGTATCTTCAAGTCTAAGACAAGGCTATAATATCCAAACTAAGTTCAGATTAGATCACTATAGCATATAGCTGTCATACAAACTGACCGATCAAAATTAAAATAAAGATTTTTTATACACTTTTATGATATAAGAACTGCACCTGTGTACGTTATTTTAATTTCGGCGTAACCGAACGTAACGTTTTTTTTTGTTTGTTTTTTTATGACCTACATATGTATGTACGAGTAAATACTAACTATTTATTCAAAATCATCACAATTACTACAATTTTTACCTTTTCTTTGAAATTTCTTAAAAAATATATTAAATCCTGAGTAAGTATACAGTTAAGCAAAATTTATATTTTTTATATTGCAGTTTATATTGCAAACTTTTATTTTTTTCCGGTAATTAAGTTATTTTCAAAAATAAAACTTTTTTTTACTGAAAATCATTGACGTATCAAAATTCGGTGTGATAGAATCGGGATCCCGAAAAAGATCTTAATTAATTTCTATTTGATTTAAAGTTATAAATTATATTCAATTGCATTTTTTTTTAACAAAAATAATCGAAAAAAAAAATCGTTTTTAATTTTTATAGGTTTGTGTGGGTATTATAGTTTAATTTTTGTTTTATTTAGCTTTGAATTTTTTTTTTATAATAAAAAAAAATATTTGTAGCTTTCTCAGCATTTTTTTAAATTAAAATTTTCAAACTATTTTTACAAAATATAATATTAAACACATACTGCCTTTCTACGTGTACCAATGTATATATGTATGTATTTTGTTATATAAATGTATGTTTGTTTGTATTTATTTTCTTATATAAATGTATGTATGCGTTTATTTATTTTACTCACGATATTTATCCTTGTCTCCACTACTTTCTTGATCACTCATTTTCGATTTTGAATCCGTGTTGTTGCCGCTCGCTTTGTTAGCCGACAAGGTTCGTTCTTTGTTTGCTTCGCTGACGGTTGGCGCAGAAGTTGAGCAGCCCATACTCACACGTTTTCTATAAGCTAGTTTAATAATTTCTTTTGTATTTTTTTCTTTTTATTTCTATTTTTTCTTTTAATTTTTTTCCACTAATCGTTTTTTACTCTAATGGCTGCTATTCTAATTGCGCTGTAGTCGAAATGTATATATGTATGTATGTATGCACATTTAAATGTTCGTTGTAATTTCCCGCTGTCAATCGATTTCAGATCGAGTGTCCATTGCAATCAAAACTATGACAATTTCCTACAGATTAAATATGCACATAATAGTGCCGTTACCTACACCTACATATATATACATATAATGTCCTTCAACGCTAAACCACACACATTACTCTTGGCATGCATTCACTTCAAGCTGACATCCTGTTACTTTAGTTTCAAAGTCGTGTATGATTCGATTTCCGCCAACAGACATTGTCGTCGTTGTCGCTGTTGTCGTCTGTAGTTTGCGGTTGCGACTATTGCGAGTTAGTTGGCCACAAAGCCACAAAATCAATGTCATCCACCCTGGATGTGTTTGTATGTACGCTTAGGCTGATAGAGTTAGATCTATGTATTTCGCAAAAATTCCATTTGCATGTGTATATATACATATATTATATATCAACATGAATGTTTATTTGCATGTAAGTTTATGTGGTTTTCCCCACTGACTTTATGCCATTAACTTATATTTGCATTTATACATGCAAATGACATGTCTGTATGTATATAATAACCGAAATTTTATATGCTGTGAATTGCTTTTCACTGTCATTACTGTTCACCAATCCAAGCAAAAATAACGAACAAAAAATCCCGCCACTATCTGCACTTTCCGGTTCAATCATTCGGACAGGACTAAAGTGTCAGGCTTCGCGCAGCTCATAAATATATGGCTAACAAGTAAGAAAGGGCTAAGTTCGGTTGTAACCGAACATTTCATACTCTTCCAACTTGCAAGGAACAAAGGCGGAGGAACACCTTCAGGTTTTGGCAAAACCTTATATCAAACTAAGGAAAGTACCGCCGTGATTTCATTCATTTAAAGGCGTTTTCTAAGAATATGTCGACGAGAGGATTTTTGAAAATTTAAATTATTTTCGGAGATATAGACATTTTACTGACCCGGCTGGGTCTAATCGGACAAAGGACTTTACGCGAAACTTTAAATGCGTTTTTTTAGAACAGATTTTTCAATACGATACCCACGATTTCTCGAGTACCACTGGACCGATTTACTTGAAATTTTTAGAGAATCCTCTTTATAGACCTCTCTCTTTTTACTATATTTAAAAAATACGAGCAAATTAAAAAAAAAATGCAAAAAAAATCGTTTTTTTTTCAAAAAGTCGCCATTTTGTCAAAATAATTTTTTTTTACTTATCGCTAGTTCATACAATTGATAATCTTTTTTTTCATTTCAGATGACTAGGAGGGTTGAAACATGTGTATGCTCATGTGCAAATTTTTTTAGACCCCCCACTTCATCAGCCGCCATTTTTTTATGTTTTTAATTTTTTTCTGTACTCTTGAAATATTAATAAATAACTGATAAAAATCGACAATGAAAATATTGATTGCCTTGTTTTTACGACACTTTAAAAATTACCTAAAATTCATGTCCATATACTAGAATACCCCCTTAAAGAAAGAGGACACATTAGAAAAAAACTCTCTAGATCAATTTTTACACCATCCTCGTTGTGAAATTTAATCCATGTGACTCATTTAGTGGGAGTGGGCGTTGTTATTAACCGATTTTACTCATTTTCACAGAGTTTGAAGAGGTGACACTTTTTCTCAGCAAGTCAGGTTAATATATCTAAAGCAATTTGAAATATATGTATTTTAAACCATTTAGGGGCGGAGCCCACTTTAAAAAAACAATTTTAGCTCACAGTTGTCCCTGGCTACTGCAATCTCCTGTATCAAATTACAGTTTCGCATCTTAATTTGAAGCTCAGTGACACTTTAAAAGTTTTCGTTTAATGGCGTTTCGTGGCCGTGGCAATGGTTCGATTCCGCCCACTTGCAATACCAACCTCTCTTGGATGTCAAGGAATATGTGTATCAATTTTCACAAATATATCTCAATTTTTACTCAAGTTATCGCTTTCACGGACAGACGGACGAACGGACAGATAGTGAGCCGGATATCAACTCGTTTCGTCATCATGATCATTTATATACTTGTATGTATATATAACCCTATATCTAACTCGATTAGTTTAAAGTGATACAAACAACCATTAGGTACACAAAACTATTATACTCTGTAGCAAAATGTTGCAAGACTATAAAATACCGGAGTGTAGGCGTATGTGTGTATATTTATATGTATGTATATAGGGTGCACCCACGTTAGCATTAGTTAAATGTTAGTTTACGTGTTGAATGTAAGTTAATTGCACTGACCAGCAGCAAGTCAGTGCAGTAATGCATGCCCATAGGTCATTTATTTTATGTATGTTTATATATTGTATCTATGGGTTATTAATTTATATATTTATTACACATGTGCTTATATGTATATGACGTTGGTACAATGTGCTACGTAAATATTTATCATTAACAAGTAATACAAAATTCATATTCAAAATTTGTATACCCTGAACAGTGTATATTAAGCTTACCACGAAATTTGTAACACCCAGAAGGGAGGGACGTAGTACCCAAAGAATATATACTTTATGAAAATGATCAACGTGATTTAGCCATATCCCTCTGTCCGTTTGTCTGTATCTACGCAAACTATGCCCTCAGATTTGAGATATCGATCTAAAATTTTACACATCTCCTTTCCTTTTCAAGAAGCTGCTCATTTGTCCGAACCGCCGATATCGGATCACTATAGCATGTAGCTGCTATACATTTTGATCGTTCAGCAAAATTAAATTCTTGTATTGAAACTTTTTAATTATACCTTCGGCGCAACCTTTTTATACCCTGAACAGGGTATATTATGTTTGCCATGGTATTTGTAACAGCCTAAAGGAAACGTCCGCGATCCATAAAGTATATATAAATAATCAGCATGACGAGCTGAGTCGATTTTGCCATGTCCGTCTGTATAGATACGACTAGTCCTTCAGATCCTGAGATATCGAACTGCAATTTTGCACACGTCCTTTTCTCACCAAAACGCTGCTTATTTGACGAGATATCTTAACGAAATTGGCACGGGTTAGATTTTAAGGTAATAGTGCAATCTCCGTAGAAATAGGTTAGATCAGACCACTATAGCATATAGCATATAGATGTCATACAAACTGAACGATCAGAATCAAATTCTTGCAAGGAAATTTGTTATTTGTGAACTATTATCACAGCTTCGGTACAACCGAAGTTAATGTATATTTTTTTGTTCTTTTTATAACTACATAAATACATATACTTGTACATATAAATCTACATAACACGTGCAGCAATCGCAATTTTTCACACAATTTCATCCAGTATTTAATTGCATCATTAAAGAATATTTTAAAAAATATACTTACAAATTATAGATAGTTAAAAAATAATTTTTTTTTAGAAATTATTCTATAGCCTTCTCTCGATAAATCAAAAGTGTGACCGCCGAATATGATAATTTTATAATTTTTGCCTTAACTTCTTGTTAGAAAAAATTTTATTAAATATATATTTTAATATTACTTATGCCTAAAATAAATTTTCTGGTTGTTGTAATATATACTATATACTGTAATATATGTACATACGTTGATAAGATACCAAAATTGAATCAATTCGTTTTCTGCGAATAATGCATATTGAATTATTTCGCAACATTTTTTAATACAAACTTTGCAGCACCTAAGTATTTCATCGCCTTTGATTTTTTCAAATTGAGAGAATATACAATTTTCGTATACACCCGAGCTTAACCCTTTTTTACTTGTTCTATTTTATTAAATTTGTATTTTTTCCATTACATACATACATACCTATATAATTAACCATACCCCATCCTAGCTAATCAACCAAAACTTTCCAATTAACTTTTTTATCTATAAATTTTTTTGTGATCTATTAATAATCACTTAAGTAAAATGCTTAAGTTAACTAGACACTTCTTTGTGTGCTTGCGCTTGCCTAAATCAACCATACATATATATGTAGGTCATTTATGCAAATAATAACATTTCGTATGCTAAGAAGCTCCTTTATTGGCCTATAATCTTGACATTGACTGTTCTCTTAATATTAATAATGATTATTTGTATTAAACATATGGAATGAAAGTTGAACTAAGTTAAACGGTGAAGCTAAAAGAGGACGTATCTTGTCAAGTTTGCAGAGAGGAAGATTAGATGGAAACATATATACACTTTCTTCTTCACAGCCCAATTTTCGCTAAACTAAGGTTGAAGCATCTTGGTTGTCGTCCTATTTACGAAACCGTCGAATTAGCTGTAGTAGATATTTGCTGGCACAATAAAATTGTGGCTGGCTCTAGGCCCTTTGTTGATATCCGACGTTCTTGATCCGTACTCAGGAGTTCTGGTCATCACAATGAACAGGCGTCTCTGGCTGTCCAAGTGTGATTATTCGTGGCCTCACGAAAAACCAAAACCGATATTTACCTCACCTAACCTTTATACGCTTAATACTACTGAATAATAATGAGGTGCCGACACATAATTAAGTATAGCATATTTATAGATATATTTTTTTTTCTAATTATTTTATTATTTTTACCATTGATTCATTGGTATCATCTATTTTTATCAAATGTAAATACCTATGCGGTTTTCAACTCAAATTGGGTATGATCAATATCACCTCAATCCGTCAAACAAGGTTCGGTTGAAATGTTGTCAAACTTCAAATTTTTTGTGGTATTACGGTTTACAACTCTGTGTCAGTCGGGTTGACTAGACTGGAATATCAAAAAACTGTTACCAAGCAATTGTAATTGAACATTACTGCATTTATTTAGGAAGAATGTGGTCATACTCATTTTGTTTTTAATTTTAGCCCACAAGTTTCCCTTGCTACCGCAATCCTCTGTGATAAATTACAGAATTTCAGTTTTATATCTCTATTTAGTGCTTAGTTATGGCACTTTATAGGTTTTCGTTTAATGGCGTTGATTACGTCCATCTACAAACTTAGCCTCCCGTGTATACCAAGTTTCATTATGATATCTCAATTCTTACTCAAGTTACAGCTTCCACAGACAGACAGACGAACGGCCGGACTCCAACTCCAAATATATGTCTATACTCGTACAGTTACAAAGCAAAATTATCAGGATGGCTAAAATATGTGAATTCGCAATGTTTATTTATTCGTCCGTCTGTGAATTGAACTATTGCCACTCCCACAAAATGCCGTTAAGTAAAACAAGAAAAAACGTTAACTTCGATTACACTGAAGCTATAATACACTTCACAAATAAAAAAGTTTCCATACAAGAAATTGATTTTGGTCGTTCATGACAGCTGCATATATGCAACAGCGGCGGTTCCGACAAATGAACAGCGTCTTAGGTAGAAAAGAATTTGTACAAATTTTCGATAGATATCTCAAGAACTTAAATATTAGTTTCATCGATCATTTATATATATATTTTATAGGGTATCGGACGTTTCCTTTTGGGTGTTACAAACTTCGTGACAAACTTAATGAAGGTTTGGTAACTGATGGATTCCAAAAATTAGATGTCCGATTTTTAATAGAGCTAGGCACTCACAGAGGTAGAGTCGTTTTCTTGCTCCCTTCGAGCTTGCAGCTACGGCCATTGCAATTATAGGGCATACCCATTTTTGACATATGGTCTCCAAATGGCCAATTCACTGTTATGGTTGCTGTAAGTCTATATATATTGCACTTTTACTGGACATATGCAATAAGTCCATAGCTTTTGTCTTTTAAAAATATGCTACAAAGCTTTGGTACAGCAGATCGCCATAGTGAGGGATAATACTTTTTAAAAAGGACGTGTCTCCGTATCCTAATAGGTTTAATGTATGTTCATACATATTTCACAAACAAAGAAAGAACGATCGAACGTGGTAACATTTTATTCTAGCATTTCTTCATACGGTGTGAATATGGACGAAATCGGACAACAATCACAGGTACTTCATATATAACAAAATATTTAAACTCAATCTAAATCCCTCAATTTACAATACTTTATAGTGAAAATATCGGTTAATTTGTAAGATGTCTTATCGAAAGTAAGTGGCTATCCTTTCGTGCTAACAATGGGAATCTTTTTCGGAAATGATAGAAATCGGTCCAGATCTTTGTTGACTCTTTTTCGAATATACCGCCTGATATGTCATTCTGATCAAAATTTACCTGGACTGGCAAAAAAACCTATTTTCACGTATTTTAATATAAATCTTTATAATCGCCTTCAAAGCGGTTGATGCCAGCTTTAATCCAATTTTCCATACACTTATTATAAGCCTCACTTGGAATGACCTTCAGCATCTTCAGGGAATTTTGGGTTTTTTCCCCCAATAATGATGCGTGATGAATGATTGAAATGATGACTCCTCAACTACGTTGTTAAGCATACATTTTACGACCTCTTCTTGACGTCGAAACACGAGTCTAAACACACTTCATACCCAAAACATTAACCAAAATGGTTGAGTCGATGTGGGCACAATCTATAAGAGATGTGGAGACCCATTCTTAGAAAAAAAATTTATCGATTCGATTTGTACGCCAAGCTTAAATGGACCAGTCCGGGTCAAATTTGATCAGATAATATGTATTTTGGTGACATAAAGTGAACATGTTATCTTAGACATACTGCGATTTGGTGTTAAAAATATTTAAACAGTTCATATATTTGACGAACCCTCATATGAACTTATAAAGAACTTATTGTCAATACATAATAAGTTATTCTGTAAGCATTAGTTGGATGCCCAATTTAGTGGGAAACGCCCACCACTAAATTTAAATTGTTGATAATTCACTTACACTCGCGTTAAATATTGTGCATATATATAGCTGTAAGTGAAAATGTGGTTGATTTCGGATACGAAATAAAAGGTGAATTTAACTTTATAACAAGATATTAATGTTGCAATTAAAATTATTATAGATAAATGGGTCCGATGGTGAGCGAAGCGATGTGTCTATTCAATCCCGCCAATGTCCTGATTCTCCTTTGGCTGATCAAGAAAAGTTAACGCGTGCGGAGCGGTGTCGATCAGAGCTATTTCGGCTGGTGGTCGAAACGAATGAAGAGTGTTGCGCGCAGGATGGCTATTTTGTCAAATTAAGTGAAGAAGTTGCGGGAACCATGCTTTTTGTTAGTTGGTGGTGCAAAAGCGAGTAATTCAATACTTAAAACGTTCCGGTATAAGTATAAATGAATATAACTCAAATGAATTCATTTTAGATACTATATTTATGCTTATGTATACGAAGTTATGCCCGGTCGCAACACTTGCACTTTACTATTGTGGTCTATCAAATCGTGTAGATTGCGTTATCTCTTTAAAGTAAATATAATATGTATAATTATAATCATTAAAACCTAATCCAATATATATATTAGATTTGCTAGTCATCTTGCAGAGATAACATGCATAGAATTCTTCTCAGAGCGATTATTAACATAAAGTTACAGCAAACGACGCCTAAAACGATTGAAATAGTCAACAGTTTTATTTGAGGTTTCACGTACGCAACAAGTACTATTTACATTTTAAACGGTTCAAAAAAAAAAAGTATTGCATTTATTATATTTTTATAATACATATACACATATTCCAAAAAGAAAATGGTTTTTGTTTGTGTGGATGATTTTGAAAAGAAGGCACATAGTGTGCTGGAGAAGAGCGCATTGGATTATTATCGTAGCGGAGCTGGTGAACAATATACGCTTAACTTGAATCGTGAAGCGTTTAGAAGGTAAATTACTACGTTGTATAAATATTTATATTTCAAGGGCTTGGAATATACACAAATCTCGCTGTACTATATTAAAGCGCTGTTACTTTTGCGACAAACCCCAAAGCTTTGGAAAAATTGCGATTTATGTCTCAACACAGTATCCGTCTCGATATATTGACCCAGCGACGTCGACTCTCACCAGTCTAAAGTATACGTATTCTCGTGGTCGACAAAGTAGCCTTCGAGGCGGCGATCTTAAACCAGATTCATGCCAAATTTCGTGAAGATATCTTGTGAAATAAAAAAGTTTTCCATACAAGGACATAATTTTGATCGATCAGTTTCTATTGCAGCTATATGCTATAGTGGTCCGATATCGGTTCTGGCAAAGGAGCAGTTTCGTGACGAGAAAAGGCGTGTGCAAAATTTCAGATCGATATCTCAAAAACTGAGGGACATGGCGGACATGGCTAAATCGACTCGATATGACAGTCTTTGCCTTCTTCGGAATACGTCCACCGCCAGAAAATCACGCTCATCTTCAAAGAGGAAGAGTTACCGTATATTGTCTTCAAGCGCTCTTTGGTTTCACTACGCGATTTCACTTACAAAAAGAAGAATCTATCCACTGACTTTTATTGCACTTTTTCCATTTTTTTTAATACGCGGGCAAGCTTCCTTCTACACGCAGTCAAAACAAAAAAATGTAAATTTGCTATTTATTGGAAAAATGTATACTTGGATTTTGGACGATAGAACCATCTTTAGTACTAACCTTACTTCTAGTCCATTATACTCGTGTTAGGGCTATTCTGTTTCTCGAATAGTCATAATCAAATCATTAAATCAATAATTTCCATTTCTCCATACTACTCATGATATGATCCTTATTGACAACATAATTTTAGAAATAAGTCGTAACCAATCTTTAATTTAACTGATTATTTCAGAATCCGCATACGTCCGCGTTTTCTGCGTGATGTCTCTAGCATTGACACTCGCTGCAAAGTATTGGGCATTGCGCAAAAATGGCCCTTGGGAATTGCACCCTCAGCTATGCAAAAATTGGCGCATCCGGAAGGCGAGGGTGGAAATGCGCGTGCAGCCGGCAATGCCGGCTCAATTTTTATACTAAGCACACTATCCACCATGTCCATTGAAGAAGTCGCGACTGCTGCACCCGACACCAATAAATGGTTTCAACTTTATGTTTATAGAGATCGGTAAATTGATTTAAACTTGCTATTGTAATTGCTTTATCAAAATCATTCTTTTCATTTTTAGTTCGCTTACCGAACAAATGGTACGACGTGCTGAGAAAGCTAATTTCAAAGCAATAGTTCTAACCATCGACGCACCAATATTCGGCCAACGTCGTTCAGATGTTCGCAATAAATTCAGCCTGCCGTCACATCTTCATCTCGCCAACTTTGAGGGTATCAAAGCTGATGGCGTACGTAGTGATAGCGAGGCAATTTCTGGTATCAATGCCTACGTTTCCAGTCAATTCGATCCGACACTAACGTGGAAGGATGTAGCATGGTTGGTCAACTTAACGCGGTTGCCTGTAATCGTTAAGGGCGTACTAACACGTGAGGATGCTGTGTTGGCGCGCGAATTCGGCTGTGCCGGCATAATTGTATCTAATCATGGAGCAAGGCAAATAGATACAGTACCAGCCTCAATTGAAGCACTTCCCGAAATCGTCAAAGCGGTGGGTAATGATCTAGTAGTGATGTTAGATGGTGGTGTCACACAGGGGAATGATATTTTCAAAGCACTAGCTTTGGGTGCTAAAATGGTTTTTGTCGGTCGTGCTGCACTCTGGGGTCTGGCTTGTGATGGTCAAAACGGTGTTGAAAACTTGTTAAATGTTTTGAGGAAAGATCTTGAAATTACCCTTGCTTTAGCTGGTTGCCAAAAGTTAAGCGATATCAGCAGTGACATGGTGGCACATGAATCCACTTATGCCAAATTGTAGACAATATTTGTAAAGCTATTACCCAGTGGATTAAAAATGAGGAGTATCTAAAAATAAAATATTTTCAATAAAATCGTGAAAGCGTTCGATGAATGAAAAAAGTATAAAAGTCTCTAAAATGTATGACAGAAAGGTTTTTTGTATGACATCATAACAATCGGTGAGATATGGTACTGAAAATCAAGTAACGAGGGTTGTAGCTATACCGTGACGGCGGAGGTGTGAGCCTGCTTTTCCAAGTATTCGATGTAGATAACAGTTAAGGTATCCCAGAAAACGGTAGTCATCACCTTTCCGGCCGATAGTATAGTAGTTGACTTCTTCACAGCAGGTTCAGTGAAGTACACTGTTTTGATTATACCTTCTTATTTCATGTGTCAATGGATCCATGTTTCCTCGCCCGCCTCGAAACACCTCGGATTGTGCTTAAACAACGTTTAATGGAAGTCGTTCAGCGGTCTTTTGATTTCACTTAAGCGGAATGAGCGACTGCGGGGTCACAGGCGGCACTACGCGATAGTAAATTTCTCTTGCGGTATTGGCGACATCGGCCTGTGAGGCTAAGTAACAGACTTTGAAACTCTCCTTTGAGTTCGATCACTGGCTTGTTAAATAAAAGTCACAATTTTATGGCTTTATTCTTGTCTTTATTTCTATCTCAAATAACTTAACGCTTAAACACTCAATTCGATAAAGAAGATCTGCTTCATGTGCTCACTACCAAAGTCTGTTGACATAATTGGCATTTTTAATTGTAGCTTAATCCATCCACTTCAGCCTTAATTTCATCCTCCTTTTTTAAAATCTGTGAGTATATCTTTGCTATTTGTGCGGTGATCTGCCTCGTTCATGTCTCTTTCTCTAATTCCATTCAAAGACATATTCGTCAACACTAATGTTGTCTTCTTCGATGGCCTCTCGCAACCGTCATTGTAATTCGAATTTTATTCCGTTTGTTGCCAAACCAAGTTGCTCCAACTCCTTTTCTAATTGTGGAATATACAGGTCGGGTAACTTTGCCATTTGAAAATAATTTTCTCTTTGGAAGTTTATTTGACAATCCCACTTTTGACTTCAATTGTAACGGATTTCTCGATAAATAATCTAGCTTGAAACTCTGCCTTGGTTCGATCACTGGATTGTTAAATAGAAGTTCCTATTTAATGGCTATACACTTATCTTTATTTCTAATTCCAACAACTTAATGCTTTATTCCTCATAATACGAGTTTACAACTTCTTACTTATGTCTCAATTGCTCTTTTTACGGTAACACTCTAACTAGAACTGTCCGGCAGCCCTTATATAGTACATCTTTAACAAAACTTTGTCTCTAAAACATTCTGGCAACTACGAATTCGCTGTCTAGTTGCTTCTGGCAATTTATCGCCGATTAGATTTTGTTCTATCATCCGTGTTCGTCACAATATATACAACTCTTGTCAATTATTGCATATGAACATATGCCAATCTGGCAGCATTAGCCAATGAAAAGTCAAAATTGATTGTCAAACTTCTAACCTAACAATACGCAAAATAAGCCGTTTCATCGTTCACAAACAAAACTATAGCTGTCCATTTTTACTATTTTCCATTTGTTATTATAAAGTAGTGAATATAAAAATTATAAAAAATGAGTTCTATCGGTACAGGGGTGAGTTTATATTTGAGACCGTAAAAATTGTCAGGCACTTATTCCAACAACGCTTTGTACATTTTATAGTATGATCTTTCGGCATCACAATTTTCGCCTGATGGTCGGGTCTATCAAATCGAGTACGCTGGTAAAGCGGTAGAAATGAGTGGAACAGTAATTGGAATGCGTGGAAAAGATGGTATTGTTTTGGCCGTGGAGAAAATTGTTACCAGTGGTTTGTATGAGGATGACGCAGCCACACGCATATTTACTGTGGACAAAAACATTGGTATTGCCATTGCTGGCCTTTTGGCTGATGGAAGATATATAGTGGATATTGCTCGGCAAGAGGCTGCTAATTTCCGCCAACAATTTGAACGTACAATACCTTTGAAACAGTTAACTGAACGTGTATCAGCTTATGTGCATGCCTATACGTTGTACAGCGCAGTGCGCCCATTCGGTGTTTCTGTTATATTGGCCTCATGGGACGAGGAGCAAGGACCACAACTATATAAAATCGAACCTTCTGGTACCTCTTTCGGGTATTTTGCCTGTGCTAGTGGAAAGGCCGAGCAACAAGCTAAAACAGAAATGGAAAAATTAAAATTTGCAGAAATGAGCGTAGACGATTTAGTTCAGAATGCTGGTAAAATGTAAGTACTTACATATTATTTCCATATACGAGTATTCAAAAGGATATATATTTTGGTTTAATTTTGTCAGAATTTACTTGGTGCATGATGAACTCCGAAACAAAGATTTTCATTTCGAAATGAGCCTGGTCAGCAAAGAAACAAAAGGCTTACATCGTTTAAATCCCCAGCCATGGTACGATCAGGCAGTTCAAAGTGGTTTAGCGGCAAAGAATGAAGACGATAGTGATAATGAGATATAAGATATTTTTTATTTAAATCGAAATCTCGATATAGTAACTAATCTATTTGATTTGGTTTAAAATATTTCAATATGGTTTGACCTATAAAAAAAAAAATCTCGTGCACACGAGAAATAAATGAAATTTTATAAGTATTGTTATTTGTGCTTTCATAAATTGGTAAGACTTCTTCGAATATTAATACAGTGAAAGTCAAACTTTCAATATAAATTTTTATTGTGAATGGCAGAGAAGCATATTGGCGGTTGAGCAAACACAGCTGATGAACGGATTACTAGTAATTTATCATCAAAATTAAAATGATTTTAATTAAACGTTTTTGTAGTGGATTTCAACGCATTAAAACAATTACAAACACTGCTAAATCTGGAGACCGTCTTGATGTGCAAGTAAATAACAAGTGATTTGATACATTATTCAAATAATTTTTAATTGTAAGACTACAATTAGGGATGGATCAAAAATATAAGACGCCTGAAGAAAAATATATTTTTCGACTTAAATGATGGTTCCACTGCACATCGTTTTCAAGTGGTTATACCGAAAACAACGGACACAAAAGACATAAGTGTTGGAAGTAATATCAGAGCATCTGGGTGCATACAAGTAGCGCCCAATGGTCAACTAGAATTACACGCCGAAAATGTAAAAGTAATAGGTGTTACAAAATATTAAAATTACCAACATATACGGAACAATAAAACTTATTGCTTCTTTTTAGCTGACGGCCATATAACAGATTATCCTTTTACGCCAAAGCAGCAGCATCCCCCTGAATATGTTCGTGAATTTTTGCACCTTCGTGCACGTGTAGATTACATAGCTGCGCAAATGAGATTGAGGCATCGTGCATTGAAGGCGATACATGACTATATGGACGAATTGGACTTTGTACAGATTACTACTTCTGTTCTTACAACAAATGACTGTGAGGGTGCTGGTGAAGTGGGTATTCCGTTTTATACATGAATAAAAATTAATGTGATCTATTAAACATTTTATTCTTTTAATATGCAGATTTTCAGGGTGCAGCCAGATTCTGATGTACTGCTCAAGGAAATGGCCCGACCCAACATTCCCATTGAGCAGAGTTACTTCGACAAAAAAGTGTTTTTGTCCGTTTCGGGTCAATTGCATTTGGAAGCCATGTCCTATGGATTGGGTAATACATATACATTAACCCCAGCGTTTCGCGCTGAAAATTCTAAATCACCACTGCATTTATCGGAATTTTATATGTTTGAGGCTGAATTAGCCTTTATAGAGGACATTTCTTCCTTGACCGTATTCATTGAGAAAATGTTAAAAAACGTTACATTACGAATTTTAGAATTAGCAACAGATGATTTAGAATTTTGTCAAGAAAAGGCGTTAGGTTCTGCTTTTGAACTACCTTGGCTGAAAGTCGCGTGGACCACTCTTAGCTACGATGAGGCTTTGAAGATTTTATTAGCAAATAAACAAAAATTTAAAACAGCACTTAAACCAGATGAAGGATTTTCTAAGGAACAAGAGTTATACCTCGCTAACCATTGTGGAACTCCAGTGTTCGTTGTTGATTGGCCTACCAATCAAAAGCCCTTCTATATGAAAGTGGTTCAAACAAAATCTGACCGAGTTCATGCTTTAGATTTGTTAATGCCTGAAGTTGGAGAATTATGTGGAGGAAGTTTACGCGAAAACGACGAGAACCGTTTGAGGGCACATCCAAATCTACCGCAAGACTTGGAATGGTATTTGGAATTGAGAAAGTTCGGCGGTGTTCCTACAGGTGGCTTCGGTTTAGGCTTTGAGCGCTACCTTCAGTTACTTACGGGAGTAAAGAACATACGCGATGTTATACCATTTCCACGATACCCACATAGCTGCCAAATGTGAATATATATTTACTGCTATAGTGTACTTTTAATACGATGTCATATATTAAATGAAGATGAAAAGTGGACAATGAATATTGCTTGAAAATATCAAAAAAAATACAAAAAAATTTTCTTTAATGTTAAAATAACACTGAACTTGGTGCCTCACATTTTAGACCTGATTGTGGTATATTTTGTGAGCTGATACGAAAATAGTTTTCCTAGTTTATAAGAAAAAGTAAAAATACACATATTTTAAAAGATATTAATTTATTTGGAAATTATATATCAAGAAACGCATAAGTCCCCAGAAATAATCAGCAATCCTTAGATCTTCACATTTACCTTGGTACGTGTTTCATTGTTTTTGTATCTTGGTGGAACGTTTACCTTGAAATATGAATTGTAGGTAAACCATCATCTGAGATCTAGTAGTAGCAATAAAGTTTATACTACCTACCTTATCGACTACAGTTTACCAAAATTTTATTTTTTTTTTGACATAATTATTAATATATACGAATTCTTAATATTCAGTTGTTTTGTGATTTATCAATTATTGATCTTACAATAAATAAATAAATAAATAAATATAGTTTAAGCTTTAAGCTTAACCGTTATTTTACTACCGCCATATTTCAACTCGGAAGTGTTCCTAAAAATTACTTCAAGGATGTTTTTTGCAGCTACAACAACAGGCAGTCGCCAAGAATGATAAAACAAACATATGCATATGAGTGTAGCGATATCAGATAATAGTTCTTAGCTTCATAGAGACAATAAATAATAATGTGTATCGCTCTAAGTAATCTGAAAAAGGTATACACAGCCTAACATATAACCCCAAATACGCTACTTTGGGGACAGGATGTATTACTCCCTTATAAATAGTTTTTGCAGAGAACGTATATCATATTTTACGTTCTCTGGTTTTTATAATAAATCGAAATGTCAAAATATCTCAACATTGTGAACTGCTCACTGTAAGCATTCTTGTAATATCAGAGAACGTATATCATATATATATAATATACGTTCTCTGGTAATATGAGGTTTATATTTTAAACGTCAAACCTATACACATTTGTTTTCACAACATTTTCGCGCGTAAATGCTTTAAAGTGGGGAAAAGTGCGGTGGTTGCAATAAATTATTCGGCGTCATAACTTTATTTTTGTGTTCTTTTATTTGTTTACAACAGCACTTTATTAAGTTCAAAAACAAAACGTGACGAAAAAACCAAAGTCATGGCCACTTTAATTGAGCAAATGCTAACTAAAATGGGGCTACGCGACGAGCACAATATGCAAAGGTCAGTATCACTGACAGAATTTTCAAAATAAAATATATAATAATTCCATGCATATGTATGTCCATACTTTCGGTTTTTAGCAAAACTTTGGAATTGTTGCGTATTCTTGAGTTACGTTCCGCTAATGCGCCACTACAGCTAAATGAATATGCAAAAACAGTGCTCTGCGCGGATATTGCAACCACAGTGTTGGGCATAGCTTGTGATATGGTAATAAATTTATATTAATAATTTATAATTAAAAACAAAGTTTTTTTTAGGAACAAAATGTTAAGTTATCCACCTTGCGCAAATCACATTACATCAAACACAAACGTATGATTGAAAAAATCCTAGATGTTAATAAAATCGTCGGCGTGAATGACATATGTGTACAACTAAATATGACCGAAGTTTCGCAAAAGGCTGTGGAACTATTGGAATGGTATAAGACTGTTATGGCGAAAGAAAGTGCCAATGATGAAAATGATCTAATCCATCCTCAGTATGCAGCAATGGCCGTTTTCCAAGCTGCCAAAATTTTAAAACAAAAATGTTCGAAAGCGAAAATAATGAGTTTTAGCAATTTGCGACCAACCCAATGGCAACAACTTGAATTGCGATGGAACAAATTTTTAACCAAATATTATAAAGAAACATCTGATAAAAATCAAAGGCTTCGTGTTGGAGAATTAAATGAAGAATCCGAATCTAATACAGAGCTTTTGAAATCGCAAAGTTGTGTAGAAAGTAAAAAACGTTTAGCATCTTCTGTAGAGGATTATGAGAAATGGAAGAGGCGAATTTTAGCGAAAGCGCAGGATCAATTAAGGTATCAACTCAATGAGCAAGAAGATGAAATTGGGATTGATAAAGAAAATCTAATTTTAGGAATGTAGAAAATAAATAAAAAGTATGTTAAAATGGTTTTATAGTAGTATATGTGTTTAATAATAGACTTATTATATACATGATTATTGTTAAAAGAAGATTTAAAAAAATGCGTATTTTTTTAGAAAACTGAGAATATAATTACTAATTACTAACTGCTTTGTGTTGAGTGTGTGCTAGTTTGTACATTTTAAATATAGTTTTCCAATTATTAAATAATTATAGGTATACACATTATATATAGCATTAGTATCGGATTAAAACTATTAGTGTTGTATAATTTAACTAACTACTTGTCAATCATTGAAGTCATCTAATGCATTTTGGATAGTTTTAGTCGTATTCGCCGACTCTCTAGAAAGTATCACTTGTTCAAAATGGTTAAATAGAAACTCTCCAATGTCGTGTTTCTCACCATTCGGTTTGAAATCTGCATTAAATAATGAGAACTGTTATGCCTGCTTTCATTTGAACATTGACATGGATTTTTCCATACTCACCATTGTAAAAAATTAACTCAATTTCCTCTTCTGTATCTGGACAGTTATATATCAATTTCCTCAAGTATTTATAAAATTTTAATAGAATTTCCCGCTGCATTTCTTCTATTTGTCTTGTTCTTGTGGGTGGAAAATTTAATGTTTCGAAAAATGTTAAAATGGGTGTAGCCCCTTCCAGTGATATATAATAAAACCGCTTCTTAATAGGCATTCTAAAGCGATATACATCATTTTGATACGGGCGATATACTCCAGCACGATTAAGACGCACTGGGGGCAGTGGCTATTAGTAAATGTAGGTACAAATGTATAAATAATTTAATAATTTACAACGATTTATGCTATTTAATTACCTCCGCCTTTTCTAAATACGGACTTTCAAATTTTGATTTAATAAACAATTTGCTGGGTACTAGTATAACCAATCGATGGATTGCAAATTGTACACCATGGCTTTGTTCATAGTAATTTATGCGATCGCGTATACCGGTAATATTAGTATATGCTGGTAGGGTTAATTTCAAATATCCATGAAAATAATTAGCTGCCATACTTGACGCAGAATCCAAACCGTGGTTACCACGTATAAACATTGCATTGTCTATTGTGCTATGACCCATTTGAACCAAAGATATCAACCACCAAAGTGGCATATAGGTGAAACAAATCGCTGGCGGTATTAAATGCAGGCTCTCCGTAAATCTGAGGCGCACTACAGCTACTACAATAACGCAAAAGAAAAGCACTAAAGTGGTAGCATTGTAACAATATGCTCGGCAGATTATTGTCCAAAAGCGATTTTCTGGCAAATAGTGATTTTTATATTTAAAGTTTTCCAATAAAGCTTTATAAAATCGAAGCAACAAATCGGCGATAAAGAAAGTTACCAAAATATATACAACGTTATCTAAAAAATTAATATTATTCAAAATTAATATTATTATACACATATGTAGGTATGTATATTATACTCTTTATATACGTACCTATATATTTACCAAAGGCACTCATTTTTGTTTTTTCTAATCTTTTAGGCTGTAATTTACATTTTGTTTTTCCTACAATCTCACTAATTTCTTGGGAAACGCAAATTTCTTCACAAATTCGCATACTGCATACTAAACTTCCTAGAATCATATGGCTAATGCACCTACTATAAAAAGTAAGGAAGTCATAGGTTCGGCTGTATCTAAATATTTAATTCATTCGAATTTACAAAGGTCTAAGGCGGATAAAATAGAAATATCAAAGGCGATAAAAATGTTGCAAATCTGCTATATTACCCTAACGATTGAATTGACAGCCGTTGGTAAACAAAACTATTATACCTTATGTACATACATATGATTATCTATGTTTTTATTATATTATCGCATACTTCCAGGAAAATATCCGAGATCCTCTAGTATATTAGAAATCATGGTATAAGGTATTTACGATATTAGAAATACTCAGAACATAACAGTTAGAATATATTGTTAAAAGTAAAAAAGAAATTAATGATGGAACGTCCAAAAATCTTTAGTGAGACTAAACGCCAACGTAAAGGGGTTAAACGCAGAGAACGTTGGACATACACATGTACATATATTTGACGCTCTCTGCCGGATATACATACATAGCTAGAACCTGATTTCCATCGTAAAGGATATATATGGATTATAATATGCTGATTTCATTTGATAAAGTTGTTACCCTTGCAGGCAGTATATCTTCATTCCATTTATATTATTTTTGCTATTTTTTTCATTTTACATTACCAAAACCAATTTTTATTAGTTAGGCAATTTACCTGTTAGACAAGTTGTAACGCTATTGATAAAATTAAAGTTTTTTTTATCAAAACTAAATTGACGTTTCCTGATAAGACGGTAAAGATCAGCTGCTTGTGAACTATTGTGAATAACAACAAAACTATTTGGTAATTGCAAGAATGATAGAATATTTTGTATATAAGTAGATAGAATATTTTCTATCATTCTTGGGTAATTAATCATTTAATAGTTAAAACCGTTAATAGAAGTTAGTTATTTAAAAATTCAAATGTACTTTTCTATTTAAAAACATTTATTATTATTTAGAAGCAATAGGAATTATAATTCTAAAGGAGAATTTAAAAATCGAATGAAATGAAAAGACGTGTGATTGTCAAGAAGGTAAAGTCCAAATAAAAAAGCCATTATAGAAACGACATTTTCAAAGGTTTACGCTGCACGACAATATGTATTTGTAAATATTATATTTTTGCTATATATTTATGTACATACATATGTGTACCCATATTGGAAATTGTCCTTTAATTTGCAGTGGCACAAACGGTAATGCTTTGGCTGGTGGAGAATTCATAAAATATGTATTATTTTTAACCTTGCATCAGATTTCTACATGTCAATCAATGCCTAGTATGTAGATGTTGTCACTAAAACACTTCCATTAACAAATATATTTGTACTTATTACTGCACCTTCGTAAGTGTTCTGTACGTCTGAATATATTGAGACAACGATGGGCGTGGAGGTATGTGAAGTTTTTATTATAGTAATATCTCTAATATGCACCATAGCCGTAAATTATCCTTTATATTATAATAAGAGCTAGACTATAACCTATAGGTCAAACTAACTTACAAATTTTGTTATGATTTTTGTTAATCCACAGAAAAAGCTTGCAGCCAGCAATTCTAAACAGTCCATCAATGATGATTCGCCATCAAAATACACGTACACGGGTCGGATGTTGGAACTAATTGAGGCCTATAATGTTGCCGTACAAATTTTATATCCACAATATCCATGGTACATTTTCCCAGGACACCTGATCTTTGCAATTTATAAACGCTATATGCAATTTTATAAGGGTAAATATCGTGTGGTACCGATTCCAAATGCTTTATACGAACTTTTAATTGGCAATGAACTGATAAAAACTGAGCATATCGCCTTCTTACCAAAAGATGTCTATGATGAGTATGTAGAATCAGCAGATGTCAATTTTGTCAATTTGGTTATAAATGCCGAGAGCGCTTTACATAGCACATCCAATATGACCAATAGGAAAGCTACCAATGTAAACCCTGCATCTGACGATGTCATTAAACAAATGCTTAACAGTGCACCGCATACAATCGTCGCACAGATACTGCCAACTGTTAACTGTCAATCGAATTGTGTATTTGTTAAAGAGAATTTCTATTCTAATTTAATGGATCGGTTTCGTGTAACCAATGATTGCAGCCAACGAACACGCTTCTGGGCACATTTAGATCACTTAAATGATGACCAAACGATTCCAAGCATTGCTAGCAAAGCGCATATCTATTTGTTAAATAGTCCGTACGATTTGCCTACTGAGGTATCCGAGTTAGTACTTAATAATTACTTTAACACGCCTCGACTACTGCATCGTGGGCACACATATCGAATTAATGTTGACGCTCATCTGTTGGGCACTGCAACATATGCACATTATTATTTAATTTTTGCTCATTTGAAGTCTCTTTATTTCCGATGTGCCCATATGGAGGTAAAAGGTAATGATTTCGAGATGCAAGCAATTGTTGCTAAGAACTTCTCCAACCTGGTACAAGTGCCACATACACATCACTTTATACCACGACAGCTTATGGACAATATAGCAATTACGCAAAATTATCCCGCTGGTATGAGGCGTTCATATCAGTTGCTACGTAACTCAATTGATGCTTTTTTGCCCAAAAAGTCTGCGTGTTTGTCCTCCAAACATATTTATCCATTATTTCTCGTGCAAGGCGAAAGGGGCGCTGGCAAAACAAAATTAACGAATGCAGTTGCTCAGGAGTTAGGCCTACACTTGTTTGGCGTTGATTGTGCTGAAATAGTATCACAAGTGCCTTCTCATACAGAAATGAAATTAAAAGCCGTTTTCGCAAAGGGTAGCATTAGTGAACCACTACTTATATGCTTTCACAATTTCGAGGTAAGTAATTTCTACAATTATAATTACAGCTAAAACTAAGAATTTCATTTATTTTCTACACTTATTTCAGATATTTGGTATCGATAATGAAGGAAATGAAGATTTACGCTTATTATCCGCATTTCAGGTTCAAGTTCAAGAACTATTTACACACGATCGCAAGCATCCAATTGTTATTGTCGCTTTGACTAATGAAAAGTTTCTTAAACCCATGATTCAACGACTTTTCTTGGAAGTTATATACTTGGAGACACCAAACAAAGACGAACGCTATAACATTTTGTGTTGGTTACACACTCGTGAAATATTCAACGAAATGATTTTCAATAAAAAGGAGATTTCCTCTTTACCACTATTCAGTTTAGAGCAGCGGGATCGTTATATGAAACAAATGTCAGAGAAATGGTTGAATGTGAAATCAATCTTGCGAGAAGTTGCCGACAAATCACAAGGTTTCTTATTAGGCGATTTGGAAATTCTGTATGAAAATGCAGTTCGCACTTTGCGTAAATGTCGAGAGACTAAATCGAAAACGTGTCTTAAATTGGTGCACTTCTCCAGACATCTTAGTGAAATGCAAAACTCTTTTGCTAATAGTCTTGGTGCACCTAAAGTACCCAAAGTACTCTGGTCTGATATAGGTGGCCTTTCCAAACTTAAAGATGAGATTCAGAGCAGTATCGGCTTGCCATTGAAACATATGCATTTAATGGGTAAGAATTTGAGACGTTCGGGCATATTACTTTACGGTCCACCAGGAACAGGCAAGACATTGGTTGCCAAAGCCGTTGCGACAGAATGCAATATAAGTTTTCTGTCAGTTCAGGGGCCCGAGCTACTAAATATGTATGTTGGACAAAGTGAACAAAACGTGCGTGAGGTATTTGAACGCGCTCGTTCCGCAGCTCCTTGTGTACTTTTTTTGGATGAACTCGATTCTTTAGCACCGAATCGAGGAGTTGCTGGAGATTCTGGTGGGGTTATGGATCGAGTTGTGTCTCAGTTACTTGCTGAAATGGATGCTCTGGGTGATGCTACAAAGCCTGTATTCATCTTAGCTGCCACAAATCGTCCAGATCTTATAGACCCGGCATTACTGCGTCCAGGTCGTTTTGATAAGCTTTTCTTTGTGGGCCCATGTTCAACAACCGACGATAAAGCTGCTGTTCTACGCGCACAGACACAGCGTTTTAACTTAGCTAAAAACCTTAATTTAAATGACATTGCCGAACAACTCAAAGGCGACATGTCTGGTGCAGACTTATATTCAATTTGTTCGAATGCGTGGCTATCAGCAGTTAGACGTACCGTTGATAATCATCTCAAAGGTATATTAACACGTTACTGATATAAATACTAACATATATAATATTACTACTTACAGAAAATAAGAGTACCGAACTTCTTGCAGCTGATAAAGTGCTTGTGGAGATGGACGATTTCACAAAGTCTTACAAGAAATTTGTACCATCAATTAGTAAAACCGATTTGGATTATTTTAATCAATTGAAATCGTCATACGGTGTATAAACATTGGAAAATTTATTGGTTGTTTTTATTTAATAAATATTGTTCATTTTGTTAACGTTCTTTTATACAATGAAATTGTGTGATTCCCCTTTTAGTTGGTTTATGAAGGTTGGATATATTGGTTGTCCCTATAAATTTTTAGAAAAATTTAAATTAAGGTTACTCAGTTTATTAATTTATATTATTTAACCTGTTGTCGATATTCAAATTAGTTAAAATATACATATATGCATGTATATAAATACACGCATTTAGTACCACCCTTTTCTTCACGGTATAGAATACTTTTCTATATAAATGGAAAGTTGGCATCCCTGGTAACGAATGTGTTGAGAGACCATAGTAAGAATATAATAAACAATTTCCAACAGTTTGTCTAACAAAAATCATTATTTTAAAATATAAATACTATTATACTTCGCTTAACTTTAAAAGTTAAGTTAATATTATGGCCAATAGTTACGATATTCCAAGTTGGTAAGAATTTGTTAATCATGTTTTATTGATATTGTTAAAGGAAAGTACCGATTTGTACAATACACAGGGCTGGTAAACCCCCCACCGGATTGCATTTGGATGTCCTAAAAGAAGACAAACTTGTGCAAAAACTAATGGTGGATGAGAAACGGTGCTACCTCTTTGGTCGTAATACTCAAATGAATGATTTTTGCATTGATCACGCCTCCTGTTCTCGGGTGCATGCCGCATTCGTGTATCATAAGCACTTGAACATTGCTTATTTAGTAGATTTGGGTTCAAGTACATATATTTCAGAATATTCACTGCTTTATTTTATTTGAGAAATCTTTTAAAATTTCAATAGCACATGGCACATTTATTGGCACATTACGTTTGGAACCACATAAACCAACGCAGCTACAGATTAATAGCACGTTTCACTTTGGAGCTTCTACCCGACGTTATATTTTAAGAGAACGGCCATCGGCTGGTCAACGCAATAGCATTATGGAAGATTTGCCCATGAATGAGACCAGTGATGGAGCTTTGCTTGGTTTGCCTGAAAGTCAAACTGAATTGGATGTAAGCGTATAAGCAAAACGTTAAGTGTGAATTATTTCATTCAAGATTTTCTCTTTATCAACTATATATAGAATCTCACCGAATATAACACTGCCCACAACCGACGTATTTCCATGCTAGGAATTGCAGATGACAATCTGAGAAAAGTATGTTACGTCTATAAACATTTTAAATATAATTTGTTTTTTTTTTAATTTCAATATATTTTATAGCAAAACGCTGCAAAACAAAGTGGACGCAAGCGACGAAATGTTACATTTAACGATGAAGAAATAATAATAAACCCAGAAGATGTTGATCCAACCGTCGGACGTTTCCGTAATTTAATTCAAACAACTGTGGTGCCTGCGAAACGGGGTCGTTTTGATTCTGCCAATCAAATGGGTCTCCAAACATCGCCAAACAATGGAAGCTTATCTTCTAGCAACTCGACTAGTCATCAAATGTTCCAACAAAGTTTAGCTGATCTTAAGCATCAAGTGGATACTGTACCATTATCCCCAAATTCTCTCTATCAAGGTCTTCCTGCATCTATACATGACTCACATCCAAATCCCAGCTTAAAATTTAACAACAGCAATTCAGATTTTGATATTACACCAATTGCTATGGGCACTAAGTTGGGTCTATTGCTGCCAAATCCTGCGCCTGATGTAACACCAGTCATTGAGTCATCACATACTAAGCCATTAGCCGGACACGGAGCATCACAAAAGCTGGGACATGTTAATGCAAACTGTAAGCATCCGCATTTATTATTTATTATTAAACTCATATTCATATGTGCCTAATCGTATTATTTCAGTGCGTTTCGATCCACACGCTGTAGGTGGCGCAGGTTCATCTGAGGGTGGTGCGCATGGACCACAAAAGAAGAAATATGCTAAGGAAGCTTGGCCTGGTCGGAAGCCAATGTTAGGTCAACTTTAATTATTTATACATGAAAAATGGAAATAACCATTCTTAGTCAAAATAAAGAATTAAGTTGAAAAATAAAAATATCTCAGGTATGAATGGAATCAATTATTTAACATTACCGAAATCTATAGTGACATATTATAATTAACTGACCTAATTCATTTGTTAGATATACTCTTAATTTTCCTTTGCTTTTTTATTTTTATTTTGGTTCTTTATTATTTTTTATATGACTTCTTCGTATAAACATTTAAAATAAAAGTTTTAGTACAAAAATGTATTCCACTAAAGTAACCTTAAAAAAATTTAACCATCGTTTCTGGCACACCCACTCAATACAGTGCTTTTAAAACTTAACTATCAGCTGTTTTAATACAGCAGCTAATTTGCAATTGTGCAGAATAAAGTTAAGGCTTCGGCTTACAACTATTACTTAATTTTTAAAATATACAACTATTGACCAAAATATAGAGTTATATATGAAAACAGTATAAATACAAGTTACGTTAAAGTTTGCAATGTATACAGTGCCTGTGATACCTCCTGATCTACGTCATGAAGAAACAATCATCCAAGCAGCCATAGCGCTCAGTTGTCTACAAAAAACAATAAATTCTGTATTTGACTGCATTGATAATCGTACCCAACGCAATAATGCTAAAGTACAAGAGTTGAGTACGCGTATTGAACGGGCACAAGCGAAAATACGCAGTTTGGTAGGCACAAAAAAGGCAATTAAAATTTACGCTCCAGCTCGTTTTCCATCATCAAAAATTTTTCATGATATACCACAAACTTTCGGTAATTCGGAAACAATGTTGGATGAACATATAAATAATCAAAAACATGAAAAGGAATTAAATTATGTAGTGCATAGTCGCATAGATGCAGCTGCAACTCAAACGTTACAGGAAAAGTTGGTTTTCTTTCATGTACGATATAAGGATGTAAATGAATCATTTCCGGGTAACACAGTAGCTATCAACAGAGTTCATGTAAACAAAAGTTCTGGTATGGGAATACTTCCGGAAAAATTACGATCGGTATCCTCTTTGTTACATTGCAATGGTAATGAAATGGTTTACTGTGAGGAAAATAGTGAAAAGGAGGCATGGAAGAAAGCTAAGCTTTTTAAATTACAACGTCAACGTCAAGATAATACCGAAATTAAGCAACTTCTAGATCCAGCGCCTTATTCATTAGCGCACCGCAATCAAAAATCCAATTCTTTTGGCGGCCTTCGCTACACACCACGATTGCATGAAGCACCGGAAATTGATCTACCACTTGACTTGCCTGATTTACCAGGTATTGCTGATGATATACAGTTTGAGGGTAAAGAGCATCAGCAAATCGCACCATCTTTATATATCGAAAACTTACCCGATCTGGCTGAATTAGAAGAGGCATCTACAATTGTGGCAAATACTTCTAATTCTAATGAAGAACAGGGTATTTTACATGAACATTCACCACAACCGCCTACAGCTAACTCAGTCACTGCTCCAACCACAATAAATGTACAACAAGTATCAGTGGCACCAGCACCACCTCCACCGCCTCCACCACCTCCATTACCTCCGCCACATACATTGACAACACCAACGCAACATAGTGCTAAAAAAGAAACCTCGAATTTACAAAACACGAATACCGATAATGCTCGAACTGAATTAATGGATGCTATACGCAAAGCGGGTGGTGCACGTGGTGGACGGTTACGTGCTGCAGCTGCTGCTCCGGTTGATGTGGTCGATACTAAATTAGGCATCAAAAATAGTGAAATCAAATCTATAACAAACAAAAGTGGTGGAGGAGATCTCATGGCTGATTTACACAATAAATTATTAATGCGACGTAAGGGCATTTCAGGGACAAAAGACAAGGAAAATAGTAACACTACTAATGCTGTAAGCAAAGGAGTAACAAGTTCGACCGATAATTCAGTTATGTCCCGTTTATCAGCGCTAATACCACCACCCACCGGGCGTAAAAACTCTGATGATGGTGATGATACCCACGACGAGGACAACGATACCGATTGGGTGGAATAGCAGTGGCTTAAATGTATTAAAAATTCTGTCACGTGCGATGCGTAATAGAGTTGAGATCCTTCACTGCAGAGATTTGAAGCTAATTTCAGACCGCTTGTGCCTACGTTTAAATTACTCAATTGTAGAAAGTGTTAACCATAAATTTATAAATATACATATACATATAAATGATTTATTTTTTAAATTTAACTTAATATTCGATAAAAATAGAATACAAATTTTGTTAAAATAATACAATACATTATGAACGTATCTAAATAAATACAACAAACTCAATTTATTTACCATCTATTTTTTCTACAGTATTTTATTCACTTTAGTAAGCACAAGACGCTCTAAATGTTCATCAGTTAGATGTTGACCTTTTTGTCCATTTATCACATTCAAAAATGTGTGGAAAAAATGTTCCAACACCATGGAAGTCGGTGGCAAAGTATTGTACTTATGGAAAACTTTTTTCACAAGTGGATATCGATTTAAGCAAGATAGGCTTTTATCATCATCGTGCAAATAACTTGAGAACTCTTTACGAATAGCGACGCATGGTTTATTATCTGATGGCGGATCTATAATAAATATAATAAAATTGTTATAATATAAAATCTATAAATCAGCTTATTTGTAATTATTTTATGAGAGTTGGTTTTATTAAAACTTATACATATGTATGAATATAATATATCTTGTTCATTTACTATTTGAAACTAAAAAATTTGAATACGTTAAATTAGTTTTAAAATCAAAATGTTAAGACAATAATATGCAGATATTACCCTCGTTATCATCCGGATTAAAGCAGAGAAATGAATCTACAGATGGCGGGCGCTGCTCCCTTAGATCCTCTGTCTGTTCATTATCAATATAGAATTCTTGTGCATAGTCCACAAAAAGCAAGATTATCCTATCGGTGGTAATATTGGGTGCTGTCTCGCGTAAAGCTTCCACGAAACGCATTTTTACGGCAGGGCAAACTACAGCCGCAATTATGGCATTGTTGAATTCTGAGGTGATCTCAAAGTAGCTTCGCAAACGACTTAATAAAGCATCACTCATATTCTGTGCCACTGTATGCAAGTGTTTTATGTGCCTACTTTCATGCAATTTTTTCAATTTCACTTTAATTGTAACTAGAGAAGGTAGAAAATAACCATAATATAAATAATTCTCTTGCTGCAAAAACTCTACAGCATCTGCTATTGGTTTGAGTATCATGCAAAAGTCTTCCACATATTGGATATCGATTTCGCTTAATTTGGGTTGGTTTAAAAAGGTGCATAAGTCGGCTATTTTGTGCTTTTGCTTGAGAAGTTGTGTTAACGATGTGTACCATATTGGCCAACGCACGTCAGATAGTGGCGAATAGCCTTCGCATAAAAATTCCGTAATTTCATTAGCTTCAAAATCACTGCATTTGTTTATTAAAATTAAACAGCTAAAATATTTTTTTAATATTATATAAATTAAATGAATTGATAGGTTTTATGTCAACTCAAGGTAGTTACCGTGTTAAGGCATGCTGCAGTCTGTCATGGGACTTCAATATACTATCGAAATCAAACACCGTCAATAAATGTAGACTATGCTCACCATGTTTAAATTGCCTCGAAAGTTGGTTCAGTAGGTCTCGAGCCTCACTAAAGGATATATTAAGATCATCGCTATGGTAATCGAGACAGATGCCTGTTAAGAAAAGAATGTTGTGAATTACATTCAATACTAGTTATACAATTCCCACTTACTTTTAATACTAAAATTATGGTAAGTTTGTACGAAATCGTGCACACCATCGATCACATTACAAATAATTTTTTCATCGATCAAATCATACTTATTATGTATTTGCGATATCACAGATTCGATTTCCTTATGAGTGGGTGTGTCACTCAGCTTAACGCACGCCAAAACGGCCATTTGACGTTTTAATTCATTATCTAACCAAAAAATACTATAGCCAAAATAGTGTTTTTTCCGACTGGTCCAAATATCAGCAGCACCACAAATATACGGTATCTCCTCCAAATTACGCTTAATATTCTCTACGTAGCCTCCATGCATATCATCTAAACGAGCGAGTAATTGCGCACAGGAGCACATTGTTAAACCAGTGCCACGAAACAGTTCAACGAAAGATGGTTCTTCTAACACAGAAACTGGTATATTGGATAATAAAATAAAATTTAAAACTTTTTCCACAAACGGTAATTGTGCTGGCTGCCTATTAAGCGATCGTCGGCATCTGGTACTACTGTTGAATTTCTCTTGCAAATACATATTATACTCTTTAAAATGGCGTGAACGCAAATGTTGTACAAAATTTGAAGTAACTCTGAGTGGACCTTTAACGAATTTATCAGTGTCGCAGAATTGACAAGCCGCTACAACGCTAATTGAAACGCGATTGCTACTCATATCCTGAAATGAATTGCAAGATCAAAATATGGATTTATATATAATGCTAAGTTTTCTTACTTGCTCGACAATTTTAAAATATTTGCCATTTAATATTGTAGGAATCTCATTTGGATCGCATGTTAATTGGCATATGCTAGCCGTCCCTTTTTTCTCCAGACTTTCCTCCGATATGTGCGTATCATTGGATTCAGCTGAATACAAGTCGATGTTGCTGCAAAGATAATCTAACTTAAGCAAATTTTCAAATGAGATCGCGTAAAGCAACTTAGATAGCCACTTTTCAATTGTAATATACTCTAAATTATTTGAATTATTTGCTGACGTTGGTTGCGTGTCATCAAAATAGATGGAAGCACCATCCGGGCTATGCTCATTTGTATCGTCATCCATATAGCTTTCCGTTCTTGAGTTATTCCCATTCTACATTTACAAATTCTTTTTATAACATTTGGTATTACGGGCAAATATATGTACATCACCTGTCCATCCCCAAATTGGGATGCCTTCCGCTTTTGACCACGTCTTCCTTTGGGTGTACGCGAATGATTTTGTCTTTCAATAATGAATTCTTCATACTTTGCTGGATGCAGAGTTTTTAAATGACGAACGAAATTCGATGTTATTCGCATAGAACCCTGTATCGATCTCACCTTTTCACGTGGACAATGTTGACATACAGCTACAATACCGCGTGTTACCCGCTGATGTTCGGTAGCATTCATCTATGATAAGCACATAATTACTAATATATTAATTAAACTAACTAGTTTCTATTAAATTCAAATAAAAAAAATACTTCTTTGAATATAAGATATTCAATTTTATTTCAGATAAATTCTTTTCGGTTTATAAATACCTCTTCTATAATTTTGAAGTATTTTCCGTTTACTATTACTGGAATATCATCGCATTCAGCCGTTTGCACCTCCGATTCATTGCTATATAATTGCAGATAAAGAAGTTGTAATCAACATTTAAAATTTAACATTTCTGTCTACTTACCTTCCTTCAACATTATTTAATTGGTCTGTATTAGTTTGTAATGAATTGTATTCATTTTCAGATTTAATATTTGGGTTGTATTGCTAAAATTAAATTAATTATTATGGAACGCCTTATACCATAAGTGCATACTAAAAAATACCATTTGATCAAACGATGCTTCTCTATGAACAGTTCTATGTTCATTGATCCTTCCTAAATCCTCTGAGTTGTGTTTATAATTTTGATAATTAACATATTGTCCACTGTTATTATCATAAAAGTTTGAAGGGACTTGGTTGTACTGGTTGTTATGCATTGTGGAAAACTGATTTGTAATGTGTTCTGAATCAAGTTCACATTCCAATTTGACAAAAGTACTCGTCGGCTCCATCTAAAATTTTAAACAAATAGAACTGAAATATATTTATTACTAAATATTTGTTTGCTAAATGTTTAAAATTTTGATTGCTCTTTCTTATCAATTTAATACATACCTACTTTTCTTACAGTTTTATAAAATTTAAAAAAATATATGGGTTGCTTTACTTGTTATCGTTAATTTAATCATTTCCGTTCCTTCCTAGTTTAACTAGAAACTGTTTTCATCAAATGGAAAAATAAGTTTTTTATTATCACTTCGCTATGGTATAAAGCGTATATTTTTTCACTATCACTTCTCAGTTGTAAAATTAAATTCAAGGATCTTTCAACCAATTTTGCGGATTATAATATGAGACTGCAAATATAATTGTTAATTAATTATTTAATCAATTGATTGACTATTATGATTAATCAAAATGGCATCGGTAGGAAAGATTTATTCCAGGTTTGCATTTGATTAAATGAAATCTTAGAGTTGCCGGATAATGAATTTGAAAAAAAATTATTTATTAAGCGAATTTTGATTATTTTGTTTAGTATTATTTCTAAATCAATCTTATATGTTCGTAAATCAAGATGAAAATTGTATACATATTTTAAGTAAAAGTTCTAAGAAATCAATTTAATTAAGTTGAATTCTTGAAAATAATTAATCTGAAATATTGAAAGGACTTGGTAGCCCTGAGATTTGCTTAGCGTTTACCTGCGATAAGCAATGAAGAAAAGTTTACACTAATCTGTTTTGCTTGTCAACAAAAATTCTTCACAGAACAAAATCATTCGTAATGGCTAGCGAAAAGGAAAAAATTGAGAAATCTAAGATAAATAACCAAGTTAAGCATGTACCAAAGGACGCCCAAGTAATAATGTCCATACTGAAAGAACTGAATGTCCAGGACTATGAGCCTCGTGTTATTAACCAGTTATTGGAATTCACATATCGTAAGTTTCTTCAACCAAAATGTAATAAATATTTACAATTTAAAGATATTATTTCTATTCTCAGGTTATGTGACTTGCATACTAGATGATGCGAAAGTGTTCGCAAATCATGCTCGTAAGAAAACCATTGACTTGGACGATGTAAAGCTAGCCACTGAAGTAGTCTTAGATAAGGCATTTACCTGCCCACCACCCCGCCATGTACGTAATTTAATTTCCTTTCAATGTGTACTGAAGTAGATTTTTTATCTTACTGTTTAGATTCTGGCAAAGCTTGCCGAGGTCCGAAATGCAATGCCATTACCGCCTATTAAACCACATTGTGGTCTGAGGCTTCCTCCAGATCGTTATTGCTTATCCGCCTGTAATTATAAACTTCGTGCAGCTAGTCAACCAAAGAAAATGACGAAGTCTGCTTTAGAATCCCGGTCAACAATAAAGACACAAATGAAAAATGCCGGAGGTGCTGGCGGAACAAAGCGTCAAACCGTGTTAGCACCAAAGACACAAGTGGTTACCATTCCTAAGCCAGTAATAAAATTCACAACAACAACCAAAACGGTATCATCAAGTGGACCGGCGGGAATCGGGACCGGAATAATTGTCAATAGCGGCGCCGAAAGCGGTGATATTAAAATGGAAGTCGATTTGGACACAAGTGCATCAGCAGCGGTTGGCAGTATTGGTGGGAACAATACAAGTGGCGATGGAAGCAGTGGTGGTGTTAAGCGTGAACGTGAAGATGATGAATTTGAAGTTGTACAGTAGTTTAAATGCCTTTTGCATTACATTTTATTTGCATACAAATTTCATTATTCAATTAAAGTTTAATAGATTTTGCTTACATAACGTAAACAATTAATTTTATTTTAGTGCTAAAATGATCGCGCAACCCAAGTCCATAATCTGTAAATATTCTGAGCCACCGTCCTGTAGTCTAAACGAGCACTCCTACAAAGACAAAAATTATTTATTAGCAAATTTACATTATCGACCGTAAAATCTTACGCCAAGTTTGTCACAGATAAGAGCCTTTTGTTTATTAGTTAACGAGGGACATCTCAACACATGTTCATTGAATTGCTCCAACATTTGCCCAATACTGTATGCTTCATAGCCTATTTGTCGCACAAACTCTTCTAATTTCGAATAATTGCCAGCTCGGCATACCTCTAAAAATTCGATCAAATAATTTTCTGGTATAATACCAGACATTTCTAACAGATCCTCTGTACTAATTGTGTTTGATGCCCCCTTTAAACGATAGCATGATTGTAATGTAGTTATAGCGCGTCTCATATCACCACCAGATATCTCTACAATCGACTTGTAAGCATTTTCATTGATATTAACACCTTCTATTTCACAAATATGGCGTAAACGTACTATAATTTGTTCATCACCCAAAGACTTAAAACGGAATTTGGTACAACGTGATGTAATTGGTTCAATGATACGGGATACATAATTGCACACCAAACAAAAACGTGTGCTGCGACTCTCCTTCTCCATAGTGCGTCGCAATGCTGCCTGAGCGGCGTGCGTCATTGAATCTGCCTCATCCAGAATGATAATCTTAAATGGTGGACATGGTCGCCCATCTGGTCGTGTACTACTGGCGGTCAGTTGAGCGAAATTCTTGATTTTTGTACGTACAACTGCAATTCCACGCTCATCGGAAGCGTTTAGTTCCAGTATGCGCTCACGATAAATATCTCCGAAAATTTGTCGCGCAGCTGCTAAAATTGTACTAGTTTTACCTGTGCCGGGTGGTCCGTATAAAAGCATATTTGGCAAATCGGCACCTTCCACACATTTTCGCAAGACTGCTACCACTTCTGACTGTTCGACGACATCATCTACGCTCTTTGGGCGACTAAGTATAATTCATACTTTTTATTAACTATATTAACTGCTTAAATCATTACTTACTATTTTTCTACCCAAGGCGCTGGAGGTTTGCGGCGTTCAGCGACTGGTCCGCCGGCACCACTGGTGCTGGGTTGAGTTTTATCAGAGATTGTAGTCTTGCCTGTTTTCAGAAATGCTTGCATTTTATTAAATAAATATATTTATTAAACACTTCTAAGATAGTATATGTTAATTATAAGTTGTTTAATGTAGGTTTACAACTAGCGCGCCAATAACAATGTAATTATTCCACTGACATCAAAACTGTCTCAAAAGACAGCTGAAACTCTGTACGGGTTGTGTTTCAGTTGGAAACACCATACTTTATGAATTAGTAGTAGAAACGTCGATTGTGGGATTGAGGAGGACGTGACATAGGATAATAATGACAAGGATGACCTTCCTTGATAATGATGTACAATAGTAACGAAGATATTGTTTTTAATTTATTTTTAACTTCCCGCTAAGAAAATTGAAAATTTTCTAAAAATTGGATAGTTATTGGTTTCACCCCATTTTGCAAAAATCGAGTTCTCAACTCGACGTTCTGAGGGTCGAGGAAGCTTCCCCGAACATTTCTACGATGATGTCCGTATGTCTGTATGTATGTGTGTGTATGTGTGTGGATGTATGTAAACCTCTTATAACTTTTAAACGGCTTAACCGATTTGAATAAACTAAACGGCATTCCAAAGGGTTTCATTGCACTTGAATTTCGTGTAAGTTTGGACCCAATCGGACCAGTAGATTTTTCGAATTTCTTCCAAACGACTTGACCGATCGACACCAAAAACTAATCAGTTCTAAACCTTGAAATACATCGTT